TTGGTGAGTGGGAAGTACTTTCGTCTCTTGCACAAGAGAAGTGGATGCATGCTTCCTCGGAGAATCGCAAGTCTATCGCTGCCTTGGCTGCCGCTGCCGCATGGGGCATGGGTCAGTGGGAACTTATGGACGGTTACCTGTCTGTGATGAAACTACATTCGCCTGATCGCTCATTCTTCGGTGCCATTCTTTCAATCCATCGCAATCAGTTTGATGACGCACAGCTTCACATCAACAAGGCAAGAGAAGGATTGGACACAGAGCTCAGTGCACTCCTCGGCGAGTCATACACAAGAGCGTACAGCGTCATTGTCCGTGTGCAAATGCTTGCCGAGCTAGAAGAGATCATCGCATACAAGCAGAGCTCCAGTGATCCCCACAAGCAGGAGCGCATGCGCCTGACTTGGACCAAGCGTCTGAAGGGATGTCAGAAGAACGTTGAAGTCTGGCAGAGAATGCTGAAGGTGCGTGCCTTGGTCATCTCACCTCCAGAGAATGCAGAGATGTACATCAAGTTTGCCAGCATCTGCAGAAAGGCACAGAGAAATGGTCTGGCTGAGAAGTCGCTGAACTCCCTTCTTGGCTGGCAAGGTAGTCTCATGACACCAGAAGGTCAGGAGCGCACTTTACACGCACCATACCCTGTTCAGTACGCCGTTTACAAGTACATGTGGTCGAATGGATATTCTTCAGGCGCCTTGACAGGTCTCAGGGACTTCACAGAGAGATTGCGCATTGACTACGAACAACGAACATTGGCAGTCACAAACCCCGGCACCAATGGTATGAACGGTATGAACGGTACCAACGGTGTCAATGGCACACAATTCCCTGCAGCTGGTGTAAGTCCTCAGATCTCTGAGAAGGATATGGCTCAATTAGCCGATTGGCAAAAGCTGCTCGCTAGATGCTACCTCAAGCAAGGTGACTGGCTTAGCCTACAGATGCGTGGAGAGTGGGATGCTCACCGAGTACACGAGATAAGATCTTCGTACAAGGCAGCCACCCACTACAACCAGGACTGGTACAAGGCGTGGCACGCTTGGGCGCTGGCAAACTTCGAAGTTGTTACCGCACTCACTGCAAACAAAGACAGAGGAGAAGCCGATGGCATGCAACGAAGATACATCCACGACTATGTTGTTCCTGCCATTCAAGGATTCTTCAAGTCGATTGCCCTGTCTTATTCGAGCTCTTTGCAAGATACTCTGCGTCTTCTGACACTGTGGTTCAACCATGGTGAGCATCAAGAAGTCACATCGGCAGTCACGCAAGGTGTGACTACCGTCAGCATCGACACATGGCTTGAGGTCATTCCTCAGCTAATTGCTCGTATCAACCAACCGAACAGACTGGTCAAGGATTCAATCCATCACTTGTTGTGTGAAGTCGGAAGAGCTCACCCACAAGCACTGGTGTACCCATTGACTGTTTCTATCAAGTCCGAAGACCGAGACCGTTCAAGAGCTGCGAAGGACATCATGACTGCTATGGAGCAACATAGCCCCAACCTCTGCAGGCAGGCAGCTGTTGTCAGTCACGAGTTGATCCGCATCGCCGTGCTCTGGCATGAGCAGTGGCACGAGGGTCTCGAAGAAGCTTCGAGATTGTACTTCGGTGACCACGACATCGATGGCATGCTTCGTACCCTTGAGCCCCTACATCGCATGCTTGACGAGGGCCCTGAGACTCTGAGAGAAATATCATTTATCCAGAGCTTCGGACGTGACCTCGCAGAAGCCAGAGATTGGTGCAACAACTTCAAACGTACAAATGAGGTCGGCGATCTCAACCAAGCATGGGACCTTTATTACGGAGTGTTCAAGAGGATTGCAAGACAGTTGCCTCAACTTGCCAACCTCGAGCTGCAATATGTCTCGCCAAAGCTCAAGAATGTTCACGACCTTGAACTTGCACTTCCTGGAACTTACAAGAGTGGCAAGGAGATTATTCGCATCCTCTCGTTCGATCCTTCATCAACTGTCATTCAGTCCAAGCAGCGACCAAGAAAGCTTACCCTCACTGGTAGTGACGGCGGCACCTACCAGTACGTACTCAAGGGTCACGAGGATATTCGTCAAGATGAACGTGTCATGCAACTCTTTGGCCTTGTCAATACCTTGCTCTCGCACGATCCTGAGTCCCTCAAGCGTCACCTTAATATCCAACGTTACGCAGCCATTCCTCTCTCGACTCAGTCTGGTCTGCTCGGCTGGGTACCAAACAGTGACACCTTGCATGTCCTCATCCGGGATTACCGTGAGAGTCGTAAGATCCTTCTCAACATCGAGCACCGTATCATGCTTCAGATGGCACCCGACTACGACAATCTCACACTCATGCAGAAGGTGGAAGTCTTTGGCTACGCGCTCGATAATACCACTGGCCAAGATCTTTATCGCGTCCTGTGGTTGAAGAGCAAGAGTTCAGAAGCCTGGCTTGAGCGTCGCACAAATTACACGCGCTCACTCGCAGTTATGTCCATGGTCGGCTACATTTTGGGTCTTGGTGATCGTCACCCGTCTAATTTGATGCTTGACCGCAACACTGGCAAAATCATCCACATCGATTTCGGTGATTGTTTCGAAGTCGCCATGCATCGCGAAAAATACCCCGAGCGTGTTCCCTTCCGTCTCACACGTATGCTCACATTCGCTATGGAAGTTTCGAATATCGAAGGTAGCTTCCGCACGACCTGTGAACATACCATGCGTGTCCTCCGCGAGAACAAAGAGTCACTCATTGCTGTTCTTGAAGCGTTCATTCACGATCCTCTGCTCACCTGGCGTCTGGGCAACAAGAATTCGCCTCCTGAGCCCTCTTTCCCATCAGAACGTCGTACGTCAATCATTGGCGAGTTGGACTCCGCACCCCGCAGCACGCCAGGAGGTCGCAAGCGTGCGCCACCCGGTGCCGAAAACGTTCCTGGTGAAGGCAAAGAAGTCCAGAATGCCCGAGCCTTGCAGGTTCTTGCCCGCGTCAAGGAGAAGCTCACGGGTAGAGATTTCAAGAAGGATGTCGAATTGGCTGTTGAGGAGCAAGTCGAGAAATTGTTGTCTGAAGCAACAAACCTGGAGAATTTGTGTCAGCATTACGGTGGTTGGTGCAGTTTCTGGTGATTCTGGCAGGAGAAGGAGCACGAGGTGGAATATGTTTCGGCATTTGTTCGCTTTTCACGTTTTCTTCGGTTTCAGGTGGCTGTGAGCTGTTTGCATGCATAGCGGTGGCGTTTACGGTTGTCTTTTCTTCTTCTTCGCTAGTAAGGTTATAATTCTTGTTATTTAGTTTTCGGGAATCATGTCTTGCAATCACTGTCCGGCTCTGCTCATCGTCGTCATTTATCCAACCTGGTCTGCGAAGGTCTTGCTATGCTCTACCTGCCTTCGATTAGATCAATCATGGTTTGAGCTGCAGTCGTCATCATTTATCGAACCTGGCCTGTACAGGTCTTGCTATGCTCTAGTTGCCTTCCAATAGACCAATCATGGTTTGAGCTGCAGCAACCAGCAACGTCCACTCATCGCGCTTTCCTTGCACAAGACAATACCTCTTGTGTTGTTTAAATAGACCAACAAGTTGATCAAACTCGATGTACAAAGCCCAAGGATATCCATCGGGTATGTCGAGGAAGTGATCGTGGCCATAAGAAAAGAGTATACGAGCACAGTCTGGAAGACCATCAGTACCCCTACTTCAACAGTATAGGTAAGTAGGGGAGCCACATACCTAAGATCTCGGTCTTCAAGGACATGTTGATGCGGGTACGGATTCCTGTAGCAAGGTCAATGGAAGACATGGTATGGTATAAGCAAGGCAGTGTGCCGAAACCTGGACGTTGGGAATGCCTGTGAGATATAAGACGAGGTGGTGGTTCTTTGTTATGTCTAGTCCTCGAGACACTTCTACCAGCTGAGTTCTGTTGTTCCTCCGCTTCCAAGCTATCTCTGTGTCAATGTCTAAGACTCTGCTATTGTCTTCTCTATCTTCGAATGCCAAGTTGATTCATCCCGCTCACGAGTCCATCGTCTGAACCGTCATCGTCATCATCCTCCTCGTCTTCCGAGTCCTGCTCCTGGAGTGGACCACTGGACTTTGAGAGATAATTCGAGGTGCAACAGATCAAGCACGTATGGAGAGTTCTATGATAATGGTAAGCAACATGACACCCAGAGCGTGATTCAATTGGGACTGCTATGTATGAGCGCAACTATGAGTTCCAAGTTTCGTGGAGCGGCATGGAGCGATCCTGTCTAACGCGATCGCCGCAGCCACCTCGATCCTGGCCCCTCCGACTGAAGAGCTGCTTAACCTATACATCAGCATGAGACAAGGAGGAAGGAATGATATTGACCGATACACACTAACCATTTTACTTGGAGAGTTTGATCTTGCGCTCCTTGGCCCTTGCCCAAGCCTGCTCGCACGAGAACTCGGCCATACTCTGCAGAGCAAGCTCCTCATCTTTGGAACCCTCGCACGAGTCCCAGCGAAAGGAACCAGTTTCAGTCTCAACGATGACCCAGTAAAGCTTGTCGTGCAGAGCAACAGCAATGACAGGATCACCGGTGGCGGGAAAACAAAAGCGATAGTTGTCTTCATGTTGATATTAGAACTTGCAAAAGGATTTTGCAGCGCGCAATGGCAACACACCTTTGATCTTAGCGCGGAACACCATCATGCTTTCAGCAGAGGGAGAAGCCATCGTCCGCTGACTTGTGCTTACTCAAGCTTGAGACGGTGAGGGTGTAGATAGAAGGCAAGAAAGCGATGCAGAGAGATATAGCAACTCAATGCCCGACACAGATAAGTAGTGATAGTTCTAAACTCATCGACACACTAGCTCACTTGTATCTTGAATGCGGCTGTGAGCTTGGTCAGGTGTAGACGCGTCAGGTTTGAGGACAAACGGAACGCAAACAAACCTGCATCAAATCACTCGATCTCAACAAGTTGCAAACAATACTTCCCTCTATCTCTTGACGAACCACGAAGAACTCACTATGTCTTCCACGGTCAACGAGCTCGCCGCTCTCCGTGAGCAGATTCTCGGTCAGTAAACGCATATCCCATTTCAAGATCAGCACTAACATCACCAAGAAAACTACGGTGTAATCGACCCTGACAACGCCGACGCACTTCTCATAATCATCCTGCGCAAGAAGAACAAGGAAGAACTCCTGATGTACCCTACCGTCACCTACATCACCGAGGACATGTTCGAGGCCCTCCTGATAACCGACCCCGACAAAGGCAAGAAGGTTTTGATGAAAGAATTCAGTCCTTGAAAGACACTTCAGCCGGCTCTGCACAAGATGTTCGAGAAGACTTGCAGGGTCCTGGGCGAGATTATGTCGACCGACTGCAAGTGACCTGTGATGGGAAGCAATGATACTCAGGGGCTCACTCACGTTTGCTTTGGATGTTCTCTGCGCGCACGTTACAGAATTGCTTTCCAAAGCAGAATAGTAAGCTACAGCCGACTGAAGCTTTGACGGCATTGCTGATATGAAAGCAGATTAGAAAGTCGCTGGAGCCTATCTGGACCAAGTCTGCGTAGGCGTCTTAGCCTCCATGACAGTCAACGGTCTGCAATTAAGTAGCTTAAGTCGGTCACATGTGATACTGTAGTCTCCAACGCCATTGGGGTGTCATGCATCCCATCTTCACACCTTTGTATCCTCGAAACTGGATCTTGAAAGTGCCGATTGTGAAGTTACTTTTTGTTGCCAACCCCTGAGACCAAACAAACAGTTCTTTGTCGACGCAGACGACATCAGTGCTGGGAATTTCTCTCTGCAGCATTCTATCATATCCATACTGAGAGTGCTTGGATCTTGGAAGATCGATATTTGGCACCTTCCCTTGTAGAGTGTTTGATGCAGACACTTTCGATATCAGAACTCTCTGCCAGTCCAAAGATGCAGTCTCACCATCACCACCACGTTCTAGTCAGATCTATTCAAGCTCCAGCGACTGCTTCAACAAGCTACTGCCTTCTGTCAGTCTATCTCAGAATGTCATCTCATCCCCTGATGGTATATCATTCTCGGGTGAAAAGACCTCTGTTTTCTTACTCTTCCCCCAGCATCCACATCCACACACATCTATCCTCGAGTCGGACTAATAGCCGAAATCAGCAACAATACTATTCTCGGTCTCCGTGCCCAGATCACTGGTACATATACCCCCACTGATGTCCACTATACATCTAACACAATCNTAGAAAACGTCGACTTCTTGTATCCTCCTAGATCATTCTTCATCGTCACTCTACTGTCGTCAACTGGTGATCAGTGGTCAGCAAAAGCCGTTGATGGTGATAATGTCATTGCTGCTGGAGATGTCTGTGCCACTGTTGAGCTTGCTTTGCAGGCTTTGTTGAAAGCCACCAGCCATGCTGTTTGGGAGAGGATGACCCCGATTTACATTCCCTACTAGTTGAGGTTCAAGCTCCTCGAGGTGTTCTGCTTGCTGCTTGACAACAGAGAAGACTTCGTGTCAAGGATGGATTGTCACGCTTGGATACAAGGGAAAAGCTGGAATGAGCTTATGAGGAACAATTTCGAGGCATTGCATAGCTGATATCTGGGGCTCGAGTCTCATCATTGACTCAATACGGCCGTTCAAGTAGTCAGAGCTGAAAAATGGTGCTTCCAAAATGCAGCAAACTTCCTATATCAGAAGCGATGTCCAAAGGAAACCTTGGGTGACAGGACTTTCCAAAAGAGCAGTGCAGGGTACCCGAAAGATGCCGTACCTTCTGAAAGTGTCATGATCAATAGTAAGTGAGAGAAGTGTCAAAGAGGACAAAGCCAGAGTGTTGCGATGTACAAGCTCCGTTTGTACCAGACAAAAGCCAATTACGCCTGTCTTATCGCTCTTATTACATTCGTACTTCCTCCATTATTTTCGTACCAATTTCGTCAGCAACAATGTCATGGAATGAAAATTACACGATCATGGGTCTTCGTACCCAGATCCTCGGTGAGCCATCTTCCATGTTTCCCCAAGCTCCAGTCCACCCGCTGACAGAGCACAGAAAACTGGCGCTATGCACGCCCAGACAACGCCAATGTGGTCATCATCACTGCACATGAGGAGGTGCACAACGGACGCAGCTTCGCGAACTTATATGAAGCTATGCTCGCAGAAGATCGTAGCCAGGGTGGTGGAATCCTTCTCAAAGCAAAATCTTGGGATAACGTGGAGCGAGCATTACGTGATTTGCTGCTGTCAACCGAAGACCTAGTCAAGGAGGTGATCAAGAACATCCTCAAGGAGCCTCGTGAAGTCGAATCCTTCGTTCAAGATGCCTCAACCGCCGACGACATCAGCAACAAGACCAACTATGGCACCGAGAAGTCAAAGCAGTCACCTGAGGAGATTGAGATGAAGCGTTTTCATGATGCACTCGGCCGTGTCATTGAGCTAGCTTCCATCAGAGAGTGACTCACCAACTACTTCATAGTCACAGTTCTTGCATCGAACAGCTGTATGAGCCTTTTGTAAAACGTTACTGGAAACAGGTTCAGCGCACACTATAACCGGTACAGGGGGCTGTTGATTCAACATATGCTATAGTGACCTTCAAAGCACTGATTGCTCGGAAATCGTGCTATTTCAATACGGCAAGTCTTTGCATCCGAAGTTGTTACCAGAGAGTGACTCACCAACTCTCTCAAAAACCCTTGCTTGATGTCGGATATGAGAAGGAAGGGGCAATGGAAGAAGGAAGAAGTCAGGGACCCTGATTTTGTATCAACACACAACAAATCTAACTTCTTATATCTTCGTTCAGTAGATAATCACAATCCTACTGGTTCCCATGCTGCGAATGACCTAAGAGTAGTCAAGAAGCAAGAGCCTTTACGTCACATGACGGCTTCTTACCTACACGTGTCCAAGATGACTGTTACGAGCAAGACGTAGAATGACTCGAACGTAAGACAGTCGGACGAGCTTCAAAAAGCCTTCGCATACACCTCCCTTCTCTATAAACTTTGCAATCATTAAACAAGAACCTGCAGCGTTCGACATCCAGGTACAAGTCTGCCTTCCAAAACTCCAACCAGTATGGATCTCCAAACCCAGATACTCAGTGAGTCACTGTCTTTCAATCCCCCCGAGCTCTGCTGAAAGCTTGTTGACACAGTATAGACAACTGGCGCTGCGTACATCGGGAACGACTCAAAGACATGACCGTAAAGATAGTCGTCAGACGCGATTGGTACGACGACAAATACGGCTACACGGCGATGATTGTAGAAGAGCATGACGACGGTCGAAAAGCGATCACAGGACCCGGCCCTTCAAATAGCCTTGAACAAGCTCTACACGAATTGCTAAACATGACTTGCGATCACATCAACGAGATGATGGAAGGGAAACCTGCCACCGATATTCCTGGAACGTAGTGTGTTGATTTAGAAAAAACTCCACCACGATGGGGTAGTCAAGCAGATATTATCTGATATGCTAAAGTGCCTCATCTCTCTGCTCTCAGTGGACACAGGCCTGCATGTGGATTGTTCTGTGTATTTTGATGTGATGTAAATGGAGTATAAGATCAATTAGAAGAAGAGATGTACAGACCACATGTTCATTGACCTAGACGGCCACGTCACCACCAAAGCCAACAGGTCTTCTCGGCTGCTCTCCCTGCTTCGGAGGTACATGAGGCAGGATAGCCATGACCTGATACAGCTTTCCCATGCCCTGAGGTCCCACATCAACAAGTCTCCTCCAGCCACTCTCGATTCTCTTGACCGTCTCGGTTAGATCGCTCTTTGTTCTTTCGCCCTCTGTCTTTTCGGCAACGCTACCTCTTTCGCGATCGACAGCTAGTTTGACGAGTTGAGCAGCTCTTTGCTCAATACCCATAGAGGTGAGGAAACGTGCTTGGTCAACGGGACCGTGGACTTCGACGTGCAGAGAGGCATTGATGGCACTCTCAGCTAAAGCGAGGAAATCGACATCAGCACTTATGTCGACCTTGCCAGGTTCGGAAAGTGGAGAAACCATGCGGTGCTCCTTGATACCACGCAGGGAGTTCACAGGAATGGTAGAAGGGGTGCCGTAATCGAGGATCAATGCTGCACCGGAAGCTTGCTTCTTGACAATCTCTTCAAGAGCGCGACGAGGAGAAACGCGACGACCCACGGGAGGAGGAGTTTGATCTGGGTGGGTGGTGTAGAGGGCTGAGGGGCTCACGCCTCCACCGATTCGAACAGCAAAGTCTGCGGCATATGTTTGCGACTCCGGGCTCACTTCGATGACGGAGCCTTCGGTGTCTTTGAGGTTCTTGTAACGATTCGATTGCTCGGGGAGGAAGAGCGAGTGTGGTGTGGCGGCTTGCGAGCGGGTGAGTGCAAATTCAGGGACAGGTTGATGGCGTTGAGATTTGGGAGTGTTGAGGGTATCGTGAGTGGCGTAGGGTGAGGTAGGTGAGACGACAAGTTCGCGCCATTGGGAGACAGTGTTTGGGTTTCCGGTGGCTGAGGGGTCGACCTTGTGGATGCCAGTGGGGGTACGAATCTGCTTGGGAGTAGCCTGGGCCTTGACAGATTCAAAAACGTGGATGGGAAGAGCATCGAAGAACTCGTGGGCGACGATGAAGGGCGAGCTGTCTGTCTCTCTGGGTACGAAGCGGATGTCCTCGCACCAGATGATGCTCAAGTCGGGAGTGTACTTGCATGTGCTCTTATAGCCAATATCGATCTCCTCCAAGGGGTTGTCACCGCAGAGGAGTTTGTGTTGAGCTTGACGTAACGAAGGACTGGCTTCGACCATGTAGATACCATCAATAGCCTGGGCCAGAGGCTTGAAGTTGCGGATCGATCTTAGCATATCGTCCATCAAGGTTCCTCGTCCAGGGCCCATCTCCATCAGGTAGACTCCACTGCTCTTCCTGCCTTGGGCAATCCACTCTGCCACGAACCATAGACCAATGAGTTCACCGAAGATTTGCGAGATTTCAGGAGACGTGACGAAATCTCCCTTCTTGCCGAACGGATCTTTGCCTTCGGTCGATTGTGTGTAGTAACCAGTTTCGGGAAAGGTCAGGCATTGTCGCATGTATGCCGCGACCGAGATGGGGCCAGTCGTNCTACAGTAACTGTCAGAATATGGACTCGATGATAACAAAAAACCTAGACTCACGGTGATGGCCTCTCCCAATGTCTTTGCCAGGGGCGTGGACCATTCCCTAGAGCTTGTCGACGAACATCTTGCGCCGGAGCAGGTCAGGGCCCGTCGCGATAGCGATAGCCGCTCATTGGCCACCCGCCTGGCTATTTGAATTGTGCTGCGTCTCATGCTGCCACTCCGGTGTCTGGTGCACGAGATGTATGGACGATGGTTATTGCGACAAAAAGTGGAAGAGCTTCAGCCCGGAGGTCTCCAACTTCGCCGCAACTTCATGACGCACACGCCGGCAACCATCTCAAACACACACCAACCACAACCTTGCCATCATGGTATCCCGCTGGGCCGACGATGAAGACGATGCCGCCCTAGAAGCACAACGCAAGCAAGAGAAGGAACAAAAGAAACGCGCAAAGGCTGAGAAGCAACGCAAGCAAGAAGAAGAAGCCGACCGACTACGACAACAACAACAAGCCGCAGAGTCTGACGACAGACCGTCCAAGAGAAGACGACTATCGCCTACACAAGACTCGGACCAGCCGCGTCAACTGGTCCGCTTCCATGCGCCATCGTGGCAACCCGCCCGCACAATCGACAGCTTCGAGCGACTGAACCACATTGAAGAAGGCAGCTATGGTTTCGTGTCGCGAGCAAGAGAATTGGCTACTGGAGATATCGTCGCAATCAAAAAGATGAAGATGGAGCCAGGCGCTGCACAGAATGGCTTCCCTGTCACGGCTCTACGCGAAATCCAAACACTATCCGCTGCCAAGCACCGACACATTGTTGACCTGAGAGAGGTCGTGGTTGGTGAGAAGGGCAATGTTGACGACATTTTCCTGGTCATGGACTTCCTCGAACATGATCTCAAGACACTCATGGATGACATGGAGGAGCCATTCCTGCCCAGCGAAGTCAAGACGTTGATGCTGCAGCTCGGCAGTGCCATTGAATTCTTGCACGATAGGTGGATCCTGCATCGTGACTTGAAAACGTCAAACATTCTCATGAACAATCGAGGAGAAATCAAGATTGCCGACTTTGGTATGGCCCGCTTCTGCGGTGATCCGCCACCAAAGAACCTCACTCAACTCGTCGTCACTCTCTGGTACCGAGCTCCGGAACTGCTCCTGGGCACTACAACATACGACAGCAGTATAGACATGTGGAGCGTTGGTTGTATATTTGGTGAATTTCTCACCAACGTTCCATTACTTCAGGGCAAGAATGAAGTGGACGAGCTCAGCAAGATCTTTGAGCTCTGTGGTGTACCCACCGATGCTTCATGGCCCGGCTTCAAGCGTTTACCCAATGCCCGTTCATTACGGCTACCACGCAATGCACAAACGACTGGCTCGGTGATACGCTCAAAGTTCCCATTCTTGACAAAAGCAGGCACCGATCTGCTGTCTGCCTTGTTATCCCTGAATCCAGCGAACAGGCCGTCAGCAAAGGAGCTCTTGGAACACAGCTACTTCACCGAAGACCCGCGGCCGAAGAGCACAGCCATGTTCCCTACCTTCCCCAGTAAGGCTGGACAAGAAAGAAGACGCAAACACAGAACACCCAATGCGCCCATGCGTGGCGAGGGTGGGGCTGCTGCATCAGACTTTAGTGGACTGTTTGCAGGGCGTGATGATGAGGAGATTGGTGGTGGCTTCCAATTGAAATTAGTATAGAACATATCGATATGAGCATCCCTTCCAGAAACACAATCCCAACCAAAACTGGTTCCTACTACAACAAGTTATGAGTATTGGCGTTTTGTGTTGGAGTGATAACCTGCTGATTTCCATAAAGATAGATGAAGCACAAGATGAACTGAGAACCAGCAAACCTGAAGGCTCAAAGACTTCCTGATAACATGATGAGGTCAATGAATACTATGAAGGCTGGCTCAAGATGGCAAGCTGATCAAGCGAAGGAGCGGTTCGTGCCACTTGCTCACAGATCCCGAAGCTAGACCTTGTCCTCGCCAGACACTCACCTGTTTACCGGTAGGCGCTGAGATTGGGTATGTTTAATTGTCGTTCCGAATTAACAGTGCTTTGATTAGTCTGGCCAAACTATTGACCTACAGAGCGAATGATTGTACATGATCATAACCGTTCTCATAGTTGGTATCACCAACGATTACTCTCTCGATCCCAAACACTTGACTTACTCCAACTCGGCAAGCGCGTTCCTAGCCAACTCGGTGTATCTCTTTGGCTCGAATCTCTTCGTCTTCCAGTTTCTAGCTCTACCTTTGTCGATTCGAACCAACTTCTCCTTCTTCTCCACCTTTGCGTCTTTGAAGCTCCAGAAACTGCGTGATTTGGGCAACTTGGTGTCGGTGTTGGTGGTGCTGGTGGATGAGATGGATCCGCTTTGACGACGGACGCGCTCTTCTTGTTCGGTGATGGTAGACTGCTTCAACTCGAGGAGTTGGTGAAGATGAGTAGTAATCCGGTCGTGCAGAGCAGTGAGGTGTGCCAGATAAGCTGCGTGAGCACGCGACTCAGAAGGCTGAACTGATCTGTATGAAGGTGTAGGGGATGGAGGATGAGATGAATCAAATGCATCTTTGATGTTATTTGCACTGAGATGGTCGGTCTTAATTGGTGTGTCCTGAGCGGATGTTCCACCGCTTGATGATTCGGAGGAAGAGACTGTAAAGGGGTCTTCTAGGGGAGACATCATGTCTTGACACACACTGTATTGGATTGCCTTGACTGTTGCGCAGGACAGTGGTGTAAAACTGCGTAACCAGCTGAAGTTGACACGCTCGGCATGTTTGCTAGACTTGGTGTGAGATGTATCAAGTCCTGGGCCGAGATGAGCAAGGGATGGCTTGCTATTTCTCTTGCGCACATGGATGCTGCTTGAAGCTGCAAGATGAGACTCAAGATGATCGAGGGCGAGTCCTGGCAGTGATAGTGTCGAGCACTCTTCGAGGCGATGCTCTGCTTCTGAGCATGCATCCAGTGCTTTGTTGTACGCGGACTCGGCTGCAGAGATTTTGGGCAGTCTCCACACGGAGTAATTATGCATTATCTTTGCGAGACCTTCATGAGACAGTGCAGCATAGAAGTTGAGGAAGACGACATGTGCTGGTTCATCCTGNTGAGGTACGTCAGACTATGCCGTTAATGTTTGTTGCATCGATGTGCCACGGCAAAGCGTTACCTGACTGTGACCGAGCAAGTCCTCGCATCTACGCGCGCACTCTTTGTATTGATGGTTCAGGTAAAGCGCTTTGATGTAGTGCAGCTCGACAGGGAATGAGGACGTGATGTGCACATATGTGTGCAAATCTCCATCCATGTTGAAGGTGCATGCGGTAAAGTAAGGACTGCAGTAATGAATTGATATTGTGATGCAGAAAGAATGGGCGGTCAGCTTGAAAAGTGCAGAGTTGTGGTGGGATTTGATCTTGTGTTTATGAGCCGACAATATGAAAAACGAGACCTCTCGGCGTGCGCAATACCTGGAGAAGACCTCCCGTGGACTTTGTTACATCGACCCTCTACGCTTATACACCTTACCTGAGAGAACACTATATATGACGATAAGTTGAAACATGGGATAGCCCAACGAGAAGCGCTGCCTTTTCGGCTCTGAGCACACATTTCCACTACTCACTTCATCTTTCACTACCATATTGAAGCTAGTTTTATCTGTTAGCAGAGATCGGTTCTGTAGCTCACACAGTAGACCACTCGATGGAAACCTCTTTCCAAAGTCTAGCATAAATAGAATCCAAGGGTGGTGAGTTCGACTCTCCGCCTTGGTTGGTCGCGACGATGACTTTGGTTGTTTCCCCAAGTCAAACTTTGGTCCTTTTTGCTTTCTATGCTTGGAGATTGGTGAGGAAATACCTACAACTTTTCACAGCTTACCTAGGCGCCACTTGTCTACTGTTGCAGGGAAGAAGTAGTTGGAAGGACAGACTGAGGGCATGGGGAGACAAGACAAGGAGAAAGAGACCTGAGAAAGTGGCCTGGCGAGGTTATCGTTTCGGGGCCTTGGTGTGCTGTTCACATCTGAATCAAGCAAGAACTCTTGGGTAGACAAGAGGTGCTTTCTTCGATGAGCAGCACGACGTCTGTGGATTCTAAATCATTTCAAGATCAATGTCGGCGGTAGAGAAAGATCATGAGGTTGAAGTTGGGGTCGGTGAAGGTGGAGCAGAAGGCTTGGCATCAACTTTCTGGAGGAAGCGTCACATTCGGAAGGAAAGAAGCACCTGCTTGACCTCACACTACTATCCTCTACTCAACAACCGGACGCTGCGCGCAAACCCCTCATCGTTTGCACAAGTTGTATATTAATGACCCCTTGAATGTCCAGATAACGACATCACCATGTCTGACGGTAAGTACAGCAGTCTCACAACGCGCCGCCCCGAGACTGACGAGGCAATAGCTGAAATCCGACGACTGCAGCAGGAGCGCGCCTCCACCAGAGCCAATCCGACCAAGCAGTCGCTCACCGACAATGCCGATACTGACCTTTATGGGAATGGAACTGTCGACAAATATGCCGGATATAACACGTCGATCGCCGTCAACGAGGACGACGACATGGACGATGCTGATGGCGAGGACCAGAGCAGGAGGCTGGTCGGCCAGTACACTGCCACCACCGAACAAATGAACGAATACGCCCATGGGGAAGGCGACATCCTTGTCGACCGCGAGAAGCAGGCCCAGATCGCCAGTCGCGAGTCGGATTACCAGAAGCGTCGTTTCAACCGTCAACTCAGCCCTGACGGCCAAAGCTACAAGGAGGTTATGAAGCAACGAGAGTTTGAGCGCGAGGAAGAGCGGGTACTCAAGCTTATCGAGGAGAAGCAGGGCAAGGGAGAGGATGACATGGATGGTGTGGTCGAGCATAAGCCCACGCTAAAGGACGACGAGGAATCGTCCGAAGTCGCTGCTCCTCGCAAGCGAAAGCAGCGATGGGACAGCTCGTCCGAGGAGGCCGCTGCAAAGGACGCTGTCGTTAAGACCGAAGACGCTCCCGAAAGCAAGCGCTCTCGCTGGGATTCTACTCCTGCCCCAGCAGCTCAAGCCGAGCCGAGGAAGCGCTCTCGTTTCGATATGGCACCTTCTCTCACTGCTGCAACTCCCGTAGGTGGAAACGCTGGCCTTGCCACTCCTATGCATCCCTCTCAGACCCCTGCTGCGGGAGCTGGCTACGGTTCCGACATTTCTGGTAGAAACGCCCCTCTGTCTAACGAGGAGCTCGACATGATGCTCCCTGGCGAGAAGGAGGGTTACCGTGTTCTGCCCTTCCCTCCTGGATACGAGCCCACACGAGTCCCCGCACACAGAGTTCCTAGCACTCCTGCTTCGCTACAAGGTGGTTTCATGATGCAGCAGCCTGTCGACCCTCGATCACTTGGCAAGGACCTTCCAAGCGAGCTCCCTGGAGTTGGCGAGCTTCGCTTGAAGCCAGAAGATATGGCATACTTTGGAAAGCTTGTCGATGGCGCCGATGAGAACGAGATGAGTGTTGATGAGCTCAAGGAGCGCAAAATCATGCGACTGCTTATCAAGGTCAAGAATGGAACCCCACCTATGCGTAAAACCGCGCTACGCCAACTTACTGATAATGCTCGTTCGTTCGGTGCCGGCCCACTATTTGATCAAATTCTTCCTCTGCTCATGGAGAAAACACTCGAAGATCAAGAACGTCATTTGCTCGTTAAGGTCATTGACCGTATTCTTTACAAGCTTGATGATTTGGTCAGACCTTATACACACAAGATCCTGGTCGTTATCGAGCCACTGCTGATCGATCAAGATTACTACGCACGTGTCGAAGGTCGCGAAATCATTTCCAACTTGGCCAAAGCTGCTGGTCTTGCACACATGATTTCTACCATGCGTCCCGATATTGACCACGCAGATGAGTACGTCAGAAACACTACTGCTCGTGCTTTTGCCGTTGTTGCTAGCGCTCTCGGCATCCCTGCACTTCTTCCTTTCTTGCGCGCTGTATGCAAGAGTAAAAAATCATGGCAAGCAAGACACACAGGTGTCAAGATTGTGCAACAAATTCCCATCCTCATGGGTTGTGCTGTTCTACCACATCTCAAGGGTCTTGTTGACTGCATAGGAGATAACCTGAATGATGAACAGACCAAGGTCCGTACTGTCACAGCATTAGCTATTGCCGCTCTTGCTGAGGCTGCCAACCCATACGGTATTGAGAGTTTCGATGACATTCTTAACCCTCTCTGGACTGGAGCTCGCAAGCAGCGTGGTAAGGGCCTTGCTGGTTTCCTCAAGGCCGTCGGTTACGTTGTTCCTCTGATGGACGAAGAATTCGCCAACTACTACGTTAGTCAGATCATGGAGATTCTGCTTCGTGAGTTCTCATCACCAGACGAGGAGATGAAGAAGGTTGTCTTGAAGGTTCTGTCACAATGCGCCAATACCAATGGTGTTACTGCTGCCTATTTGAAGGAGACTGTTCTCGACGATTTCTTCAAGAGCTTCTGGGTACGAAGAATGGCACTTGACCGACGAAACTACGTTCAGGTTGTTGAGACTACAGGAGACCTTGGTCGAAAGGTCGGCTGTGGTGAGATTGTCGAGAGAGTTGTCGACAACCTCAAGGACGAGAGTGAAGCGTACCGAAAGATGACAATGGAGACCATTGAGAAGTCTATTGCCAGCTTGGGTGCCGCAGACATCAACGAGCGCCTCGAAGAGCGCTTGGTCGATGGTATCTTGACCGCATTCCAAGAACAAACAGTGGAAGACATCACCATCTTGAACGGATTCGGCACAGTCGTCAACGCCCTCGACACCCGATGCACGCCGTATCTGCCTCAAATCGCCAGTACTATTCTCTTCCGTCTGAGCAACAAGTCAGCCACTGTCAGACAGCAAGCGGCAGACTTGGTATCTCGAATCGCCATCGTCATGAAGCACTGTGGACAGGAGAACCTCCTGGGCACGATTAGCATCAACCTGTACGAGAACTTGGGTGAAGAGTACCCTGAAGTCCTTGGTTCGGTACTTGGTGCACTGCGCTCGATTGTCACCGTCATTGGAATCAACCAAGTGCAGCCTCCCATCAAGGACCTGCTGCCACGACTGACTCCCATCCTTCGTAATCGTCACGAGAAGGTTCAGGAAAACACAATTGACTTGGTCGGTCGTATCGCAGACCGCGGTCCAGAAAGTGTGAACCCTCGTGAATGGATGCGTATCTGTTTCGAACTTCTTGACATGCTCAAGGCACACAAGAAGGGTATTCGACGAGCAGCCAACAACACATTCGGTTTCATTGCCAAGGCCATTGGTCCACAAGATGTTCTAGCAACGCTGTTGAACAACTTGCGTGTCCAGGAACGTCAGTCGCGTGTATGTACCGCCGTTGCTATTGGCATCGTTGCAGAAACTTGCGCTCCTTTCACTGTCCTGCCAGCACTGATGAACGAATACCGCGTGCCCGAACTCAACGTGCAGAACGGTGTGCTCAAGTCATTGTCCTTCCTCTTCGAGTACATTGGAGAGATGGCCAAGGATTACGTCTACGCCGTAACACCACTTCTCGAAGATGCACTCATCGACCGCGACCAAGTGCACCGTCAAACAGCAGCGTCGGTTGTCAAGCACGTAGCTCTCGGTGTCGTCGGTCTTGGCTGTGAAGACGCCATGCTTCACTTGCTTAACCTGCTCTATCCCAACATCTTCGAGACATCACCTCACGTCATCGACCGCATGATCGAGGCCATTGATGCTGTCCGTGTTGCCGTCGGTACTGGTGTTGTCATGAATTACGTCTGGGCAGGTCTTTTCCACCCTGCACGTAAGGTCAGAACACCATACTGGAGACTCTACAACGATGCTTACGTTCATGCCGCCGATGCTATGGTGCCTTATTACCCTAATCTCGATGATGAGACTTGTGATAGATTCGAGTTGATGGCGATCTTCTAGATGCAAAAAGAATCTCACGAGGGACTGACTAGGAGGATAATCTTACAGTGGCGTTTTTTTGACTCGTTTCGGTATGGGATTGGGTAGTCTTTAGTTTACCAGCAGATAGTTCGATTTGGTTTTATGAGAAAGAATAAGAACTTCCATGATACAATCTTTGTGCTCAGTCGCTCCTTCCTGCTTGCTAAATAGTGAGTGCATTCCATCGTGTCGTTCTTTCCTTTCCTGCTTGCGATCGATCCTTCTCCTTCTGCTCGATCGCCATTTGTTTTTCCAAAACCAAATAGATCGCTCCTTTCCTCTTTTTGTTTTCCGTTTTCCATTGCCTGCTTCCAAAACCTTTTGGCTCTTTTTTTTTTTCTCTTTTTTTTTTTGGAAAGACACGAAATGAAAAGAAAGGACAAGAGGTTTAATCTTTTCCAAAACGTCTGTGTCTTTGCTGCATCTTGTTACTCGAATCTTTTCCTCCTTGGTTCTCCGTCTCTCAGTCTAGTTTCTGCCGGAGAGGAGGAATTGATCACTGTGTGTCGTCTTGTCAAGGTATAGATATTCGCAAGTGTCCTTCCCTGTTGGGTTGCGAATATTCTAGGAACCATCAAATTGCAGAATTAGTCGTTTTAGAGCTAGATGTGTGTATATATAGAGAGAGAGAGAGAGAAAGAGAGATCATGTCGAATGTAGATTCAATTCGTGAACAGTAAAGATTGGTATAAGAGAAAGATGTATGTAGAAGAAAAAACATGACCCATGACCGAGAACACATCCAGGTGGCCATTTTCCAAAGAGACCTCTTTATCGTTAACATACACAAAAAAACGCCCGCTTTCGTAATACAAATGTCATGGAAGTCCTCATGAGTAAAATTGACCCTTCTGGAAGCTCTCGACGCTTAGGTCGCCAGCTTTACCTTGCACGTTCGGAGGCAGGTCTCTGGGAGCGGCCTTGATGAGTTCCTTTTCTCTGTCTACCATGGTGTTTGACCGGCTGTCGGCGCTGGTGGTTGTCATTGTTTGTGCGCGGCTGCCGGTAGGGCTGGTTCCGCTGGTAATTTGGCCTTGGGGACGACGCTGAATGGTTTCGAGATAGGGAGCAGGGAGGTATCCCTTGCGACCATCGCGGGCACGGCATTGCCACCACTCTGAGGGATTGCCGAGGGGNTCTGTCTTGCTCAAGACAGCGACAAGATCGCCCTTGGCCACTGCGAGGTCAACGCCCTGCACGGCGTTTGCGTTGGCTTCGGGGTTGAAGTCGTATAGGACACGGCAGAAGTCGAGTTTGGAGGGATCGAGAGGTTGTTGGGGGCCTTCAGCTTGTAGACGACGCTGCTCTTCCTCTTCTTGGCTGCGGGCCAGAGCGCGGATAAGCTTGCCCATGAGGTAGGGCAGACCGAAGACTGCGACGATGAACATGACGAAAGGCTTCTTGCTGGCGCGGGGAGGAGCGGGAGAGCCGTCAGGGAGACGACCATTAAAACTTGCGAAGTTGGCGGGAGTGAGGTCGGTACTGTTTGCTGGGAGCGGGCGTCCGGTCAGTTTCGCCATGGCTGTGCGTATCCATCGGATAATGGTGAAGATGCCTAGGACCTGGCCTAGGGTTTGCCGTAGGTTACCAAACTGTTCGGCTACGGAAACCATTGCNTATAAGATCATTAGTAAGATAGCAGCAGTACTAACAGCACAAAACATACCAAAGAAACTCGAGTGGGTGGCCATATATGTGCTCTCGAGCATCTGGGCAAAGCCACCAAAGGCACCAACAATGCTCTCGATGAGCTGGAAGGTGGTTTGTGTACTCTGACTGAAAGTCTGTGTCAAGCTCTGGCCATTGGGACCGCCCATGGGCCCTCCCATGCCACCGTAGCCATTGCCGTACATGCCCCCATGCCTCCCATACCGCCATAAGGACTTGCACCGTACATGCCTCCTCCTCCATACATGCCGCCTCCGTACATGCCTCCGCCANTAACCAGATCCGTAGCGCGAGTATGGCGAAGTCATGGCGCCACCACCGTAGCCGTAGGGCGAGGATTGATAGGGCTGGGCGCCGGCGAAGTTGGAAGCGGTGCGATCAACGACAGAGTTGAGCGACTCGGGTCGCGATGGTAGAGCGGGTGTCGCGGCGGTGCCGGCAGTGTTTACTGATGAAGGGGTCGCGGCCGTGGTCGATGTGGGTATGGCAGCGGAGGAAGTCAAGGCNTGTGTCATAAACGTCAGTCGAGTCCGAGCCGCGGTCGAGCGCTGGGCGATCCAAAACGTACCCGACGATGAGGCAGCGCGGCCTCTTTCCCACGGCTTTGGCGGCGACGGCGTCGCCATGTTCTATCAGATCGAAGTTGCTGTCGTCTGGAATCTGAATGTTTGCGACCCCAGAGTTTTGGACGAGAAAGTGACGAACTGCAGTGTCGTCGTTCCTGCCATGCCGAGGCTGTTTATCGCCCGCTTGCCGCCGCCTTCGCTCTTCTTCTGTGTCACGCACGTGAATGGATGCGTCTTTGTCTCAGCACTTCTCGCTCCTTCTACGATCATAACAAATAGATATGGAAGATATTGAATGATCTATTCGAAGCCCCGAGCTGTGATTGATCGTATCTGACTACTCATACAAGTTATCTCGCTGGTTTGCTCTTGCTGCTTCGGACCAAGTCTCCACTATTGGCCATGTTATTGCCGAGGGAGGACACATCTTCAGGGTCTTGTTCAACTCAATCCAAACGTCCAATCATCCCTCTCACACAGCAATGCACCGTGGTATTGTAAGCTATAGAAATGCACAGTACTCTTCGGAAAGAAGTAGCATCCATTGAGAGTCGTGCTTTCGTTTGCTCTCTCTGGGTCTCACCTCCTGTCTGGAGACAACTGTGCATTCGTATAGCTAACTATCTTCATCGTGTGGGACGGAAGTGACGACCTCGCACAGATTCGTCACTGATCATGCTATAGTGGTCAACACACCTTTGCATTGACAAAGCTAGGTCGAGACTGTCGAAAGCTGGTGTGGCTAGGTCTGGGCCACGAGTTACATTCCAACCAGCCACTTCACCCACCTACTATCAACACCAATTATCACGCACAATCAGGAGACAAGAAATTGATGTTGATGCAAATCTTTGGGGATTTCCGCTAAGTACAGTTGTCGCATGCTAATCACTCATTTGTGCAATCGCCTCCAACACACCGATCCTTTCCACGCCCAGCGCTATGAACATCCAATGCTCCCATTCTGCGAGAATCCCCAAAGAGGGCTAAAAACATTAAGAAAGAGTAACGAACATGGCTTCGTCAAGAAGGTTAGACAAATGACAAAAGAACTTGTCGCCGTTTATGCGACCAAGGCGAAGAGCGAGTTCAACGTGTTCTGGATGAGACCAGAGTCGCATTGGCCAGAGATCCACGAGGCGTCGAGGCTGGTGGGGAGCTGGTAGTCGCTATCGAGGACCTTGATGTGCATGTTCTCGCCGTTGAGGATGACCATGGCCTTCATGCTGCCAGATGTGGGACGCTTGAAGTAGTCCGAGTTGCCACCCTTGATGTTGCTGTGAAGAGTAGACTTGCAGCGGAGATCACCAGGAGCAAGGACCTCGAAGATATCAAACTCACCACAGCCGGTGGTCCAGCAAGAGCACTCAGCCTTGCCGTACTGGAGGGTGCGAGGGATCTGAGCGTTGAGCATCCAGATGGCGGGCATGTCACCGTTGGTGGCAGCATCAGTGTTGCCGTCAAGAGGCATCTCGAACTCGAAGAAGAAAGCCTTCTGAGCGCCAGCGAAGCCATGGTAAGCAACGTTGCCATCACGGTAGTAGCCGCAGTCACCATCGCACTCTTTGTCGGACATGATGATGACCTCGTGGTTGGAGGCAAGCTGGGTATCGGCGAGGACCTGAGGGGAGGAAGCACCAGCATCACCCTTGCTGTTGGAGTAAGAGAGCGAGTTGCCGAAAGTGTAGTCGAAGACACCAGAGCCTTGGCCACCGTTGTGGTTAAGGAAAACAACGTTGTCTGCAGAGCCAGCCTCAGAGTTGTAGTAAGCCTTGCGACCCCAGGATCCAGAGCTGCTAGAAGAAGAAGCAGAAGATGAAGCGGACGAGGAGCTTGAGCTGGCCTTTGCGACGACGGCAGAGCTGGAGCTGGAAGCACTGGAGCTGTATGCGACAGGAACGTTGACCTTGAGAAGCTTGTTCACGAAACCAGCCGAGGCAGGCTCGGTGCTTGAAGCAGCAGGAGCAGGAGCAGCAGAGGTGGTGGCTGCAGGAGCAGGAGCAGCAGCAGTAGAAGCGACACCAGACCATTCGTTGATCCACGAAACTACATTTCCGTTGATAGTGGCAACTACCACATCACCGACAGCACGCTTCTCGACGTCCTCGTCACGCTTGTGCTTGTGGACGTGGTTGTGGGCGTGGTTGTGACGGTGCATGGCACTGCGCTTGGCCTTCTTGGAAGAGTCGGAGGAGTCGGTGCTGGGCGAGAAGAAAGCGAATTGCTTGATCTTGAGAGGTCCACGGAAATGAAGAGAGACTTCCTCGTCAAGAGGAGACATCTCTCCAGAGTAGCCATAGGGAGTGGAAGAGCAAGAGCCAGAGTTGCTGTCCATCTTGGTGATCTTGTTGTAGTTGCCCTTGCCCATCATTCCAGTGTAGGTGATGGCATCGACAGCTTGGCAATACCAGTTGCCATTGTCGTCGACGGAACCCTTGCTGCAGAGATCGGCGGCAGCTCCAGAGATGGATGCAGCCAGGAAAGCACTGGCGGCGATGAAGTTCTTCATTGTGTGTTGAGCGTAAGAAATTGCTTGGTTTGGTGTAAAAGGTGCGCAGTCGACTATATGAGGCGAAGAGCAGTAAAGCAAGGGGGTATCAAACGCGTCTTCAAAGCAAGTTGGGTAAAGATCGTGGCAATGTCACTAGGACACTTAAAAGAATGACTGCTGGTCAGGTATGTTTGTTATTGGTACTGGATGACGAAGTGAAGGAATGGANNAAGTCCTCGAGGCCGACTCGGGGGCTGGGGACTGAGATAAAGCGAGATCGAGGACCCGAGCATATTGAACAATGCAAGCAGTGAAGCGCTTGGTATCATGGTCATGGCACGCCTAGAGTTCGCCTTCCTGACAAGCGCCGTNTAGAGCGAGTCGCAGGGTGGGGACATAATTTCACGAACATTAGCGTGGATGCATGTGGCTTGCTTGATATGNCCGTTGTCTTCGACGTCTGTCGCGCGACAGCGAGCAAAGAGCGCTATTGTTCTTGACCAGTCAACCGATGTTTGATGAGATGCGGTTGCTTTTTGTTTTCGTCAAATGACGACCTAGACATTGTCCAAGGCGATCATTGGGGATTCAATTACCGTGCTCCTCGACCGAGGAAGATCTGACCAGACCATCCCCAACTTGGTCCGAGGTGTAAGAACTATGCACGGCCGTCGCAGGTCTGCTCGACGTTTCACCATGGAACTGACTCTGTGCGCCACCCTGCATATCTGTCGCGCCCGACATTCAGGAAGCAGGCGAGAAACTAGCAACGCTTGTACTCACCGGGTATACAGAGCGGGTGTCAAATGCCTCGACGGACGGTCGCTTGCTTGCGAATGGACAGCATGTGGTCGCGATATGATAACCTTCTTTCCCTGTCTCGGCCGCAGGAACACCCGCAAAATCCAACGCCGACTGTCTGGAGATTTGTCCCTGCAGATACAAAATAGTCAATTCAGATCCACCGCGCCAAGGCAGAAATAGCGGTCCACATCCCATTCAAACGTGACACGGCATGACTATTGGTCTTTGATTTGACGGCAGTTGTGTGTTGGTGTGATACCCAGGAAAACATGGGAAGAAAAGAGTGGACCGCGGTACACATGGCAGCCTGAGTCAGGAGTCAGGACAACTCACGTTACTCAGATCCAAGTCTCAACGGCGCGGATAGCAACCCGATGCTGTGTATCCCGATCAAGTCGTCCTTCGAACGGGAATACCGTTGTTCATGGCCCATGTGTAAGCATAGCCAGTTGACAAGACCTCAGATACATCTGCCGTGCCTGGTAAGGCGCTCGGCATAGCACGGGACTTGGATGTTGATATGGCAAAAGTCAAGTAGCGAGAAAATCATGTTTTGATACAAGATATTTAAGATTGCCATGAAGAGTTCAATGAGAACCAAGAATGCTATGCGCGACAAAATTCGAGCCAAGAGAGAATACATCTTGCGGACAAGAGCCAAGGACTTAGCAGGGGTTAAGGGGCTATCGGTGTGTTCAACACTGAGCCACGCCGGTGCCGAGTGCTCGTATAAGCAGAGCGTATCGTGCTTGCGTGAAGAAGAACTTGTCTACAAAGGTCATTCGTTAGCCAGGTGTCTGAATAGTGAAGCGACCAAGATGTGGAGTGTGGTTGGATAGATCAGAAGTCCGCTAAGATCATCGAGGCTCGAAAGCCTCTGACATAAGAGGTACCAGAAAAATAGTAATTGACAAAATTCATCATATGAAAGGTGGTGGGGATGAGTGAAGAGAAGTCGGCTGCATACCAATTTTTAGTCGGGCAGTGCCTGAGGCTGTACATGAGCGGCCTTAAAGCATCAGTATATGCGTTTACGCACTCAGCGAGCCATCAAGCGCTGCCCAAGGATGTCGAGGATGAGGTTGAACAAACTGTTCATGTTGCAGAGAACAAAAGCTCTCGCAAAGACGAAGCGCAGAAGTTTTTGCCAGGACGACGGCTGAAAGTCGGAAGCTGCCGCCCACGAAAAAGTCTTGGCGTCTAGTGAGCGGGCGAAATTGATTTCAGCTTTGCTTCCTGGACGAGATTTTGAGAACGACGAACGAGCATCCGACGACCCTTCATCCGACAACTTCTACTCCAAACCGACATTCAAAATGGGCCGTCTTCATTCCAAGGGAAAGGGTATCTCCTCCAGCGCCATCCCCTACTCGCGCGCTCCTCCCGCATGGCTCAAGACCACTCCCGAGCAGGTCGTTGACCAGATCTGCAAGCTCGCCCGTAAGGGTGCCACCCCTTCGCAGATTGGTGTCGTCCTCCGTGACTCCCACGGTGTCGCCCAGGTCAAGGTTGTCACTGGTACGTTACGCCCGTCGCATCTGGATTCTGCGCAAGCCAAAGACTAACACATGACGCAGNGTAACAAGATTCTCAGAATCCTCAAGTCCAGCGGTACGGTCTACCCCGTGTGAAGGAAAGAAGAAGATGGAAGCGCAAGAGATTGCGACGAACCACTTTTCCACACATCAACTCTGCCTCTGTTTGGTCTTTGACTGACGGAGTGATATTCAATAGGCCTTGCCCCTGAGATCCCCGAGGACCTCTACATGCTCATCAAGAAGGTTTGTTTGCACTCCCGTCAAAACTTCTGCGCCCGGTTGGCTGACACAATTCTCTCAGNNGCTGTTGCCGTCCGCAAGCACCTCGAGCGCAACCGCAAGGACAAGGACTCCAAGTTCCGCCTGATTCTCATCGAGTCCCGTATTCACCGTCTGGCCCGTTACTACAAGACCGTCGGTGTCCTTCCCNCCACCTGGAAGTACGAGTCCTCGACCGCCTCCACCCTCGTCGCATAAGCGGCTCTTGACTGAGAAATGTCGAGTGGAGGAAGAAGCATCGATACCACATGGCGTTCAGGGCATGTGTATTTGGAAGGTCGCCAGGGTTTTCACTAGCTCGTTGCAAAGGGATGAAAAAGTAAATGAACGACAAGGGAGCCACTTTGGACCCTCACCAAAAATCATGTGTCCGATTGTCATTTTAACTCTGTCCATCTTTGGGACCCGCGCTCGATGTGATAGTGTTTCCTGTTTCTACCACACTAATGAACCTGATGACCTGATGAACGCCCTCGCTATGCAATGCATCCCAGTAAAAGTTCCCATGTCTTCCATGCCCAGGCAATGATTTACTCTCCCTCGATCTCAGCACTGCGCTTCAGAAGGAACTCACCCATCCACTTCAGCGGCTTCTCGGGTCGGTAGAAGATCAAATACTTGGTGCCCTCCAGATAGTACGTGACGAGGTTGTTGAGGTAGACTCTTCCAGAGGAGCCGTGCTCGCGGGCCTGCTCGGGTGGCAGCGAGACTGTGGGAGGGATGGAGGAGGGTCTGGTAGGTGCAGGCGAAGGAGTGGGTGCCGAGATGGGCAGAGACGCGGGGATTGGCGCAGCGGCGGTAGCAGGCAATGGCGAGACTGAGGGAGCTTGGGCGACTGGGGGAGGAAGAGTTTGGGTGGTTTGCGCGACGGCCGAGTCGGCGGTGAAGGGCTGGTTGATGAAAAGGACTCCCTCTTCCTCGGTGGCTCCGGCGATGTGCTCTGTGGTAGAGGGAATGCTGTGGACCGAGGACTGCTGATAGTTAGCGGCGCATTCCAACATGTCTGCCGCCGAGAGCTGTCTTACCTCTGCAGCTTCCTCCTTCATCTCAATATCTTGAGTAGATGGGACCGTCATGTCGTTGGGCTGTTCGGCCATGTTGATATGGCTTGTCGCTTGACTCGTGTGTTTTGCGAAAGTTGCAGATGTTTGCGCATTCGAGTAGAGTAGCTTCACCCAGAGTGTGGCTGGTCCGTGCGCTTGGTGAGTCTGTGCACTTGGTATAGGCCCTTGTCGTGAGACTTCTTGTGTTGCTTCTCTTCGACTGCAAATTCGACATCTTGAATCCGACAACAGCCGTCCATGTATATATCTCAAGTGCTGGAGACAAATTCTGAAGCCATCTTAGGTAGCAGGTCATCAGTAGCGCCTGGAAGATTCAAGGTAGGTCGCTTGACATCATGTCAGTAAGTCAAGATGTCGTACAACCATTAACCAGGCCGATATCTGGTATATCGAGCCACTTCAGTCGAGAAGATAGAAAGCACTCAGTCGTGCTCTTCACATTGTGCGCAGGGCTGTATATGCCTTGTAAAGCGCATTGCTTCGGTGTCGACAAAGCCTCTGGAGAGCGTGTATATACGAATGCATACGGATGCCTGCTACGCCTTTCCTGGACGCGACACTGAGGCAGAACAGATCGTATGTGCTCGAATATATACAAAGCGTCCCTCACAAAGAGCGTATCAAGAAGACTAAATCGTTCGTTTGATATGATCTTAATCCTGAGAAGCGCATTCTATCTTCTTCCAGGCAGCAGGGAAAGCGTCAGAAGGTCTCATTCGAATCCAACACCAGACTCTTTGTGCTCGATCACTTACAGATACTTGGCCAATCAAGACTATCGTTGACCCCGACGACCTGGTGCCGTGCTTGACTGTGATCTTGTCTTGCGCTCACCCCTTCACTCAACAACGCAAACAACACAGCAAGAAGCTCGAACTCATCTCACTTCTGCACTTCCTTTTGCTTTTTACTCGCTTTCCGCCCCTCTGTTCCTCTGTCCCTCTCCTACCGCCACAACCCAAACACTCTCATGACCTCTTCTACTTCTACCTTCTTCAACACCACACACCTTCAACACAATGCCTCCCAAGGGTTCCGTAAGTCATCTTCTTTTCTTGTTCCAGCACACTGTTTCCCTTCCACTACACCTTCCACCCTCTGTCCTCGCTATCTGTTTGCCTCGGGTCAGAGCGAAGTCGCGCTCCGGGTCCACCAGATCTCTCTCCTTTCTGCACTTCAATCCTTTCTGCACCTCAATTCTGTTTGCCTGCCCCGGGTCGATGCCAGCTCGCGTCTCGGGTTCACAAGACCCTCACATCAGGGGCTGGCATCCTCTCTCTAGACTGTTTCAAGCTTGAGTCTCCTTTCTGCATTTCGACGCTGCTTACGATGCTCTCGGGATGCTACGAGCTTATCCTTCGGGCCGATGCGAGCTCATGTACCAGGTTGACGACGTCGACCTGGGTTCACACAAGCTCGACTATACTTCTTGCTTTACTATGCTGTCCATAATGCCGTCTTCCCACCTCGAGATGCTACGAGCACGCGCCTCAGGTCTATGCGACCTCCAGGGGCTCTCAAATCGCCATGGGTAGCTTACAGACAGCATAGAAATGCAGCAAGGAGACTCAACCTCGTAACGGTCCAGAGAGAGCATACATCCGCCTTTCATCTTCCTCTTGCTTTTGCCTATCATCTTCCATCTTCTGACTCACTTGGCTTCTCACTTTGAGCTATCACCTTGTCTTTTACTTTCCCTCACTCAAACCCTACTCATCCACCTATATATCTACCACTCTTCTTCTTCTTTTCTTCTTCCTACACATACACCACCCATCCACGTTCAACTTACTCATGGCTCGACAGAAGAAGGCTGCCGTGGCTCCTGCCACTCCCAAGGCCGGATCCGGCGACGAGGCTCCCGTTACCCCCGCCACTGAAGTCAAGAAGACTCCTAGAAAGCGAGCACCTGCCAAGGTCTTCAACAAGCTGTCGACTGCTCTCAGCAGTGCTGCCCCCGTCGACGTGACCTTTGAGAACGACACGGTCCAGAGCAAGCCTCTGGCCAAGGACGCCAACCATGGACAGACCGTGAGACTCGTTGCCGCCCAACCTTTCGAATTGGTCGCCTCCTGCATGCTTGACAACGGTCTTCAAGCAATCATCATCAAGCCCAGTGCTCCTTTCCCATTCATGAAGCTCCCCAAGATTCTCCGCACCAGAATCCTGAGCCTGAACCTGGCTCCTACCACCAAGGGCAGAATCGAGATCGTCACCGAAAGCAAGAGCGGCAGCGTCAAGACTAAGGACTACTCGAAGGAGTTCAAGGAGGATGCACACTGCACTCATGCCAAGCACAGAGTTGCCATCGCTCAGTTGAACAAGGAGGTTCGTATAATACACTTACAGTCCTTCTTCTAATCCGAACTAACCATGATCATCTAGATCGCTGTCGAAGCGCGCCAAATCCTCTACAGCTACAAGCTCCGCTTCGACTCCACCACCACCCTGCTCAACTTCCTCAGCTTGGTTGGAGAGGAGGCTCGTAAGGCCATGTCGACCATCGCCATCGTCAGCTACATCAAGGCTACCGCCATGCCTTGCATGAACATGTTGGCAGACTGCCGTAACCTCGAAAAGGTCGTCATCGTTGGCGGCGTTGGCACCAACAGCACTCCTCAGAAGACTGCCAAGTCGTTCTTCACCGAAAGCGGCCGCCTGCTGCAGACCCTCGTCCACGCTGCTGATGGCAACAAGGACGCTGCACTCAACATTGTCACCTTTGGCAAGAAATGCTTCAGCATCAAGGAGGAAGACAAGCTTGTCGACTGGGACCAGGAGCAGACCGATGAGTTCACCGAGCTGATCACTGACAAGCTGAAGTAAGCGCGATCTCTACACTTTGAGCCCTAAGCACACCTTCCACCCCCTACACCTCTACTCCTGCACTCGTCGCTGGTTTTTTGTTGCGTTTCGCCCTTGCTTCCCCCTTTGTATCTCAGTCTTTGCAAAGGAACAGATGGAGCTTGGGCGCAGATTCGACCAGAACGTCAACAGCATGCACAAGGAGCCAGATCAGTTCAGACACGAGACGTTTGACCATGGTCTTTGCAGGACCAACAATTTTCCCTTTTCCTTTTTCCTTTTTTTCACCACCACCACCATTAGATAACTTGCCAGACTTCGGTTTCGCAAATTGCCCCAGATACCACCCCAGAAATCAAAACCATCCCCATCATTCTTCTTCTTCTCGATACGTGATGATATATACTGAGTCTCGTTTTTCTGTGCTATAGCAAGGCCCTTACTTCACCATACTGGACTTGTGTCTGTGGTTGTTGCCCAAGCCTTGGTCATAACTGTGGTGAGATGATGGGTTTGCGTGCTGGCGTGAATGCTCTGCGTCCTCTGGTTCACTAGCGTGTTGCTGATTTGCGTTTGACAATTTGAGGTTTTGGTGGCTTGGTTTCTCAGACAGGGGTGGAGAGTCAGGAGGTCTCGTGGATGTTATATGGTTTCTTACATCAGATTGATGGCGAATGATCGGGGCAATGTTATCAAAGAGGCACCGTTCCTTCTCAATCGAGTGACTCGTTGGCTGTCTGTTGATCTGTTGATCTGCAGATTCCAGAGGGAGCTGTGACAAAGGGCTTATCATCTACAGCTTGGCTTCTCGCTGGTCATGTCTACAATTAGGAGAAGATTGTGCATTTCTACAGCTTAGGAATTGTTCTACAACTTCCTTGGAAAAGAAGTATTCAGATCAATGAGTAGTCTCAGGTGGGCGTTCTGAGGAAAGTAGTCTTCCTTCCCGGTGATGAGCTCTGTTAGGAACAGCCATAGAAATGCATGATGCTATTGCAAGATGGGAGCATGTTCACTGAGAGCGAGGAGATCAACAACTGCTATTATGTAAAGAGAAAGGTATCATAACGATTGGAAAAAATGGCAATATCAAGTGCAAGTAAGGTCAAGAGCAGTATTGTGTGTTTTCGAAGATTTGATTTCCGTCGTTAAAGTCGTATCTCGATATACATGAGGGGCCGACCACTTTCACAGCAGCCATTGCTTCCTCAAGGACATTGGCTCTTGCCAGTCCTTTCCATATTCAACAAGGATTCCTCCTAGTCTTGGTCGTAAACATGATGTGTTACGAAGCCATCAATCACATTGATATGGCAATGGTATCGTCGAGGTCGTGATTCTGGGTTGATGGGGAAAGCGAGTCGCTTAAGAAGAGTGCTTCTCAGCCTCCTTCTCGACGAAGGGCTCCTTGTTGCCGCCCTGGCCGGTGGAGGTGAGGGTGGCACCGGAGAGGCCGCCGCCGGAGGCGTTCATGCCCTCGATGCTGTCTCCCTTCTCGATCTCGGGCATGGGGGCAGCCTTGTTGCTGCGGTCGACACCAGTGGATGCGGCNCTATTGAATTGTGTAAGCTTCAGAAGGTGGTCAGATTGGGAGAGCTGTCAAGAACTTACACCGCCAGCATCACCGTGGACAATGTTGTGACCAGCCTCAATGGCGTTGTCACCAGCTCCAGATCCGTCGCGAGGCATGTTTGATATGTGGTTGGTGGGGGTTTGGTTTTGGGTATAGAAGAAAAGATTGATGTTTGTTGCTTGAAGAAGAAATCTGACCGAAGAATGGGATATGCAGTGCCTTTTGTTTTGCGAGCTGAGTTGTCTTCGGAGCAAAGAGCTTGCTGGGTAGCTACCTCATCGCTGACGTCAATTTCGTCTTTCGTTCTCGGTTCTTTTGTGGAGAAAGCTCGTCACTTCCTCCCTTGGCACGTCGCGTGCCCTCCATATCGAGATGCAGGTCGGAGTCTGACTGATGAGAGTAGGACGAAATTATTGCTTGCATGATAGCGGTTGTCTGCAAAATACCAGCTTCGGTCGCGATACCTGACGGCCAGTGTCAATCAACTTGTCTGAAAGGTGTGCCATGCCCTAACCACAACGAACACGAACGACCATCCTTGCTGTGCATACTGCTATTATTGTTTGATGATACTTCTCCCTGGAAGCCAAGTTGGTATGCTACTGCTACTGCTGGTGCGAAGGAGTTGTCAAGAATCTCGAGTATTGTTTGGGGACCCAAAAACGAAGGATAGGCTTAGATAAGATACCACGTACCGCAGGTCAGATTCAACCTTACGTGCTGAACATAGTCATCGCCATAAAATATGCTCCTTTCTTTCATGGTACAGAAGTTGGCAACTGACAGACCATGAAAAGACTACAAGCATGTCGACTGTTAGAAAACGTACGTGTCACGAAAGAGCGGAATGGAGCCAACTTGAAAGTATGAACAGTATTATAATTAGTGTTTAATCTTTGCTAAGAGTACACATGCCTAGCATAATGGCGACTAGCGCTGCTGAGGGCAAGAATGAAGTGTATACTTCATCTCATATCACAACTCAGGAATGTTCGTAACAGACTTCAGAAGATGCTTAGCCACTCTGGTACAAGCCCAGAGCGACAACATGAGGGTTGATCATGGAGAGGTTGAACGGGGTCAGGAACATGTCGATGTCGGTGAGAGCGACGAACATGGTACCGTTGACGACGGAAGCACCACCACCATAGATCTCACCAGCAGGCTGGTAGGTGTAACCAGAGTTGTTGGAGGTCTTGATGAGAGGAGTGTAGGTCAAGTTGAGCTGAGAAGCCCAGGCAACGAACTGAGGCTCGCCGGCGACAGGGTTAACGGCGGTAACGTAGCTGTTGTTGGGACCGACAGCAAGGCCGGGGGCATCCCAGGTGAAGTTAACCTGCTTGCCTGCGAAGGAAAGAGGCTCGGAGCGGTTGCGGGAGATGGCAGGGCCACAGCCGTAACCAGTGACGTTGAGGTGCTGGCAACTCTCCTCCTCGGGGATGGTGGAGATGCTAGGGTCAGAGGTACGGTTACCGGTAACCTCGAAAGCGGCAGTGTCGTTGGCAGACCAGCGGTTGATGTTGGGCTGGTTGACAATGTGGAGAGCGGGGAAGTTCTGCCATGCGAGACGAGTGGTGTTGGCGGGGCACGAAGAGATGTAAGGAGCAAGGAAAGTCCAGGCCCATGACTGGGGAATACCGGTCTCGAAGTAGACGGGCATGGGGAAGAGACCGCTCATCTGGCGGAAGGCCATCTGCTGGCGGGCCTCGGTGGCGATGGACTGAGCAAGAAGCTGACCAACCTCACGGCTGTCGAGGTGGTTGATGAAACCCCAGACACCAGACTCACCATAACGGGTGAGCTTCTGGTTGAAGTCGAGGAACTCGCGGACAGTGGTGTAAGGGTAGTTGTAGGTGCACTGAGGAGGTGCGGTGTGGCCGAGCATGTTGGTCAGAAGAGTGGCGTGACCCTCCTCTTGCTGGGCCATGAAGCGGATGAGCTCACGGTCCTCAGCAGTGAGACCGGCAGCGATGAAGTCCTCCTCGGAGAAGGTAGCGAGACCGTTGTTGAAAGTGTCGAGCTCGATCCACTCCTGGTAGAGACCAAGGGTAATGGATTCGTAGTCGAAGTCGGACTCAACCATGTAACGAGGAAGAGAACCGTTGGTACCAAGACCACCAGCGGGGGTGTAAGGAGCAGGCTCGGGTTGGGTAAGCTTGCCATCGGTGTTGTAGTAAGTAGCGGTAGGGTTGGGAGGAAGAGTAGAGACGGTCAGGCCAAGAGTGGCAGTGGTGACAGCGCCGACGATAGTGGGAACACCGCTGTAAGGGCCGTGGGTGGTCGAACCAGTAACGTCGCTGCTGCGAAGAGGGTAGCCGGCTCCGGAAGCAGTGCCGTTGGGAGCAGCAGTAGCAATGGCATTGACGGCAGAGTTGGTGCCGAAAGAGGTGGCGACGTTCTCAAGGTCGACAGAGGCAGAGTCAGACTTGTAAGGAGCATCGGCACCAGTGTAGGCAGGAACCTGGCTGCCGTACTCAGACGAAGCCTGAGAGGCGTAGACACCCTGCGATTGAGAAGCAGGGGCGGCGTAGGCAGCGCCTGCAAGCAGGGCCGAGGCGACAATTAACTTGGAGAACATCTTTGCGATGGTGTGAGAGTTCAATGGTCGATGGGAGAGCAGACTGGATGAAGCATGGCTCTACATATATATCCGGCATGGCCTGCAGGAACGACATTTTCGCCATGCAGCGTCATCGGCAACCAGCATGCCAAAGGTACCGCAACGTGACATCAACACTCTCGACAGAAGGCGATCTTGATCTGGGAGTGGTAGATGCCGCCCCGTTTGTCCTCGATCGAGGTCTGCGGTCTCGGTTGCAACCATTGGGGTAGGCACTAAGGTACGCTCCGTGCACACATCAATAAAGATGGGCGACTAGGGTAAGCCGCACCAGCCAAGACATCGATAGAACATGCCTGATCGAATTCTTCGAAACATGCGCCGGGGAGCATACCGAGTTCAGCGTCCTGCCTCCATGAACCTTTTTCGCCTTTGGATACGACGTACGTTGGGAGTGCTTACGACAGCAGTCGCGTCTCTCTGTAATGCCTCCAGTCGTGGAGGCAAGTGACATGCCACGGGCGGAGATATCGAGATTGACAAGACTTTGTGTCAGGGCGCCTATGCGGCTGAGAAGTTGCAACGAGCCTCATGGAAGATCCACGTCATGAGCTTGTCAGACCGTGCACTTCCATGCCAAATATTTGTTGACATGCGAGTCGCGAAAACAGCACCAGCAATTTATTCTAACCAGACCATGGTTGCTTGACCTACCTCGGGCACGCCAAGCTGGTACCAGTCACTCCACTGGTTCCCCTGTCACACTTAGTGCTTGTATTCCTTGATCGAGGCGGCCATGCCAGTGTATCACGAACATGATCTTATCAGATTGATATCTTCATAGTCGACCTCCGACCATAAAACCCACTTCGTTCCTTTCTCGACGCTTATCACTGAGCCAGTTGTCAAACACAGCCTGTGTGACATCTCTGTATATTATCTCCAACGCAATGGAAGTAGCCATGCGATACAGATCATGGTCTCCTCGTTCTCAAACCTCAACAAAGGCAGAGAGCAGTTTTTGCCCATGACGACATTTATCCGTCATGTCAATATCGGATATGTCTCCGTGTCTCACATCTGACTCCGAGGTTCCCAGAGTTGGAACCATGTTCCTGAACGAGCGTGCATCACCAAACCCCCATGTTCTCGTATGCCATGTCTGAATACTGTTATGCTAAGTTTTTGATGGGTTTCCCGTCCACATTGGGGGCAGGGGCGTCAAGGTGAGGGCACAGGCCTTATCCAACACAAGCATCCCTTGCGATCTTTATGGCCTTGGTGCTCGTGAGCGGCTCGTCTTTCCAACGAGATGCCGATGGAGAGAGCCGCGCACATCCTCACCAAGCATCATGATCATCATCCGATAACCGTTCGGAACATGCCTTTCGAATTGTACACCTCCATCTTCGGTGCCCTCTGCCGTCGAGGGCATAGGGCAGCTTTTGCAGGCTCCTGTACGCACCTCGTGCGAGGTACGCGTTCCGAGTTACTTTGAATGTCGTCGATATCGCCCCATTCTGAGAGATGTCGCTGCTCACAATCCGGATGATTTGTCCGATTTGTGCAGGCGCCACAACAGCTCCCTGCTCATGCTCATGATTCGCACAGTGCGGTGGTTCCCGCGACTCCAAGGTTGTGGATCCTGTCACTGATGTTTCCCTGTCAGGCCTCACCCATGTTTTCACTCACTGGGTCGGTGCCCCTTTGTCAGAAGGGCCTCGTTCCACGTGCGAGATGGCAATATCACTTTCTGATATCGAGCATCGTCGATAAACTTGAATTGGGCCATCTATCTGCCAGTGATCTACCAAGTAATATCGTGCTTGTTTAGCTCGGTATCGCTTCAGAGCCTCTCTTCGGCGAGGCGTTCTACTTATCGCCGCAAGCCGTCGGACACTGTCTCTGTTGCTCGTTTACAGTCGCGCTGCCGTCTGACCGAGCATATCTAGTACGCCTAGCGGCCATCTCACCAATCTACATGCGATGCTCAACTGCTACGAACAGACTTCAGTCCGCTCAGCTACCTATTGGAGACCAATGCTAGCGTCACGAGCATCCAATCAAGAGATATGAGGTTGAGGAGCCACAATTAATCGTTCAGCTCGAGCCTTTTACGGACATTCGAAATCCTATGGCACATTCCCACCGACTTGAGGTATGTGATACGGAATGGCATCTTCACGATGCTAGTTTCCTAGCAACTATGGTCTTCGGCATCAGAACTGCTCACCATCGTTCATGTGATTTGTATCACGGACGAATCTACGATGGCACAAAGATTCGTCTTCTGGATCTCCACACTGTGTACCGGCTCCACCTTGATCCTCTCCCTTTTAAATCCTCCCTTGAATCCTCCCCATGCGCCGAAGACTTTCACAATCCCACTTCAAAAATGCATGGTACTCTCTAAGAGGAAGTAGTATCCACGGAAAGGGCGTTGTCGTATGGTATCCCCATGGCTACGCTTGCTTCTAGGAAGCAATCATGCATACAATATCATTGTATGTCAATATAAGCGAGCGTTACTCCTTCCTATCTTGCTTTCTCGCACCTTCCGTATATACTACATTGTCCTCTCCTCTACGATAATCGCGCTTTCCATTTCTGCATACATGGCACCTCGACGTTTTGGTGTCTTGTTCGTCTCTTTCTTGGCGCCGAATATGGCTTGTCGCAACTGTTTCGTTAAAACACGTATTGCTCATGATTACACATCTCTCTACAACTTATCCACCACTCTGGTATTTCATTGTGTAGATACTTTCCACATAATGTCCCTAAATGCAGATGCCCCGCCTCTAGATATGAGGCAAAATCCATCGGCAAGATTTTGATAAAGGCGACCTATCTTCGTAATGGGGTCAAGTTTTTCACTTTGCTCTAGCAAAACAAATGCTATGCCACGACTTCGTAAGGCTTACCTTATATCGATGTCTCGAATTTCGTGGTCACAAGATTGCTGAGAATGTCGTCTGGTCATCACTGAGTTCGGAGTCGAGAAAGCTGCAAGCTTCGGACCAAAAATGTAAACACGAAATATGCGACAACAAGCATCTAATATGGTTGTACAAGTACACCAGAGACTATATTACTACACACTCAGCATAATAAGCGTATGCGTACTTTAGCATTAGCATACATGATTGATGGAAAGATATAAAAAGCACAAGGTCAGGGTGTTACCAACGGCTTCGTAGTGCAAAAGAAAAAGAAAAAAATGAGGAAGAAAAAATACACGCGTCGAAATGTCGAGGTCGAGAGCCACAGACAAGATGACCAGAGTGTGACTCTGATTGTTGAGACAGGACAAAGACATTTAACAGATCTAGATCTCACAGATAATCCCAGCAACACTTTCAGAGAGAAACAGTATCAATTTGATGTTATGAGGAATAAGATGATGATGGAAAGGACCGCTGGTGGAACATGTCCAAATCGTTGACTCGTTAAAACACCAAACTTCATAAGAAACTTCTCAGTCTAATCCAACCTCCGCTCAACTCATCATTCATAACCAACTTTCCCTTCTTCGTATTCATTGGCTATAGGTTTAGATGAGCGCGATCTGGAATCGCCTAGTTCGATCCGGCAAGAGAGCTGGCATCAGCACCATCAGGGTAATAGAAAGCCGAGACGCTGTGATTATGTTAGCTGGTTGTGATATGGTAATGTTAAGAAGTAGGGACTTACGCAATAATCACATAGGCTGCAATGAGTAGAGCACCCTCTAGGTAGTTACTTCTGCCGTCAAGGACCAAGAAGTTGACCACAAACGCCGTAACGAACAAACTGATAGTCTCGAAAAGCGTAAAGTAGAGAGACATGTCACGACCGATGATCCAGCCGAGGATGACCACCAGGGGGGTGACAAACAGAGCGATCTGGATACTGCTACCGACACTGACACCGATAGAAAGATCCATCTTGTTCTTGGCGGCAACGGTGACAGCCGTGACGTGCTCGGCAGCATTGGAAACGATGGGCAGAATGATCAGACCAATGAAGGCTTGACTGACCGGAGTCGCGTCGATCATGGCAGGAATAGCATCGACGAGGAACTCGGCACAGACAGCGACCAGAGCAGTAGAGAAGAGCAGGAGAACAACAGCAGCAGTACGAGACATGCGGTTATGCTTTTCCTCCGTCTCCTCTTCGTATTCCTGTTCTCCACTCATGGCTCTAGGATAAGGAGGGAGGTTCTCTTGAGGAGGCTGCGAGGGAGTGTTTTGACGGTTGAGGCGGTCAGGCAGAGAGCTAGTTCTACGTAGCGCACCCACTCCAGTACGGGGCACCATAGGCGCGCCTGTGACAGGAGAACCGGAAGCCGGAGGTGGGGAGACAAAGACGTTCTGGGAGAGCATCTTAGGGAGAGTAGGACGGGGGAAGGCCTGACGAGAAGAGAGCTGGCGAATACCGAAAGACTTTCTAGGCGAGCCGGAGTCGACAGCGGGAGCGTAACGTACATCGTCGGAGAAGCCCACCTTAGGGGTGTAGTCCTTGACAGGTTGCTTGCCCTGTTTGCGGACCGAAGAAGCCTCGTCAATGGACTGCTTCTCGTCATGGCTGCCATGGCGTTTGTGATGATGTCTTTTCTTGTGCTGCTTCTTCTTCTGCTTGCGTGTGTCGGGCTTGGTATATTGGAAGTGCAGCTGTTGCTGATGCTCTTCGGTGACGGGTCCGTCGACGAAATCTCTGATGAGAGGAGGAGCGCCACGCATCTCGAGCTCGCCATCTGTATCAGCCTCATCGCCACTATTGATGGCACCGAGAGCAGATGGGCGACGCTGAGGCTGAGGCTGGACTATTTCTGATTGGTGGGAGTGGGCACGCTCCACGGATGGAGCACTGACGACAGAAGGAGCGCTGATGACCGAAGGAGTCGTGGCAGTGCTGGCACTCGACTTGCGGCGTCTGCGGTGTCTAAAGGCACGCCTGATACGCTTTGAAGTCGTGTGCGACGAGGTATCCGAGTCTGAAGAATCCGACGAGGATGAGCTATCGGACGAGCTAGACGAACCTAGCATGTCGGCCAAGATACCCGGGTGGGACTCCTCGTCAATGATCTGCTGGGGTGTACTTTCGTACAGGTAGGCATGTGACTTCAACTGGAAGAGCAGGTACAGAACATAGATGATGAGCAGAATGACACTGGTGCCTCTGCTGACCTTCAAGACTCTGTCGTCGGCAGTCGTGCTGTCCGAGAAGGAGGCATGGAAAGCCGTGGGCAAAACCAGACTCACGACACTCAGACTGAGCAGACAAGCACTCATCTGGGTGATGGTGCTGTTGTAAATCTGCTCCTGGAATCGGAGGCCACCAAGTAGGAAGGCCATGCCCATGATGAGCAGAAGGTTGGAGAGGATGGATCCAACCAGTGAAGCCTGAACGATACGGATCTCGTCCTTGACCAAGGCAATGATGAAGATGATCAGCTCGACGGCATTGCCGAACGAGACGTTCATCAGAGCACCCAGTGTATCGCCCAAGCGAGAAGCAACGACCTCAGTTGCGTATGACAGCATGCCAGCCAGAGGAATAATGGCAACGGCATTTAAAGCGAAGACGACCGAAGGGTTGATATTAAGGGCCTTAGCAATGATACCAGCAGGGACGAAGACGAGGAGGACGTTGATCCAGCTGTGGGTAAGGGCATCGTAGGTATGGAGACCAAATCTGACGGATCCAGCTTTGGCTCTCTTGACGATGGATGGTTTGGGGGCGGGCACATTGGGAGTGCCGTCTCCACCTCCTAGGGTGGGTTGGTTCGGTGATGCATGTTCCGACTTGACATGTTCAGGAGGAGGGGCTGGGCCGGGCAGAGCAGGCGATGTCTTCTCTGCGGTACTGTTGAAGGCGGTACTGTCATGGTGACTTGTGTTGTTGTTGTTGTTGATGACATGGTTCGACGCGGGTCCAGTCTTCTCCGCGTTCGGCAGATCTCGGGTCGTGGTTGGTAGAATGGGGCTTGCACTTCTGTGTGGCGTAATGTTGTTGTTGGTGGGGTGCTTTGAGCGATCAGAGGCGTGGTGTTTCGCCCATGAACGGATGCGGTCTAATAAAGAAGGGTCAGAAGGTTCTCCCATCGGCGTATAATCCACAAGGATGATTGAAGTGAAGTGAAGGAGGAAAGCAGAGTAGCAAGATAGCAGAGGGAATGTCTAGGCAGCTGGCGAGGGCATAGATAACCATCGTCGCAAGAGCACCAAGACGCTAGCTTGCATCGGCGCGCCGCTTCCGCTCCGGGCATCATGACAAGTTGAAATCGCGATTCATGGTCGCATGCCACTTTTGGAGAGCTTAAAACTTACGCATTTCGTGCTTGAGAGCCACCTATAGCTTCCAGATGCGTCGGTGCTTGTGGATGAGATGTTTATACTGCCCAATGGATGATGGTTTGCCTGCTGAAGCTGTCAAAACCGCTCTCCCTTTACGTGTTGTCAGAAACGTGAAAGGAAGTCGCCTTTAGCCACAGCCACAAAACAACGTATGCCAAGCGATTCATGCACGAATTGATTATCGGCCGGTATGGAAACCCGGAGTACCTTCTGCCGGCAAGCAGCAAACGTGCCGCGAGACATCAGCACCAAGGAAACAATCAGGTTCTTGGGTTACTTGGCCATGTCTACTTTCAGATCTAGCTGCATCCTATGCCTTCCTACTCGTCCGTTGACCACAAGAAGGATCAGGCTCTATCCCAGTTCCATTGCCGTGGTCATGGGTGTCTCCATAAGTCCATGCTGCTCCCTTGCGTCCGGGGCGGAGCGTGGGCGAGATTGCGCCAGAAATGTGGACCTGTGGCGCAGCACCGTAACACGTACCTGATCCTTTCCAGAACCCTTTACGCCCGAATTGAATCTGTCATCCATCCGCGCAGCTCTTGCGACCTCTTACGAATGCTATGAGTAGCCAGACACTTCTCTGCTTTGCTCCTCGTCTCGTCATGTTGTCGCATCTGTGCGTAGCAACACAAATGAGTCACCACAACACAGTAACAGGTTTGAAACAACTTCGAAGGGAGGCCTTGCTGTGTGGCTTGTCTCCGACCGCTGATCTATCAATCGTGACAATCTCAATGCCTGATAAGAGTGGTCATTCGCCAGTTAATTTCCCACAAGCGTGGTGGTATATCTTGATATTTGGCAACATGTTCAATGTCCCTCTTACTGGCCAATCCTGCTAAACCGTGCTGTATCATCATAGATACAGTCTCCGCAAGTCATCACTTGCACACGCGTAGCCTCCTGAAGTGCCTTGAACTTGTCCGCCCAGGTAACAGAACATCCAGAGTCTTCCGATTTGACAACGGGACACAGTGACCACGAGCACAGATCCAGTCTCATCTTATCCCAAGGCAAGGCATAATCATGCATGATCCTCGTAAGCTGGAACAGAAAGTGTTTGTTGGCATCGCTCATTGCTTCCAGCTTGGTCCTGCAGCTATCGTGTAGGTCTGCAAGTCCTTTGTGTGCGTATGTGAGTGTGTAGAGCTTGATGAAATGGTGTGCTCGGGTGACGTCGTCTCGTTCTTGTTGTGGAAGTGTGGATGGACGAGCTCGACATCTCGCATCGTGGCAGTTGTATTTTTGTTGGAGATACCTGCTCTCAATGATTTCGCATAGATATCTTGCTTGTCCTGCGATTTGTCGACTCAGGGTAATTCTATTGAGGGTTATTCCCAGTTTCTCTTCCTGAGGTGGATTCACCAGGATGACAGAGTTTCGAGGTTTGGTAGTGAGCTTTGCTGCTTCGTTTGCCATGATCAAGGCTTCTACTTCCTCGTAGCAAGTGGTTTGGCGGACGAGTAGGGGCTTGCTGATCGAACTGGCTCGTGTTTGCCAAAGAGCGTAGAGGCTTTTGCAACTTCTGAACAACGAAGACATGTCGCGGAAGCTCTCTTGAGCTCCAAAGATGGTCAATAATACCTCCGAAGGGAGGCTGACAATGAAGTCAGAAGCAAGAGGTGAGGTAGACATATGTGATGGGCTTAGACGTATACAGACGACAGATGATAGCTTTAAAGCACTCGAGAAGAGACGAAACAAACAATTTCAGATTTAAGGGAATATGGGAGCTTGTCTTCTGAAAGTTATCATGTGGACGTTTTTTCGTTTCTTTTGGCACCGGTGGCTTCGTCATTCCTCATCTGGTCAGGGTCTGTCGCGATTGGACAATCGAACCATGACTGTTGCCAGTATCGAAACGAGATAACTGATCAATGGTATAGACAATTCAGGACGAAGAAAGGCTTGTGTGACTGTGTAACAGCAGTTTATAGCATGTGTAGTCCACGGCAGTCGTTACCGACCGCTGCACCTGCACCGGATCTCCACCCACTTCCGAGCTCGCGAACACGTCGACTCGCGTCGCGATACACTTGTGACCATCTCTGCGCTCCTCCATATGCTGTTTCATGCCTCCGTGTTTCGTTAATCAGATCATCAAGCAAATCCAGCTGCGCATACAAAAGAGGAAGCGACCTTTGGGTCACCTCCGACAAACCGCTGCACTAGCGGATATTGGCACAGCTCCCTAATGGTTCCATCTCCATGCTGACTGAATGCTCTTAGAGTGTTAGGAGCGATGCCTTCCTCGACCCATCTAACCAAATCCCTATGAGCATCCGGGACAGGACCAGCTCCGCCTGCGCAGTGACCAACACCTGGAGCTTCGAAATATCTGTAGAAGTCTGGGACGTTCAAGGTTTTTGTAAGCACTTGGTCGTAATAGTGTGAGGTTCCATTGGGTGGGATACGATCGTCCGCAAGGCCATGCCAGGTGATCATCTTACCGCCAGCGTCACCAAACTCAGATAGATCTGGCCAGTTCGTGCCGATAATAGAGTCGTACTCTCTCTGAGATGCTTTGAGCACTGATAAGTATTCCGCATCTGACATTTTGCTCGTGTCATATGCTGGATTCTTGACGACGAAGAAACTGATCCATTCTTCTGGGATGGTCTTGCCTCTTGCGCTGCCGTTGCCGACTACGATAGCATCGTCTGCTGAGCGAAGGACTGCATCGTGGTTGACACCGAACCAAGGAGCTTTGCCATCACTATCTATAGGTCCAGTCCAAGCTGCTTGAGCTATTGTAGCACCTGCAGACGTGAGTTGTTTTTCGACGCCATCGCACTTGAATTTCTTGCCCACAACAGTATGCGGATCAAATTTACACAGACCAGGCGCTCCGATAATGCCGTCAGTTAGTCCATCGAGATCATCACATGCCTCTATAGCAGCAGCTCTAAAGGCCATGAGTTCGCAAGTNTGGGGGTACGCATCTAGCTGATGCATGCGTTGCTGAGCCCAGAAAGCAGAGACGACAAATGTTGGCCAGTCGATCGCAGGTGCCGCTGCAAGAATGCCATCGAAGAGTTTAGGAGAGCGCTGTGCAAGCATAAGACCTTGTCGACCTCCAGTCGAGCACCCATTCCAGTAGGAGTATTTCGGAGCGGTCCCATACAAAGAAGTTGTGATACTTTTGCCAATGACAGCCATGTCATCGAGCGCGCGATATGCAAAATCTTGCAACAGATTCCAGTTTACGTTTCCAGGGCTGGTCTGAGCCCAAGATGCAGCCGATCGTTCTACTCCATGTCCACCGTCAGTGCTGGCCGCGGCATAGCCCTGTTTGACCTGAGAGTTCAGGTATGGATGGCCGGTGATCCAACCTCCACCGCCAACAGCCATGAACCTGCCGTTCCAGTCTCCGAGTGGCAGCCAAATTGTTACATTTATGGTGTCGTTTTGTCGTGGATGAGTGTAGGTGACCGTGACATTGCAGAAGTTCAAACTATCTGCAGCAGCTGTTTTCGATGCAAAAGGTTCTGTACTCGAGTAACTCTTGACTTCATGAGCAGAGAGATTGATGATTTCAGCACCAAAGATGTCTGGCTTCGCGATAGCGTCTACCGAGCATCGCTTCGAAGCAGTTTGGCGACCAGATGGGCTGAGGGATATTTGTGCTTGAGCTTGCAGCCAAGCCAATGTGTGACCGATGAAGGACTTCATGTTTCGATTCAATCGAGGTTGTGCAGTGACTTCAAGAGTTGTGGGCACAAACCCGATGATGTTGGAAGGAGTGACTGAGACGCGGAGTCGTACGAGGTTGGCGTTCAGGAACGCCCTGCCGCATTCAATCTATTTCAACAATCACGTCAGAATCATCAATTTTTAGCGCGACATACATTTTATAAGCGTAAACATTCTCGTAGATTTTAGAGAGCTCTTCTGTGTAGAGGTTCTTCTAATGAAGTTTGTGTCTATAGTGACTTTCTTGAGCATTTCTCATTCCTTGATACCAGATCACGATAACCCCATCCCATAATTTCAAATCCTGGGCAAAACAGCTTGCCATAAAGTACAAAAGAGGGGCATTTAAGCATATCCTCTATCGGAAAATCATGGCCTCTCTGGCAGGACCTGTGCCGATCCACTTGACACCAACACCGGTGAACTTCTCGATGAACTCGATGTATTTTCTGGCGTTCTCGGGGAGGGCTTCGTATGAGTTGATGTTCGTGCTGTTGGTCTTCCAACCGGGCAGAGTCTCGTAGATGGGCTCGACCTTCGACAGCGCATCAATGGTGCCGGGGAAAGAGGGGACCTCCTTGCCGTCGACCTTGTAGCCGACAGCGACCTTGATCTCGTCAAAGTCGTCCAGGATATCCAGCTTGGTCAGGTTGAAGGAAGTGTAGTGGTTGATGGCGGCCGAGTACTTGAGGAGAACAAGGTCGAGCCAGCCGCAGCGACGACGGCGACCAGTGGTGACACCGACCTCGCGGCCGATAGTCTGGAGCTTCTCACCAATCTCGTTGATCTGCTCGGTGGGGAAGGGACCACCACCAACTCTGGTCTGATAAGCCTTGACGACACCAATGACCTCCTTGAGCTTGAAGGGAGAGAGGGCGAGACCGGTGAAGACACCACCGATGCCGGTGTTTGAGGAGGTTACCATGGGGTAGGTTCCCCAGTCAATATCGAGAAGGAGAGCATTGGCTCCCTCAACAAGCATGGGGGTGTTTGTAGCCTCAGCCTGCTGGATCATGGGGACCTGATCAATGACATACTCAGCAAGGCGAGGGCGCCATTCGTCGTATCTCTTGATCTCGGCCTCGACGTCGTACTTCAACAGGTCGCCGTAGCGCTTCTGGAAGGCAGCAGCCATAGTCCTCAGCTTGTGGTCCATGTGCTCCTTGTCGAAGATCTCGCCAACTCTGATACCAGTGCGAGCGGCCTTGGTCTGGTAGCACGGGCCGATGCCCTTCTTGGTGGTGCCGACGGCGTCCTTGCCGAGCTCAACCTCTTCGAGGCCATCAACGAGCGAGTGCAACTCGAACAGGGCGTGAGCGCGGTCACTGATGAAGATGCGCTCCTTGTAGTCGAGGTTGTGCTTCTCGAGCTGCTGGAGCTCGTGGAAGAACTGGGGCACGCTGACGACAGTTCCCGAACCAACGAGGTTGACGGTCTCGGGGTTGACCAGACCGGAAGGCAGGATGTGAAAGTCGTACGTGACACCATTGACGACGATGGTGTGGCCGGCATTGTGGCCACCGGCAGAGCGAGCGGTGATCTTGAACTTTTCAGACAGGAGGTCGACGAGCTTGCCCTTGCCTNNAGAGCTGAGTTAGACGAGCTCTGTGTGGGAGCGCAGCGCGGTCTGAGTCACAAACATACCCTCGTCGCCAAACTGCGAGCCGAGAACTACGGTTGTAGACATGGTGAATCGATGTGCAACGAATTATCGTCCAACTAGGATTGAACGGAACTGGACAGTGAAGGCCAATTACACTCAAAAACACAAAGCGGTTGACCGTGACTCTTTAATATTTCGCCCTGGTCCGACTTCGCGGGGCCCGCCGTGGGGCAGCCAACCTGGTCCGTGCTTATTGAGGACGCATTACCTTGTTCGCGCGGGTCATGCAAGATCCAAGTCTTTCAGTCCAAGCGGTTGTATTATCTCTATGGCCAATTGTTTCTAGTGCTTGTTCTCTACTGCTTGCCGACTGCCTCACTAAAATCACCCAGGAACCTCCACCTCGTCTTTGCATCCAGATCCTTTTCACGCCAGTTGTTCATCGAATCAGGGAAAAAGTCAAGCGCTCCCAACAAACTTGCGTCATGCGCTATGATCAAGAGAACATCGTCTGAAGCATCAAACTCCTGCATTCCCTCGACAGTCGAATGACATTGCTTCAAATCGTCGCAGAAACTTTCAGTGACCTCGTAGTAAGGCTCATTCGCGCTCTTGTTACAGTGCACGTCTTGCAAAAGATGACCGGGACAAATAGGCTGAGGTAGTGTCTTTGGCGAAGGTGAGATTTCTGTCGGGAGAGGCTGGTACCGTGAAGGTCTGAATTCTCCAGCGTGATGACAAGCATCACCGCCCATCAACACAAAGGTCGCTGGTGCGTTTAGAGGTGCAGAGGTTCGTGCCAGGCCGCACATGTGTCCAACTGCATGGCCGGGTGTGTCCAAGAGATAGAATGAACCGTCACCGAAGTAGTCATAAGCATTGAAGCGTCCGATCTTCAGGCCGGCTCCCTCGTGAGCGATGTCAACCTCTCGAACATCACGACCCTCGAAATCGCTCTGCAAATTGGGCGAGTCCTTGTTAATTGGATACGCAGGAAGGTGAGCGCCTTTGAAGCCGGGACCAACAATAAGTTGAGTAGATGGAGGAAAAGTCGTCATGTCTCCAACGTGATCAAAGTGATGATGGCTGTAAATCACGCTGTCGATATCACCTCCTTGAATATCAAATCCTGCATCTTGCAAGATGTCGGCCGTGTTCTTCTCAGCCTTCACGGTCCAGCCTTTCGACTTGAAGCTGTGCACAATACTCGGGGCCATGTTATCGACATCCTTACGGATTCCTAGGTCAAACAAGATACGCTTGCCAGAGTTGTGTTCAATCAGAAATGAGAAGGTAGGCCCAGCCAAACGAGTCTTGCCCTTGTAGAAAGGCTTCAAGAACAGCTCGGCTGGCAGATCCACGTAAGACGTACTATCANNCCGAGCGAGTCAGACACAATTAAGATCAAGGAGAAAGTAATGATTGTGTTCGTACCTGTCAATGATTGATACCTTGACGAACTTGTCAGATTGTGGTATGGTAAGCTCGGGAGCTGGCTTAGGAGTGGCTAGAAATTTATTGGACATGATGCAGTGGGTTTACCGAAGAACTGGCGTGGGTGTGTTTAAGATAGAGGAAGTGCTGAGATACAGGACGATGGATATTGGATAATGTAGTAGATATCGTTACTCGCAGTGGTTATGCTATGATGGTCAATCGACAGCAACGTCATCACTGGCCCGCGGACGGGCTCGGGTCGTGGAAGAACGTCGGGACAGCAGCAAGTCCCAAGAATTCTGAAAAGCGCTCGCGTATTGTTTGTGCTTTGGATCTTTGCTCTTCAGCATCAAGCGTCGCTGCTTCCTAGAACACCGACTATGTCGATATTGACGTGTCCGAGCTGTTTGTCCTATCATAAGAATGTGATTGCGCGACCAGCCCAGAGGTATAGGATGTGTACTGTCTCTTTCTCTCATTCCCTCGCCATGCGGCAGTCTAGCAACAGCTAGCTGCAACTGTGTATCTCTCGTCAGAGCATAGATTCGCGGTATTTGCAAAGGCGAAGAGCAAAGGTGTCGAAGGATGCCGTCGTTCGCAAATAAGCCGGAGCGCACTCTTGAGCGCCGATTCGAGAGGGTCGGTGTGGGTGGAGTGAGCTTGACTTGGTTGGACTGACATGCACTCGAAGTGCGTTCCTGCCTCTGAAGCTCGTAGTCGTAGTTGATAGGCAAGAATATGAGTAGTGTCATATGTAAACTGTTCCAATCACTTGAGAATGGTGTGTGCACCTCTTGCAGCCAGATACTCCTGGACCTGTGTGGTACTCAAAGTCTTGATGACGGAGTAAACCTCAGTGTTGTGGTAGCGCAGGCCGGTCTTGGGGTCGCTGTATGGAGCAGGCAGACCAGTGATATCGCAATACTTTTGCTTGGGCTTGAAAGACGGCGCGGCCTGGATGGACGTGTATGTGTAGCTCGGTGTGACGATGGGCTGCGCAGGTTGGGGATCGGGGATGGCAGCCTCTGGCTGGGGAGTGCCGGCAGCACTGTTGTTGCGCGTGGCCTGGACGGATTGCTGTAGTAGTTGCTGTTCCTTGCGCTGGGCCTCGGACACAATCTGCTTGACAGTCTTGTTGCGGCGCTGGGCAGGCTTCCATCGTGGACTACGGAAGGGCTTGTGGATCTTCTGCATGTCGAGCTTATCGAGCAGCGCCATGTGGTTGCTCTCGTCTGATGCTGTCGTTATAGGCGCCATGATGATGGTCTTGGGATTGTTGTGTGCTTGGGCGCAGGTTGTCGGACGCGTTACGGTTGCAGCGAGATGAAAGCAACCAGTGGCGGCGTAACGTAGATTGATCAATGACTATTGTAGCTAGGTAGATACGCAGGTGGGTTGATTCGTTCCGTGAGCTCCTGCCCACGAGAGACCTGGGGTATCCTCGGCAAGTTTCGTCAACACTTTTCTGGGGAGACCCTGACGTCTCTTACCTTTCCACATCACTACTCGTATATGCTATTCTCTACGAGTATACGACTAGACTAGTCATTGCCTCTCCTGTTAGGACATTCTAGAGTTTCATTTACTATGGACTTGCCATGGACAAAGACCGAGAAGATGCGAATCACATCGAAAGCAATGCAGATGACCTGAAATCACATTTGATCACAGGATCACGATTAGACATAAGACTAAGTACCGAATCTACCGAGAGTGGAAACTCGTTCAGAGATGGAATAAAGAACGAAGCAGAATAGAACCAAATCAAAACAGAAAAGTCAAAAGCACCCTAGCCTGAGCCTTGTCCTTTAGCATCCATACGCCCACACGACCAGTCTCTCAACGCTGATTACAATCTTCCGTGCCTGGCTTTGAACACAGACACCTTGTCATCGTAGTAGAGAATCTCCCGCAGTCTCAGTGCCGGCGAGTCATTCTCGTGTTCGGAGGAGCCGAGTTCGCTGTCCTCGTAGTGGTCGGTTGTATCAGAGGCCGTGTCATTACTGTCATCGCCATCGTCATCGTCTTCATCAGCTGATGCCTCATCGTCGTTGTCGTCTTCGTCTTCGCTCCCAGAGTCATCATCAACTCCGGCTCCACTGTGATCTGTGGTTTGAGAGCCCGGCTTTTGCTCGAATATCTCAAAACACTTCTTCATGATACCAACGTAGCAGATCTCCAACTCTGGGCGGAGGGCCGCAACATCCACAACCTGGAGGGCTAATTCTCTGGTATCCATACGGCTTCCTGAGCCTCCTTGGCTGTAGTTGACGATGTAAGGTATGTAGAGCGAGCGAAGCTTTGAAAGAGCTGGAAGGTGCTGTAAGAAGAAGTGCTGGCAAGAAAAGTTAGCGCTAGGGCGATCGAGCATTGCATTTGTTCAACATACCCAGTCACGATAGTCTAGTGCAGCTCCCAGCTCCCTCAGACATGGCATCTTGCCAAGGAACTTGATGATATCGCGACTAAACATCCACTGTCGCCAGACCACATTAGCTCCTGGTAGGTCCTCCTGCATTCTGTCGCCGCTGTCAATCAAAAGTTCCCTCAGACTAGTCCGGTGCCTGCGTATAACACCATTGAAGATGGCGTCAAGAGGTACGATTCTCGAAGCTATAGAATTGTGCAAGAAGAACACCGATTCCAAACTATTTGGCCGAAGCGTTTCTTTGATGAACGAGATCAAGGAAGACGACACGGTATCCGTGTAGATATGCTTCAGATTCAGCCTGAATGTCTTTTCTGACCCTGATGGTCTGTCTGACAATTGTAACGCTGAATCGACCACTCCAGTATGATATTTTGGCTTGGAAGGAGACGGATCAGGCGAGAATTGGCGGCGCAAAGCTTTCCACAAATGTTCGTGATAGAAACAGCGGAGTAAAGTGAGAGTGGTCAAGGCACTCCAGTCGATGGTGTTCAGCATGACCGGTATGGATAGAGGAATGTTTTCGAGCTCGAGTACATCCAGCGAGAGCCTTCTCGATAATGCCGATGACTGGTCGTCTTTCTTGACATCAGAATGCGCGTCTTGTGTGTTTGAAGGATCCTTGTTACGATAGGGTAGCGTAGTCTGCGGAAGTTCACCAGTAGCGCTCAGTTGTCCAGGAGCCCCTGGGTTGATTGTTGAGGTCTTGGGCGTGGCTTGAATGTGCTCAACACTGGTGATTGTTTCTTCGTCAGCGCTGTCCTCTGACGGTGTATTGGTCGCGATTGCTGTTGCTATCCCAGAATTCGTGAGATTATAACTAGAAGTCATCGTAGATGTAGTCGATGTGCTGCTCACAGTTCCGGATACTTGCGAAGGGCCAATAGGCACATTAGACCTTCGCCTCAGTCGATTTGATAGTGGGTGTTCAATAGATCGCAGATCGAAGATCATGCCTGTCAGGATTCCAAGAATACCACCGAGACGCTTTTCACCCATTGTGATGCAAGACATGACTGGATTGGCTCGATCGACTTGCTGGACATTGTCACCTTCCCAAACATAACAAAACTCTCTGGCTTTGGCGAGATGAGCGATTCCAATGCGCAGCTCGCGTAATTTGTCGACTGACCGGTCGATCAGGACACTCAACTCGTCGAGATATTGGACTTCATCAATGTCAAGCACACTCAGGCTCTTGAGCGGAGGCAGTATAGAGAATGATGGATTTTCAACATGTCGCAAAGCACTCAAAGAAGGAGGCGTGACACCTTCCTGGCGTGGGATATGAATAGGAGCATTATGAGGCTCGGCATAGTTGTCGTGCCAACGAACAGCAACTCGTTCCAAGCGACAAGATTGATCGTCCTCATGGTCGGCTAATGATGAGAGAGCGTCCCACACAGCACTAAGTACACCTGTTGGCATGTCCCATGTGAAGGACTCAAGTCTTCGCATTCGAGCGATAGCTAGCGCAACAAGAGTACCAAGCATCTTACCACTACCACCCTCTTTAGTGATAAGGTCTGTCATAGACAAAGTTAGCACACTTCTGGCTGCGACGCAACTTGACCTCTGTGAGGCTGGTCCGAGACAGTGAGTGACTTGAAAAGAATTTCAAGCCTAGGAAGGCAAGCCAGAAGAAAGATTGCGGCAAGAATGATAAATACTTACANNGTCTTGAACCCATTCTGGCGGACCATTGCCTAACGAGAACTTCTTGGTAAAGGAAGCGAAGTGGTTTCCACGACGCCTCCTTACCCGCTGCTCCATAGACTGGCTACGACGGTTGCCAAAGATTTCCTCGGCCATGACCAAGGTAGAGAGACCATAAGTAAGAGCATCAACACCAGCTCGCGGCTCCGGACCAGTAGCATTATCAGGCCAGACGATGTCGAACCTACTGTAAATATGAGGTATAGTCAGAGTATGGAGTGTCGAGTGACAGAGAGCAAGCGAAGTCAAATCGTTTGTGTGGTTTAGNCTGTTGCGACGAGTCAGTTGATAGGTATGCGCCAATGCTGTCGTGGAACGGCATGCCTCTTTCAAGATGGCGTTGAGGATCTCTACAGGCAGATCGAACAGGTGCCTAGGTCGAATTGCCTTGTCGGATACTGCAACAGGAGCGCCATCGACATCCTGATCGAGCAAAGAAGGCGTATGGTTGGTCATAGTCGCATGTCGGCGTCCACTTTGGTGATTCGGAAAGGCTGCCATGGGCTTGTCTTATGAAGGGCGCATGCCAAAACACCACCCTAGGGCTTTTGTACCCGTGTCTACAGCAATGGGGTGCACCACAGGCCAGGAAGATTGTTGTACACAACCAGAAAACCAATCATCCACTTGCGAATGAGACTCTTGGAATCTGGGACGCCTGGATGCTCATTAGGGTGGGAAATGCGCACAGACAACCGTGCGGGGAGGAGCGGCTCGGTTCGGGTGCTTGTTTGCTACAGACCTTTCGAGATCCTCGTGTCACCTAACTCCTCTACTGCCCTAGAGTATCTATCACCTTTCAATCGACTTCCCACCTCCTCCAGACTCCTATGTCGACCGTATCAGGCGCATCTGTAAATGTCTCAATTTCGAACATTTCTCCCTGCGAATCCATGGGCGTAAACATTCGTTCGATGACCAGCCATACCTTGCCCATCTCTTGAGGAGATAGATCAATCTCGCCTGTTCGTACTCCAGCAGAAGAATCGCTGTACTCCCCGTTGGAGCTGGCGATCAAAATCCGTCTCTCGGGCCCTGTGCCAACCTCCAATGTGACACGAATCATGCTTCTCTCCCTACTTTGGCCCGTCTTCGCAGTCTTCTGAAGCCCAATCTGTTGAACCTGCTTGACGAAGACATCGAGCTTTGTGAGACGTCTGGGTGCGATTGGTGCTGCTAAAGTGCGTTGCTGTCCTTCGAAAGCAGCTTTGGCCCAAGCACGTCTCAGTCGTCCTGCACCTTGCCGCGGGAGCATGGAAAGTTGTGTAGCCACCATACTATCGACTCGCAGCTTGAAGTTCCCTTTCTGACCAGCTTCAAACGTCGAGCAGATGATCGTATAGGTGCCTGCCTCGAGCTCTGCATATTGTGCTAGAGCGCATCCACGGCGATAGTCTTTCGAGTCAAATACAATGTCCTTGGATCGCACTGCTTGGATTCGGGAGCCTCGACCATGCACCAGCTTCACGTGAACGTGTAGCTGCTCCATGGCCGTTTCGAGAAGTAATGCGATCGGTGTTCTGACAGGAACGATAATACTGAATTGTGGATTCTGCGAGTATGTGGGCGAGTGAGCATTACCGCCTGCAGTCTCTTCCGTCCACGCCGTGGTGATGGTCTTGTGGCAGGGATATCTGTTGGGCGCCTCACCAATAGTGATGCGTGCATTTGCAAATACAGACAGGGTGAAAGAGTGAGTAGTTGGTCCAAGGTCTTGCTCGACTGGGACGATCGTGTACTTCTTGTTTGCTTCCAGGTTATCCAATCGAACAAGAGTCTGTAGAGAATCCACAAAGGGCCCGCGTTGCACGGCTCCATCGCTCAGGTAGACTCTTGCACCATTATTGTCGAAGACATACAGGCTGATGTATTCTGAAGGATGAACATTTTCTTTTCCGTCTTTGAAATGACGGCTAAGTAGAAGCCATGCAGTACTTGAGGCCGCCGTAGACACACAGAATTGCTGGTTGCTGCTGAAGCTTTTATACTTGCTGCTCGACGATGATGCTGACAAATCCCATGCAAAATGGATGTCCTGACGATAGCGGAAGAGTCCTGGATTCCAGTTCAGGTAGATGGACTCAAAGTACTGCATCACACTGTTCAAGTCCATCCAAAAAGTTCCGGGCGTCAGTTTGTCGTCTTGGTTCAAAAGATCTCGCGACGAGGGGAGGACTTCTTCGTCCTCATCGTCTTCGTCATCAATAGGAGACCTTGGAATGCTTCCTCGCCATGACATGCCTTCACACCAAGGGTTCTTGACGAGCATCAGCTTCTGTCCTTCAACTTCTCTCATGTCTAGTACGGCATAGTCGTGTTCTCCTGCAAGACCAATCGCGCGTTCGGTACGGGTTGAGATCTTGCCTGTACCCATCGTTATCAAGACGTCGCCGTACTGGTGTGACTTGAAGATTCGCTTCCAGATGTTATTGGGGATGGTATCGTCACTAGACAGGTGATTTTAGTAAGCATGAATCTCGTTGTGTTGGAGACATGATCAGGCGATACCTTTGCAAAAAATCTGCTCTGGAATCCATCCACTCAAGATCCAGAGATCAGTTCCCGAGTTACTACCGGGGAAGTCGTAGCTGCCTCTGACTTTGAGATATGCCTTTTCGATTAATGCAGGCCATAGGAGGCTCGGATTGTGACGATCGATGACATGCAGGACTCTCGACGATCTTGATACGGGGAGAAAGTCGTCAATTTCGACCCTTCTGTGGGTTCCGTTGAAGTTGAGTTTCAAGGTGTATTTGCCATTCGGAGATAACTTGGGACGTCCTTGGACCATGTCATACGGATACATCATGGAGCCTAGAATCTGAAGGAGAATCAGTGTCATGTCATAGATCTTCCTGCGATCAGGAGCACATACCTTTGCATGACCCCTCTCACCTCTGGCAACCAGGGCACAAAGACTCGCGACTACTGAACAGTCGGTCGCAGCGTCTTGGACGAGATCGATGGTACGCGAAGAGCTCATAGTGGGGCCTGCTCGTCTTTCCTGAGGTGTATACCATGCTGGCGGCGGAAGAGCCTCACTCGCACGCTTCCAGTCATCGAAAACTTCGAGCTGTGCAGCAGAAAGGCGCAGCTTAGGCTCGTCNGCTGCTATTTCATTAGACTTGCCCTGTATGTAAGCTAACGATAAGACTCACGTGAAACGTTCTTGGCCTGTCGAGAGTCCAAAGTCTGAGTCTTGAGGTGCATTAGTCCATGGAGAAAATTTAAAGCCATTGAGTTGGGAAGCTTTGAGAAGTAAAATCTGCTCTGATGTAGGCAGTTTGCGATCTGATTTCGGCTCGACAAGTATGACGACTCTATCGACATCGATGTCGAGTTGAGGCTTCCAGTCGCTGACAGATTTGATGCGTTGTGCTTCGTCGAGGAAAAACTCGCTCTTCTTCCTCATAAATTTTTGTGTCTCCAGATTGTTTGTTATCTTCATGGCCGCCATGGCATGTTCGACGGCCTTGAAGGCCATGTTGAGTGCAGCATCGCGAGTTGGTGCAGATGGAATGTCATGTTCGAGTATCTATCATCATGTCAGCGTTGTTCTTGGATGGGCTTGTTCGAGTTACCCGCCTGAATTTTCTCCTTCAAAGACGAGATATCTCCAGACGAAGGCATCTTCTGAACCCATGGGCAACACAAGTTTATGAATCGCGTCGGTATGTTTACCGTATCCAACTTGATTGGCGCATGCGAATGTTGACGCAAGGTGGGGGTCGAAACGCGGCTTTAAGCTTGGACTGCCGCGCCCCAGATTTTCGAGGAGCTTGCGGTAGCAAGAAAACGAGTTGGCTCTTTGTGAAAAGACACGATCTTCTCATCCCATGGATGTCAAGAACGGCCTTCTCTCTGCGATAGCGAAGTCTCTAGTCAGGCTACAATGACCGTAGACTGAGCTCACTGCTCATTGCAAACATGGGAAAGAGAGTCTCTCAACTTGAGTAATTCTCAACAACGTCTGCAACATCTCCGTCTGCTTGTGAAAGAGTAGCCGAAGAACCTCGGCAAAAACAATAATTTGGGGGTGGACGGCCGTGACGTGAAGCAGGTTATCACCGCCGAGGTCGCCATATACCACCTCACTCTTTCTCCCGTCCAGAATCTGTACTCCAAGGTCAAATCATCTGCACTGAATCCATATATCACGTAGAAAGCCCATCTTTCCAGGAATCCAGCAGTCAGTCGACATCTTCGAGAGCTCTACCGCACGGCGTATCTGCCTATCTTCTTATCCAACAACCACAACCACCCTCACAGACCCGCTCGACCGAACAATGGGTGTCCAATCCAAGGAGGTCGTTCCGCCATGGGGCCTGGCAGTCGCTGGCGCGACTGGCGCCGTTCTCGCGAACGCTCTTGTTTATCCACTGGACATGTACGAAGCATTGTTTGTGGTGGAAGATGCTTCGAATGCTGATTAACTGGCAGAGNTCAAGACGCGTTTGCAAGTCCAAGTAAAGAGGAAGCCAGGCGAGGTATCGACTACTACAAACGATCGACACTACGAAGGCACTCTGCACGCAATCAACTGTATCATCGAGGATGAGGGTCTGGCAGGTCTATACTCGGGCATGTTCGGTTCGCTTCTTGGAGTCGCAAGCACGAATTTTGCCTATTTCTATTGGTACTCTGTTGTTCGAACCTTGTACGTTTCACGACTCGCCGTCCCCGGGCCTCCATCAACCGCCATCGAGCTCAGCTTGGGCGCAGCTGCCGGAGCTCTCGCACAGCTCTTCACGATTCCAATTGCAGTCGTTACGACGAGACAGCAGACACAACCCAAGGGAGACAAGAGAGGCATGTTGGAAACAGCAAAAGAAGTCGTCAACAGCGAGGACGGTTGGACAGGGTTGTGGAGAGGCATGAAGGCGAGCTTAGTACTCGTTGTGAACCCAGCCATCACGTACGGTGCATACCAAAGACTCAAGGACGTCCTCTACCCAGGCAAGGCCAGCCTCAGACCTCACGAGGCATTCNTGTAAGTCGAGAGTGACATCTTGCTACAGATCACCGCGACTCTAACACGAACAGTACTCGGTGCAATGTCCAAAGCCCTAGCAACCATCGCGACCCAGCCACTCATCGTTGCAAAGGTCGGTCTACAATCCAGACCGCCGCCTGCCAGAATGGGCAAGCCCTTCGGTTCTTTCCTTGAAGTCATGAGGTACATCATCGACAACGAAGGCCCTATGGGGCTCTTCAAGGGCATTGGTCCTCAAATCCTGAAAGGGTTGTTGGTACAAGGACTTTTGATGATGACAAAAGAGAGAATGGAGCTCATGTTCGTCTTGCTCTTCAGATATGTGCGTAAGCTCAGGGCAGAGAAGTTGCAGAAGGTTGCAGAGTTCGCCGCCGAGAAGGCGAAGAAAGTCGCCCCTGTTATGATGAAGTAGAAGAGTGACATGGGCGTTTTAGGGGCCATGATTGGCGTATTGGTTGAAGTTTGTACAGACAGTATCCAGATAATCATGTCTTTGGACTTTTCGAAGTAGTCTCAACGGAAGACATAAAACTGCTCAACCTCGAGAGAGCATTATGTGCAGACACAGTCATGTATGAGTGTGAGAGGAACAAGGCATCCGTTTCGACATACGGAGTATCATTAAGCAAGTCCACCAATAGTTCTTGACCCAGTAGGTCGAGGAGGTGATACTCTGTGACACTGGGGTCCGAGAGAGAGCGTGACGGACTTTCCTTGCCCAGATACAAGATGCATGCTGATGAAGGACATTCCTTAGCAGAGTCGAATGGAAGAACCAGTTTCGCATTCGGTCTTCGGAGAAACCAAACCAACTTACGAACCACAGAAGTGCGTAGTCGAGAGAGAATAATCTCTTCTATCTGACCAGGCCACTGATAGTCGTTTCTGTTCTTCAGACCGAATTTGAGGTCATGGCCGAGCAAGCGCTGCCAATTCTTTCTCTGACCAAGGCGATTCAGCAGATGACGAGAATTGAGGGCATAAGCGCGTGAAGTTTGCCCAGAGTTATCAACAGGAGCGAGATATGGAATAAGTTTGTCCTTCTGGTCTCCGCGAAAGACAGTAGTGAATGGCAGTAGATGATGCGAAGGCAATCTGGCACCAGTGAAGTTGCATTGGCGGACTGGAGTCGCCAGAGCATTTGCATAAGGATTGGCAACTACTGCCTTCCGGAAAGAAGTAAGAGACCCAAGCGATTGATGTTCGCGGGCAGGTCTTTGCTTTCGTGGTTGCAAAGCAGGAGACACGGGCAAGCCATGGTCGTTGGTGAGAGGTGTGCGCTGACCACGACTATTGGCAGGTGCAAGGTGAGAACTCCATCTACACCATTGTCTACCTGACATTGGAACGTGGATGAGTGAGCAGACAGAAAGAGGTCAAAAGGAGGGTCGGGAAAAGATTCATGTCACATGTCATGGATGATGGCCGGCGAGTCGGTGCCGACGGGAGCCTTTCCCTTTCGGGATCTTTGGTTCTTTCCCGAAAGGGTTGTTTAGAAAACAAAGCTCCATCTCCACTTTCGCGTCTGTGTTCCATAGCTGCTGTATATCGCTTTGCATTTTTCCAGCAACATTTTGTTCGAGTCGCATTCGCCAAACCGCGCCCGAGCGAAGCGCCGACTAGCTCACCATGGCTTACAACTTTGTCGACACTCCGCGCACCGACATGGCCGACTTGACGCGATTCGATGCCGATGCTCTGTCATTTTCCATGGAGCAACCCTTTCCGTCACCCTCCAAGGATCCCAAAAATGACCTTGTGCGCCAGATGAAGGCTCGACAAGGTGCTGCGCAATCTATCAAGACTCCACGCGCTCGCAACAATCTGGTCACTGTCAGGAATGGGCCTTCGAAGAACGAGTTTACTCCTCTGCTGAAGAGTGCTGCACACAATCGTTTCCGCTCGAGGGAGAACAAGGAGAATCACAACGACCTGCTCAACAGCGTTCTGAGTGGACGCGCTCCTGCCACGCCTGCTTACCTAAAGCCTGGCTACGTCGAGTCCCACACTCCCGGACTGCCTATCAACAGCAGTATTATGGATCACGATCACACGGGTAGTTCCCAGGGTGAAGGCACTCCTGTCCCACTTGCCATTGCAAGTAGTAGCATCATGTCTACACCCATGCCCATACTGCCCCAAAGAGACGGAGGATTGGTCGATCAAGGAAATGTCCTCACACTGCGCGAACAAGAAGCTGTAAGTGCTAGATTTGGTCCACATCACTTGGCGACAAGTGCTAACCTCAATCGATCAGNNAAACTCGACGCCGTCACGAAAGAGAACTTCAACTTGAAACTCAGAATCCATTTTCTGGACGAAAACTTAAAGCGAACTGGAACCGAGTACCAGCAAGAAGTTCTCAAACAGAACACCGAGCTGAAAACCGACAACACCCAACTCTCCCACGAACTCAAGAAACAGAGGAAGGCCATCGAACGTGCCGAGGCCGAACTGGAGCAATACCGTCAACAAATCCGCGAGTATGCCGAGAAGATCAAGAGGAAGCACACAGATGACATAGTCAAGGAAGAGATGGAACGTTTGCGTCAAGAAGCCGAGAAGAACCAGAAATTGGCAGACGAGCGAGAAGAGCAGATCAACGAGCTACAACATAGACTCGACAGAGCTGGAAGCTCCTCGGATGACAAGGTCAAAGATCTTCAGGATGATGTCGCCGACCTCGAGGCCGATGTTCGTGCAAAAGAGAATGACCTATACGCAAAAGACGAGCAGATCGAGCAGCTGGAGGAGAAGCTCAGGGAAGCTCAGTCTGACAATGACGGAGCCGAAGAGATCGCCGAACTCGAAGATGAGGTGCAGGCCAAAGAAAGGGAAATCGAGTTGAAGAACGTCCAGATCGAATCTCTTGAACAGAAACTCAAGAAAGTCCAAACCGACGACGAGGAACTTGATAGTCTGCGCGAGGACCATGCAGCACTCGAAGCCGACCTCAAAATGCGAGAACGTGAGCTCTTGGAACATCGCAAAGAGATCGAGGAGTTGAAGCAACAAGTCGCAAGCACCCAAAACACGGACCGATCGACAAAGAAGCTTCGAGGTAGCCTGGGAGAACTGGAAAACCAGCTCAGAGAGAAAGACCAAGTCATCGACCAGCAGCACAACGAGCTGCGTGTTTTGGAGAAGCGACTACAAACTTCAGAAACAGCGCACACAACCGAGATTCGAGAGATTGAGAACGAATTACAAGAGAAGGACTTCTCGCTCGAGCAGAAAGATGGAGAGATCAGAGCTTTGCAGGACCGCCTGCAGACAGCGAGAGGTAGCTGGGACGCAGAGGCGATGCAAACCGATGCTCGTTTGCAGGAAAAGGATCAGCTTGTCTACGAAAGAGAGTCGCAACTCCGTGAGGCTACACGCCTGATTGATGAGCGCAACCGTGAGATTGCGGATCTGAAGCAGAACATGAAATCCCTGGAGAACGGCACCAACGCACAAGCTCAGCAGTACAGACAACAAGGCGACCAAATTCGACAACTCCAAGAACGCTTGCGATCTACGGAAACCAGTGCAGGCGCCGAGAGGGATGAGAAGTCAGATATGATTGCTTCAAAGGATCGCGAGATCCGCAACTTGCAGTCAAGGCTCCGGGGCCAAGAGGGAGATGAGAGCAACGAGATCCGACTCAAGACGGAACATATCGAGCAACTCGAGAGAGACATACAGCAGAAGAACCAGCAAGCTCTGCAACTAGACACCGAAATGCGCGCTCTCAAGGATCGCATGACTAGCATGGAGACACCTACAAAGAAGAACTCTATGCTCAGTCAACAAGCGGAGCAAATTCGCAACCTCCAGCAAGCTCTTCGCGCTTTGTCTAGCGAAAAAGATGCCGAGCTAAATGAGCTCGAAAAGCATCTACAATCTGCCGAAACCGAATTGGACGCCCACACCAAGAAGATTCAGCAGCTGCAAGAGCGTCTGAGATCAGCAGAAAGAGACCAATCTTTCGCCGGCCACATGGACGAAGATATGCAAGAGAAGCAAAAGACCATCGAGCAGCAAGAAGATCAGCTCTTGGACATGCAAACCAAACTTCGCAAAGCCTTACAAGAAAGGGAGTCCGAGATGATAACCTTCAAGTCGCGTCTTAGTCAAGCCAAGCAAGAAGCTGAACATGAGATGCAACAGCTCAACGCCGACCATGACGAGGCTTTGGAAGCTCTCGAAGATGAGATCATTGTTCTAGAGTCGAATGTTGAAGAAGCGCAGAGCGAGAAATCGGCTTTGCAGCAAAAGATTCAACTTCTTGAAAGAAATCTCGTGGCATCTAAGCAGAATGGCACACCAGTACGCGAACGCAACGAGCTGCGTTTGAAGCTGAGGAACGCCGACATGGAGCGCGAGAACCTCAAGAGCCAGATACAAGATCTCGAGCGTGAGCTTGATGCAGCCTGGCAAGCCAAGGAGAACGGTACACCCGTACGTGAGCGCAATGAGCTTCGATCAAGATTGAGAGAGTCGCAAACCGAAATCTCCAAGCTTCAAAACCGCATCCAGTCTCTCGAGTTTGATCTGGAGTCCGCCCAAGCCGACAAGACCATGGCCGACGAGCGCATGGATCTACATGAATCCCTGAAGGAAGCCAAGATAGAAGCCGAAGACTTGCAACTGCAAATCTCAGAACGCGACAAGAAGCTTGCTGCCATATCGAAGAAGGAAGGCGAGGTCAAGTTCCAGCTCGACGAGGCACGTCTGGAAATGGAACAGCTTCAATCGGAGGTCTCGGAACGTGACACCAGAATCTCGGGCTACATGACCAAGGAAAGAGAACTTCGTGCGCAGATTCAAGAATTGAGAGAGGCCAAGGTCCAACTCCAGGAGCTTGAACTTCAGCTCGGTGAGCGCAAAGGCAGCAGCTCTGGCCATGCAAGACGTGAGGCAGAACTCCGTGTACAGCTCCGCGATTCCAAGATCGAAATTGAGGACTTGCAAGTCCAACTGTCTGAGAAGGAAGAGCGGATTGAAGTTTTGTCCCAGAAAGAAAAGGACCTTCGCGACAGAATCAAGAAGAGCCGAACGACTTCTGATGATACGCACTTCCTCGAGCAAGACCTCCGCGCCCAACTGCAGGACGTGGAGATTGAGTGCGAGAATCTGCAGAAGCAGCTTGAGGAGAGAGAGACTCGTTTGCAATCGTCTCTCGGCCGTGAGACTGAATTGCGCTCCAAGCTCAAGAACATCCGTGGCGAAGCTGACGATACACGAACGATCAATCAGAGAGAAATTCGTGGTCTGATCGAAGCCAAGGAGAAGACGCATGCCAGCGAGCTCAAGGGGCTTGCCAAACAAATTCAGTACATGCGGGCCAAGTGTGAGCGTGAAGAAGCGTTCCGCAAGGATCTAGTGTTTAGCAAACGCTGGTTCCTGATGCAGGTGGAGATGTACGGTGCATGGTAAGTTCTGCCCTCATGACTGTATCCACACAAGAATATGTACTAATTTCTTTCACAGCAACAAAGCAGATCTCAAGTTACTCGAGGAGATGGGAGTAACACCCAAGACCCAGACCAGAGAACAGAAGCCGAGCCTCAGATCAGTGGGATACATGATCATGGCTACTGTACGTATGCGCAAGATGCAAGAAGCGTGGTCGGGCAACAAGAAGCTGCACGAGACGTTGATGAAGAAGTTGGATGGTATGAGACGGAAGCAAGGCAAGACTCCGCTACGATGATTGATGAACATATAGCTTTTTTTGTATGATGGCCGCTGAAGGCGGGTCATGTTTTGTGTCTATTTCTGGTTGGATGGTGTTGCGGCGTGGTATGCTGGGTTTGGAGTATTGTAGGGATCTTGAGCAGTTTACGAGGCATTGATAGCGACTGCATACAAACAGCATAGTTTGCATCCCTTGAATTCACTGTTAAACATGTCTCGAGATGACAACTCGATAGGTCGTGAAAGTGCATGTGATGGTGGTGATGAAAGGGACAGACCGCCAAGGCCGAGAAAGACGGAGAAGTTTTGGCTGGTCAACAGCACACGGCGACGCACAGAATCTTTACGCAGCCAAGTTCACGTATACCATATCCAACCACATACAACATGGGTGTTCCCTTCGACTACGCGCCCGAGAGGCCAGAGCACATTGATGCCATCCTGAACGGACTCGACCGCTACAACCCCGAGACCACGACGGTTTTCCAGGACTACGTCGTGTCGCAATGCGAAAACCAGACCTACGACTGCTACGCCAACCTGGCCCTGCTCAAGCTGTGAGTGCCGCCTTCTGTCTCTTTTCCTCTGGACTCTGCTGTTGTTGCATGACGAACGACATGTATACACGTTTCCTATTACCTGACAGGCGACCGGAGCTTGAATCACTCCATGCCTTTTGATGTCTGGATTATTAGCTCTATCTGATCCGCAATCACTTCTTTTGCACATGCGCATGCTGTTTGTCTTCTTCTGTCGACGTCAAAGACTGACCGCTTTGAACAAACAGCTACCAATTCAACCCCCACCTTGGTCGCGAGGAGACCATCACCAACATCCTGGTCAAGTCGCTGACCGTCTTCCCCTCGCCCGACTTCAGCCTCTGCCTCGCTCTCCTCCCTCCTCACGTCCTCGCCCCCAACCCGGCCGCCAACTCGCTCGCCGAGGCCGTACAAAAGCTCAACACCCTACACAGCCAGCTGATCGGCGCCTCGTACGACCAGTTCTGGTCTTCGCTGGACGGCGATGACCTCTACGCCGACTTGACTGCCGATGTCCAGGGCTTTGAGGAGTTGATGCGCGTTCGCCAGGCTGTTGTCATCAGCCAGACCATGCAGAGTGTTGACCGTGCTGTTCTTGAGTCGTGGCTCAACCTCAACGGTGAGGCTTTTGACAAGTTTGTCAAGGACGTTTGCGGCTGGACTGTTGAGGGCAGCACCATCAGCATCCCCCTCAACAAGGAGAACGAGGCCAGAGGAACCGTGGTGCGCGAGAATGTCAAGTTCGACCGTAAGTTTTGGGCATATACTAAGTGTCGTAATGCTGGAAACAGAGACTAACACGAAACCACAGAGTTCTCGAGAATGATCAAGAGAGCATACGAACAGCCCGCATAGAGGATGGGATGTATTTTGGCGACTTGACACACGAAAGCATGGCGTTCTACGGATTTTCTTCATACAAAAAAGAGCCTTGGTGAATGGCAAAAGCTCGAGAGGGATACACTTGGTGAGGGACACAAAAGTCGCATTACCACGACAACCTTTTTGTATTTCGTGGCAACAGAGAGAGAAAGGGATGGCATGGAAACCGCATAGTGTTGTTCATATGCCCTCAAAAACATTAGAAGAACAAGAACATGACTGTCAATGAATCTCTTCGTATCGTCTGTTGAAATTGTACATATGACTACCTCTCAGAAGCTCAATCTATCATAATATCCATCTCTTTACTTCTTGCTGCTCAACTCTTCCCATTGGACTCCGACCCATTCCTCAACGTAGCCAATCTCTGCTTCCTTCTGACCACGCTGCACACAATCCTTTGAGCACACACCAAGAATAATGGTTCCCCACTCCATGCCCTCAAGACCAAGCTCCTCAGCCTCAAGCTCAACAATAGCGTACGGAGTAAGTTGCAACTCAAACAACCTCTCCGCACCACAGTTTGTGCACTTTGGCATCCCCGACTTGACAGCCGCAGTAGTCTTTACTTTGGCATTCACAGCAGCAGAATCTTGATGGGCGCCCAATGATTTTCCAACGGCATCAGTCTTGCTATACAGCAAAGGCTGGCCCGCAAACTCATACCGCAAGATCTGTTCAGGGTTTTGCGACATGCGGTCTGCAAAGCGTTGGAAAGCTTTATCCATGCTTGACTCGAAAGCGTCTTTTACATCCATGTCTGCGCCGGCGCCAGAGCTGCCTTCGCCGGCGTCAATGTCCATGTCTACGCGTGTCTGGGCGGGGATTTCTGGCTTCTCGGCGTCGAGGGTTTCGTAGTCGGCGTCGAGGTAGTAGGAGGGGTAGGGTGGGGGAAGGAGGATTGTTGGGGCCATGGTTCGCGAGGGNCCTGTGGGTGCTGTGAGGGGAGCAGAGGAGCTGGGTTCTGGAGTGGAGATGCGGGCTTTTGTGGCGAAGGTCTCGGATAGGGATTGGGTGGGTTGTGGGGGTGCTGGTGTGGCAGCGGTGGGCGAAGACGAGGGAGCGGAGGAGAAGGGATTTGCGGGGCGAGATGATGCGCCGCCGGTGGAGAAAGGGTTGATGGGACCAGAGGCCGAAGTGGCAGGTTTGACGCCGAAGAGAGACTCGCCCAGGTTGGTCTTTGGCGCAGCAGGGGCTGGTGTTTCCTGTGGTGTCTCTTCCTTCTTGGGCTGTTTTGACTTCTCTGACTCGGCGGGAATGGCAGAGGCGCGGACGGCTCTGAAGGCTCTCACGCTACCGTTCTTCCTTCTGCAGACCTTTCTCTTGCATGCCCAGAGATACAGTCGTCGTTCGTGGCCAGGGAAGCGGTCGGGCAGGTCGCCGTTGAGTTGCAGTAGCAGGGTCAAGAGGTTGTTGCAGTTTTTGCATTTGGCCAGGTCGCCCGGTGGTGAAGTGTTTTCGTCTAGCCATGTCNNTGCGTGGTGTTAGTGGTGGCCCCTAGGTTGGTTGTGGACAAGATCGCATACTGGGTGTCCGCCCAACTGGCTGGTCGTGTCGTCTGCCACATCCTTTGTCGCATAGCCGAGCAGGACATTGGTCTCGGTAAAGTTCTCGTCCTCAAAGTCAGAGTCGCTGTCGTATGTAGCCATGTTTTGTGGTGTGTATGTTGACGTCTTGAGAAAAATTTCCCCAGTCGCCGAACAACCTGCGTCATGAGCTTTCGTTAGCTCGGCAATCTGCTCCGACGCTTCTCTGTCACATGCTATTTTATATACAGTGCTTCGACTTGAAGGTTTCAGATGTGCTTTTGATTGTGACTGTGTATAGAAACGATAATGCTCTGAGCGCCAGAGTACGCTCTGAGTACGTGTTCTGCCCTGTCCTGCCTTCTAGGCGTCCTTTTGCGCTCCTTCAGCATTTCAGCAACCATCTGCTTGGCTTCTGCAATGAGCTCAGCTTCCTTGTCCAGACCGACACTATTGCCTCTTGAGTTCAGCAGACCGACATCCAAGCTTCCCAGACCGCCATTGGTAATGCGATCGCCATCTTCAGCAGGCTGCCTCTGTGGTTGTCCAGGCGGTCCTCTTCTTGCCAGGCCTGCAGTCTCAGGTGCCGCGCCAGTAGTACTCAATGTCGGTGCCTCAGCAGCAATGATGCCTGCTTCCTCCAACGCATATGCCTGACGGCGCAGTCGAGCCATGATCGATTGGATGTATGTGAAGTAGGCTGTCGTGTGTTTGGTAAAGGCTTCCTTGTGAGCGGCTGGGGAGTTGTCGCTTTGCACATCCATCATGTCGTCGCCATCGGCCGAGGCAGTAGTCGGGGGNCGGTTAGTCAAGGCATTGATGGCACCTCCGGCGCTGGACAATAGGGCGGGCACGTCGGCGTTGATGGCCAGCAGTTCGCGAATGCGCTCGGCAGGAGTCACGGTCGGCGGTGGCTGCGACTGCGACATTGCGATAACAGATGGAGCGTACTTGCTGGCCTGCTTGCGACTAATCTCTCAGTCCATCGAGCTCCGTTCGTTGCTACCCGATAGAGAGATTGGTCGCAAGGAAAGATGGACACAGGGCCTGAGAACGGCCAGAACACTCCACGCTTCACGACTCTTGGCGCGTCGCTCTTTCCTCGACCACTTTCCATCATCCTTCACTGTCCATCTGTACGAGTGCTGTCGCCGTCGTCGCATCCTCACTCGGCGCTTCCATTTCACTTGTATTATATCCTAATATGTCAGGACCACCCCAACAGCCGCCGAGGACGGCCAGTGTAGGACCGCAGAATGTTCCTCCCACTCCTCATGCTCAACCACCACCTGCGCAACCGCAATCGCAGCAGAATTTGAATCAGATTGTGAGTCTTTTCTTATCACCCTATTCCTCTTCTCTTCTCTTCTGTCTTCATCGAGGAGCTGCGACTTTGGTTGTCGTTTCCCTTTTTCTGGTCGCTCGCTGCCTATATCAAACAAGAAAGAGCGGACGCGTTCGTATTTACTTCACACATACTTTCTTGCTTGGGAGGTGGTACTTTACCGCAATTCCTTTCTTCTGCTCTCACTCATTGGACTTCATCGGATACATTATATCCATCTACTGCCACTACTCCTTCCTTTTCCAATCACCAATCACCAATCATCCACACCACATCATGAAGTACTTTAAACCAGGAGCTGACCCCCACAAGGTACTTGAGTATCTCGCCAAGAAGGGTTATAATCGGACAGAAGCGATGCTACGAAGAGAGAGCGCTCATGCAGATGCTGAAGGTCGACCCATCATCCGTCGTGCTGAGGATGCTGGCGGAGAAATGTACGAGAAAGCCTACGAACTCCTACTGAGATGGGTCGAAAAGTCTCTGGACATCTACAAGGACGAGCTCGGTCGCTTACTATGGCCCATCTTTGTGCATTCTTTCCTCGCTTTGGCCGCAAATTATTACCCTCGTCAATGTGCCACCTTCTTCAAAAACTACAAAGATCCATTCGAAAAGGAACACCCAGACGATATCCGCGCTCTCCAGTCAATCAGCTTGCCAGAACACGTGCAGAGTAACCATATCGCCAAGCTCTATCGCGAAAACCACTACAGACTCACAATCACCGATCTGGCGTACTCGGCGTTGCTGCAGTTCCTGGAGGCTCACGACACCGAAGGAGGCTCGGTCATTCTCAATCTACTCACAAACCACATCGAACTGAAGCACGTAGATCGAGTGGCCTCAGGAGCAGAGCGCAGTCTCGCGAGAATCCTCGCAAAACAAAGAGGTATCTCTGATGTGCCAGCTGAAGACGAGGGCATTCCTGGACATAATCCTGGTTCCGCAAACACAGATCGTAATGCGCCGCCGGTCTTGGCGAAACTCGCGCTTGCGCCGATGCCCATGGAAGCAGACTTGATGGAGGATGTTAAAGCAGAGCTACAAGAGCATGATGCGTTGCATCCACCTCCGCCCGGCCGTAACACGCTTGTTGATGAATTTGAGCAGCGCATCAAGCAAGAGCCCAACGACGACGCGCCATCACGCGAACAAATCCCTTTCCCGCCTTCTCTCGCTCGTGACGTCGCCATGGAGGTGCAAAGGATCAAGGAGAACCGTGATAGGTTCAAGATCGAGAGCAGAACAGATGGTGTTGGTCCAGGTGTCAGTGTGACAATGTTTACCTACCACAACACCTTCGACAGGTATGCTTCTTTCTCAATTTCACTGATAGACGTGCTGACAAAACACACCAGTATCAATTGCATCGAGTTTTCTGGCGATGAGAAACTTGCAGCCGTTGGAACAGCAGAGTCTTACATCCGAGTTTGGTCGCTTGACAACGAGCCCCTGGTCTCTTCTCTTGACCCTCCCACTCAACAACCTTCCTCATCACGACGACTAATAGGACACTCCGGTCCCGTCTACGGCCTCTCTTTCTCCCCGTCTATTGCTCTCCCTTCAACTGCCGCGCAAACTAACGGCAGTGGCAACAACGACTCACAAACATCACCTTCCCACCCTCGCTACCTTCTTTCATGCTCTGCAGACAGCACTATTCGCTTGTGGTCACTCGACACCTTTACCAACTTGGTAGTCTACCGCTCTCACACTTCTCCCGTCTGGGATGTGAAGTTCTCTCCCTTCGGCCACTACTTCGTCTCGAGTGGCGCCGACAGAACAGCTCGTATGTGGAGCACAGCACAGATTGCTCCTCTACGATTGTTTGTTGGGCACGATAGTGATGTCGAAGCCATCTCGTGGCACCCCAACTCAGCTTATGTCTTCACCGCCGCGGGCAGCCCGGACCGCAGCATACGCATGTGGGACGTGCAGCGCGGCAGTGCAGTGCGTTTGTTCACTGGCCACACCGGCAACGTGACGAGTATTGCCTGTGCGCCCAATGGCAAACTTGTTGCCAGTGCCGACGATCGTGGCGAGATCTTGCTCTGGGATTTGGCAACCGGCCGTCTGGTCAAGCGTATGAAGGGTCACGGCCGCGGTGGTATCTGGACTCTGGACTGGAGTATCGAGAGCACTGTACTCGTCTCTGGTGGCGCAGACTGCACAGTCAGAGTCTGGGACGTACAACCACCGACCGTATCGAACGGAACAGACGCAAAGGCGCTCACCGACGGTGGCATAAATGGCAAAGATGGAGGTGCTGGAGCTGGAGGTGCAGCCGCCAACAAGAACAAGAAGGCCAAGGACGTAGTTGTCTCGCCCGACCAGATCAGCGCTTTCCCTACAAAGAAGAGCCCGGTCTACAAGGTCAGATTCACACAGATGAACCTGGTCATGGCCAGTGGCGCATACCTGCCTTAAAAGTAGCATCAGAGGTTCGGGAAATGGATTGGAAAAGGCTCCACATGGAGGCGTTCTTCTGGTTGTTGGGACGGGAATCGATGGCTCTGCTTTTAATCCACATGGGAACTTTTGGCTGGAAAAGAACAAAGGCTTTATGGAGCAAAATCAACGAATACGCAGATTATCACGTATCCATTTTCGAACTATTTCTATCGTGCAGCAGTCTGGACTACTACATGCGGTTTGAACTCTCTCCCCTTCGTACTTCCGGTGAATACTGTCTGATATCTTGACTCTCTGTTGCAAAGACCAACACTAACAAATCTGGAAATACAGACAGCTCATTCCAGCGTTGACAGGCAGATACTTCGCGCTTGCATCGACCATACCCTCCAATACCGGAATGTGTACGCATATGGCTGTCAATATACGAGAAGTGATTGCAAAACTACATTGCTGTTTGTTGACTAGCTTCCTCATCTCCGCCTGTACGAGTTTGCAATGATTGCTGTACAGAAAGACTGTTGTTTGTCTATCAAAGAGTTGCCAGAAGAAGACGGCCGAAGGTAGTTGCAGAAGGCGGACTCAATGAATACAGATGAAGAGAGTCAGCGGTACAAGCAAAGATTGTGCTCACAGGAGCAAGATCTGATACATGGTTTCGAACAGTAGCAAGGTTAAACGAGATGGACAGCATCCAGCTTCTTCGATGTCCTGGTATCACTGGCACCAAGAATAAGACAACCAGATTCCAGAAAAAGAAAAGCATGCAGTCTGTATTCTAGCTGCTTGATCATCCACATCATAAGTGTGGGTAATAAAAAGGAGGATAATGAAGTAAAGTAAGTGCAACAGAAAAAAAGAGAAGTCCGCTCATCAGGTCCTTGATAGGGTATAATGGCCGCATGAAGACAGCCCAAACCAATCTCATGAAAAGCGCCTTGTGAATGAATCCCATGTGCCAAAAACCACGCCATGCATCACATATCCTTCGTCCATATCAATAGAATGTGTTTGTGTCGTATAATGTCTCCGTGCCGTGCGCCATAAACAAGAAGTAAAGCAACCATGAAAGTGCCAGAGAGGTCAAAGAGTGTTGTGTACCAGAGAGCAGGGCAGCAGCACTCTGCTTCAGACGAACTCGTACTCTGCGTCCTCGGCATCCATGAGCTTGGGCTTGGTCGAGACATGTCCAAGGTTGCGAGCCTCCTCTTCATCGGCATCAAGGATGTCATACTCGTTACGCACAAGCTTGACGGTCTCTTTGTCCTCATACTGCTCGATAGCCTTTGCGAGGGCGGTGTTCAAGATCTGGCTGCCGTGGGAAGGGACGCGGGGCGAGTCAAAGCCGTAGAGGATCTCGGTTGGAGTCGTGGCCTCGTCGCCGGAGGTACTGCTGTTGCTGTCTTCGGAGCTGCCAGCGTACTCATCGGCGTCGACGAGCATATCTCGCTTGCGAGCAACCTTTGCTTTGTACGGGACGTAGACGGCGCAGAAGAGGCCGCTCTTCTCGNNGCGCGACGGTAGGACTGACTGTGTCGTACGCGTCAGTGTCTTCTTCTTGATCCGATTGATGACTGGAAGGAGGGGTAGTGGCCAGTGAACTCACGTCTTTCCTCCCTGCAATGGCACAACTTTATCGCCTTGGTCGTCCATGGAGACAGCGCCCGCGGCCCATTTGGCCTTCTTGTCTGCGTCGCGCTTGTAGTCCTGAGCAGCGCTGCGAAGGTCGGATTCAGGGAATGTCTGCTCAAAAGACATGGCTGAGGATGGTTTGTACCGGTATAGAGTGGTGATGAGTTGTTGAGGCGGGTAGCTGATCGGCGTGACGATGGTAAACAAAGAGACTGAGTGGTGGAATGGGGTGAAGGGATGAAGCAGTAGTGAGGCTGTAGGTGAGAGAGTAGGAAACAGGTGTCAATGACGAGATGTTTCAAACAAAGGAAGTCAAATGGGCAAACAACAAGAAGGAGGGATGCAGTCAGAAGGTTGGATCGCTCCTGACTCACTGGGGTAAAGTGTGGAGTTGGTGAATACCCGAGTGGTCTCCGATGATGAGATAAGGACCGGATCCGCTTGCGGCGTCGTGTTGCAACGGCGTCAGTATAGAGTTTAATACAGCTAAGACGCAATATATGCAAATAGAGACACCGTAGATGAGTCACTGAAAGGAGGTTCAAAGGATGCCTAGACAGTGGACAAAGAACAGGTCTGCATTGCCTTGATGCCTACGGGTTGAGACAGCTTCGATACCCACCAACACTCAGACAGGCTGAATGCGGGGAGTGGACGATAAGGGAAGCCACGTTCGTATGCTGGCAAGGTCATGCGTACGCGCGCCTCTGTTCGGCGTCATATTTCCAGTTGCAGCAGACCAAGTCTACGGCCCACGGGGGTTCGTGACTGGTTGTGGGATGGGTTGGCGGCGGCGGCCGGAAACGGCCTTTGTTTGAGGAGGGTGTTGTTGTGGTCATCCAAGCAACAAAGCACACGTCATGTCTCGGCGTTAAGCTCGGCTTCTATCTGTGGCTGGGGGTTGTGCGTGTTATGCACGTTGTGCATAGCACATGGACTTTGCTGCTGTTCTCGTTGGTCACTCTTCGTCTTCATCATCCTCGCTGAGGTCGCTTGGGAGTCTGTCAGGGAACCATCCGTAGGTCGCAAAATCGACCGTGTATTCTCCTAGGGATCCTCGGGCCACTTGCACCCCTTCAGCTTCCAAGGCGGTTGCTTGTTGACGGGCTCCATTTACTCCTCTGNNGACATGGTCAGATGTAGTTTTCCAAGGATAACATGTGATTGTATTGGGAGACCTTGGACTGATGGCACCTTTGGAGTTGATGATCCTCTGCCATGGTACGTTCGAATTATTGTAGTGAGCATCTGGCTGTGCTGTAGCAGAGAGCAGCGCCTTCAGCGACACACCCACTTGTCTGGTTGAAGTCAGCCTGCGAGATGTTGACGTAGAAGAACAATGCGCTGACCTTGGGCATTCAGCTGGTCAGGGTATCAGTAACCCATAGATCACAATTCTTAGGCAGCAAGTAGGGCAGCTTCACTTACGCTTCCCAAGCAGACGGGCGATATGGCCATAAGACGTGACTTTGCCGTACGGAACCTCTCTCACTGCATTGTATACTGCATATGTCCAAGCGGCGGCCTCCTCAGATCGTGCCATTGCGCATATATCTACAGGTTGGAGCTGTAAAAGTAGTAACACGAATATTGATGTTATGGGATCCCCGCGCATGTGCAACGCCAAGATTCGAGAGGGATCGTCATCTTTTGACTACTCGAAAGAAACCCAAACACCATCTACTCTGTTCACATCATCAACATGGGTCTTGCCGACTACCTAGCCCAGAACTACCTATCCGCCGACAAATCATCCAAAGGCAAAAAGCGCAAGAGAAAAAATGCCGAAGACGCCGGCCTGGTCATCGCCGACGACGATGTGAGCGGCTTGAGCAAATCACGGAACGGCGACGACGAGGATGATGTTCCTATGATCATGCCAGGAGGCGCAAATATCAGCAAACGAACAACGACTTGGAAGACGTTCGGCAAAGCCGCTCCCTCAAACAACGAACAAGCTGCAGCCGATGCCATTCTGGCCGATGCCGCCGCCGAGACACAAGCGCGCAACGCCGAGGACGAAGACGCACCTGCTGTCGTAGGAGAAGACGAAGATATGGACTACTCGGGACCAACCATGGCATCAGGCGCAATGGCGGGTTTGCAGACGGCGGAACAAGTTACAAAAGCCTTGAAGAGAAAGGAGCGTGAGGAGAAGAAGGCCATGCAAGAGATGGGTATGGATCCTACTGGCAAAGCGCAAGAGACTATATACCGTGATGCGTCGGGTCGCATCATCAATGTCGCCATGAAACGCGCCGAGCTACGACGCCAGGCTGATGAGGAAGAGAGAAAGAAGGCCGAGGAGGCCGAGAGCAGACGGGGTGATGTACAGAAGAGGGAGAAGGAGGCACGCATGCGAGAATTGGAGAAGGCAAAGACCATGTCACTCAGTCGCTACGCGGACGACCGTCAGCTCAACGACGAGCAGAAGGAGCAAGAACGGTGGAACGACCCAGCATTGGCGTTCTTGAGCAAAGGCACAACAANNAAGGGACCAAGGGTACCAAAGGAAGAAAGAAAAACGTACGCTGGCGCCTTCGAACCCAACCGTTATGGCATCAGGCCTGGATACCGATGGGACGGTGTGGATCGTAGTATTGGCTTTGAAAAGAGATGGTTCGAGGCGCGCAACCAACAGCAAAACGTCAAGGACTTGCAATACGCGTGGCAGATGGACGAATAAACGCTTTATGACAGCTCAATTATATTACCACAACAGCTCAGCATCCACCACGGGCGCTACATCGTCGGTATCGTAATTTGTGCCAGTGATGTCGAGCGGTCTCCGGTGCCAGTATTGTACAAAGTTGAGGGCGGCATCCTCAGTGTCGAAACCAAAGAGATGCGAGCATTTACCCTTGCGTCTCTCGCGTGTGCCTGGTCGATCGTCTGTTCGTTCATCCGCCTCGAAATCATTATCCATATCGGCCACCTCTTCGATCTCTTCCAACCACCTGTTCCCTCTAATGCCACCATCCTTGTCCAGGCGACCCTTTCTGTCTGACGGCGAAATGTTTTTGGGTGCCGGCTCCCAAGTATGGTATGGCAGATTACCATACTCACCATTCCATGGTGACCTTCGAGCTCGCTCAACCTTGATGAAAATACCTCTGGCCATGGTGGTGAGCATATTAGGACCTTCGAGGCGTACCATGACAACGTATGGCTCCTTGAGGGGCCCATTGACAATGGCTGGGTAGCCTAGATTGTTGATAATGTCGAGTACTGAAGGTGAGATTTGCATAGGTAGAGGTATAAGTTGGAGGGTACGGGATGGAGGGACGAGTGTGTAGGTTTGCAACAGAGCGTCGACATCCTGGCCATCGAGGTGGTATCCTGGTGGTGGTGGTATGGGCGATGTAAGGCTAGACTGGACATGCCTCGAGGCAAGCGAGTGCAACGACATTACATGACTGCGGTAGGCGTTCATGGCAAGTCGTGAACGGAAGAGAATGAAGTAGAAGTTGGCGCGTTCCAGAGTGCTAGTATTGCGTCCTGGCACGACCTTGATAATGTCTGCTTGGTCCAGAGCCCAGCCCTCGATATGTAGTCCTTGAGGAATCAACCTTGTAAAGTCATCTTCGATCAGAGTCTTGCTCGCGTTTCGTAACATGAGCACAGCCTCGACACGCGGGCGCTCTTGTCTGTCTTGTGCCGGGGTTGGTTCTGGCGCTACTGCTTCAGTCGTCCGATTCCACCAATTGTCCTTGGTCTTGTTCATTCTCCTGACGAGGTTGCTCTGCTCTGGCCGCTGCGGTTTGGCCTTGGGTAGTGAAGCGCGGACATCTAGTCGTGGAATGTCGCGCTCCTTTGGTCGAGTCGAGATTTGGGGCTCGGGTTGAGCNTTCTTCTGGAAACAGCTCTTCCATCAGGGAAGGCCTCTTTTCTTGGTTCGCTTCCCTCGTGGCATCTCGAGTGGATTTGTTTGTTCTGTTTGAGGCCTTNNCGAGCTCGCTCTTCTCAGTCCGCTGGGATCATGGATGGTGCGTCTCTCATGGTATCCAGGTCGTAGAAAGGGAAGGCGGATATTGGTCGAGTCTGAAAAGTGTCTGCTTTCACGAGGGAGCCATCTCAGGCATGACGCTCGCAGACAGACTGGTTGCGCAGTCGGCATCAATTGTCGCACCTCGAATCTTTTGCTGGTTTGGCCGTGACCCTCTCAATGTGTCGCTTGCATGTGAAATGTCCGCGACCCCCGTCTTGCCCGCATCTTTTGCTGACTCAGCAGCCATTCAGTCAAGCATACCAACCTTGACTTTCTATCTCAAATATGAGACTTCTGAATTCCATGCGAGATATAGGCTCAGTCAATATACTGTATAGAGGCGTCTACGGCCACACCATCTCCCACCACAACACAGAGCGAAGAGTAGCCTATAAAAATACACAATGTGGTCAAGAAACAGAGCAAAGCCCACTGAGAGCCATGATTTTATTGCCTCTCTTTGGACACACCTATGGTTAAAACATAGTCGTGCATCCCTACAGCTACGCATGAGACAGAGATTTCAAAAGTAGTTGCTGCCTTGCTCTTGACTCACTCGACCATATATCTCGGCTGACTAAGCCAAGACTTCTATACACCTGAATCTTTTACAAAAATTCGTCCTCGCAAATCACGAAAAAACAGCACTTCTTGTAAGGTAGACACCATGGTGGATTCTACTCTATTCACCGTACGGCCACTGCCTCCTACAACCTCATTGGATGGTGCCTTCCGCGTACATCTCACAGCAAAAGACCTTGATCTCCTTGGACTCAAGCTGGGCGAACTTTGTATTCTGCATTCAGGCGATGGCTCATCTGCCGTGGGTATCGCTTGGAGATCCATGGATACGAGCGTGAAACCCCAGCTTCACCCTGTCAAACTCTCTGAGGCTATGCGCGATGCCTTTGGATTCAAGCTTGGCAGCCAGATTACCATTGAAAAGATCAACGCAAAAATCGCCCATGCCGACCGCGTTGTTGTCATCGATGTTTCTGATAGCGAAAAAATCGATCTTGCCAAGGATGATAAAAGCTGGAAATGGCGTTGTGGTATGGCTCTTGGTAATGTCGAGGCAATCACGACTGGTGTGGCTTTTGAGGCCTCGTCTCGTAAAGGTCTGAGGAAACGCTTCCTCATTGAGCACATCGAATCGAGTGAATCTAAGGGAACACCTGCTCTGTATCTGTTTGATGACAGAAGTCAGATTGTTCTCCAGGATGAGGCATCTGCAGTAACACCGGAGGCACCCCTGCCCCGTTCGATGGCCGTGACTCCTGAGGGCATTGGTGGGCTGAATAAGCAAATCGAACTACTCAACAAGCGTTTGTCACGTTTGATCGGTGATATCAGAGGAAGAAGCCTGCCACCTCAAGTCCAACGCAATGGAGGTATTCTTCTCTATGGCCCTGAGGGAACTGGAAAAACACTGCTACTCAATCATCTATCAACCCAAGCTCCATGGAAGAAGGTCGTCAGAATCGATCAGAGTGCGCTCGCCGGAACGTCTAGCAAGAACCAACTCTCCGTACGAAACCTCTTTGCCGAAGCTGTGGCTCACCAGCCCAGTCTAATCATTATGGACAACCTTGAAGCAATTGCCGGTACACAACAACGCGATTACACTGCAAACAACCTCGCACCCGCTTTGGTTGCTGAGCTCGACAGACTACGAAACACACACGTCTTGGTTGTGGCTGCTGCACACAACCCCAACGACGTCGACAAATCACTCCGCACGCCTGGACGTCTTCGCTACGAGATCGAGATACCAATTCCCGACATGAAAGCCAGAATTCAGATCCTCAAGGTCATGCAAGGAGAGACCGGTACTGCTGAGCTCGCCGAGGCCATCGGAGAGCGCACGCACGGTTTCGTCGGACAGGACCTGGAAGCCCTTTTCAACAACGCTCTCGAGCATGCCCTTGACAGATACCAGGAAAGGCCTACTAATTGGCTTCCCATCCAGCACGCTGATGGAGACGACGACTCTCAACGAACATTGGTCAATGGCATGCAGAACTGCAACATTGTTGACAGACCTCGTACGGCTGACACCGATGACACGGACGATGGTGATCTCCAGGTGACACTCGCAGACTACGAAAAAGCGATGCTGGAAGTCCGTCCGACAGCCATGCGTGAAATCTTCCTTGAAACTCCCAAAGTACTGTGGTCCGACATTGGAGGTTCAGGAGATGTCAAGAAGACGCTGAACGAGGTCGTAGAGTGGCCCCTCAAGTTCGAACATCACATGCAGGCTTTGAGCTTGACTCCTCAGAAGGGTATCCTGTTCTACGGACCTCCTGGATGTTCCAAGACTCTTACGGCTAAAGCTGTGGCAACAGAGTCTGGTCTCAACTTCATTGCTGTCAAAGGTGCCGAGCTTACTTCGATGTATGTTGGCGAGTCTGAACGCTCAGTCCGCGAGGTGTTCCGCAAAGCTCGTGCTGCTGCTCCTAGCATCATCTTCTTTGATGAAATCGACTCTATCGGCTCAGAGCGCGACTCCTCCGGTACCAAAGGTCTAAACGTGCTCACGACCCTGCTCAATGAGATGGATGGTATCGAGAGTCTCAAGGGTGTGCTCGTCTTAGCTGCCACCAACAAGCCTGAGGTGCTGGACCCCGCTCTGCTGCGTCCAGGTCGTTTCGACAGCCTTATCTATATCTCTCCCCCATCGCAATCTGCTCGCAAGGAGATCCTGCGCATTCGCACCAGTAACGTACCCTTGTCCGATGACGTGGATATTGACGACCTGGCTGTTCGCACAGATGGATTCTCAGGAGCTGAGATTGTCGAAATCTGCTTGAACGCATGTCGTGCGGCCATGCGCAGAAGGGTTGCAATAGTCACTTCCCACGATCAGAGTGATACCTCATCAGACGTCGAACAGATGAAAGTGTCGAAAAATGACTTCGATATCGCCCTGTCGACGGCGGTACGTAGGATCACTCCAGAAATGACCGAAGGCTATGAACACTGGCGCGATGGGCTTACTAAGAAGCTCTAATGGCTGAGGAGGGGCTTCGTTATGTACTTGCCGTAGCTAGTAGCTTGGACAGAACTGACATGAAATCATTCTTTCGAATCACCGATACCCGCCTCCCACGATAGCATAGCAGAGGAAAGTGAGCTGTATAAATACACAGTAGTGTTGATGTCAGAACTGTGGCCAGAGAGAGTCAACAAATTGCCTGCTCTCAGTGGACAATCTCCGGTTTTCTATAACTTTGTGCATTTTTATAGCTACTCGTATGACTAGCCCTTGCATGGGGAAGGGAGCGATATCTGTTCTACCATGAGATCCCTGTGCACTTTCAAAGCCCCGATTAGATGGGTACCTAGCTGTCGATGGACGGAGAAGACGCCCTTGCTCCTCCCACCTGCGTATCAGTAATCATCTATACGATGACCGAGAAGGAAGAGCTGAGATTGACTTTCCAGGCTGACAGCTCCAGCAACCTGCTGCCTTGCATGCCGAACCACCACCGGAACAACGACCGATTCGTTTCTTCGGACCAGCCACCGATTAGCCAAAAAAAAAACGACGCGTGTAATAAAACCTTTCAAACTGTCCGACTTCGAGAACGAACGCGAAGCTGCAAAAAAAAAGCCAAGCATTTTCCCAATCTGGACAAAAGTGCGAGGCTCAGAGCGTTCTTGCGGTATACGACTCGCGAGTATAAGCACTAGACCATTTGCTTGCCGGTATGTTTCATCTCCTTTATTATTAAATTGAGTGGATTCTTTTCGTTAGCAAGGCGCCTTCGGGGACCGGGAATACTGTGTGCTATGAGAGTCTGGCCGTTCCCTCTGCACAAGACGAAGAGGAATGGTAAAATGACCAGCCGCCGACGGGCCACGGCTCCTTGTGAAAGCCGCGTGCATTGAATGGATGCGATTCTCACGAATGCATGACGAGTTTCTTCAATCATCCATGTCAAATTGTACACAATCCTTTGAGCTCTCTGGACTTTGCATGTGCCTGCTGACGTGTGTGTGCCAAAAAACAAAAGACGGGCAAGGGGGGAACGAAGAGGAAAACGCCCCGAACGACCGTCGGCCAGCTGCTTTCCTCCACACCCCTCGTCCGACCTCACACGCCACGAAAAAAGTCGGCAGCTGGGCAAAGCTCCAAACCCGCAAGGCTGAAACGAGAAAATGATTGTGATACGGACGGATTCGAGTGGACGGTGGGTACCCATTTCTGCGGCACGTAAATGATAGGATGGGGTTTTTGTATAAGTAGTCTGTGATACGGCCCTCTTTTCAGGTATGGAGCAATCATCATCGAGGCCTTTGACTGTGAATACATACAACGACTACCAGTAATCAGAAACATCTTCGACCTACTCTACTGCTTTGGAAAAAGCCAAGGGATATCTAGCTACTAAAAACGCCGATCAACGAGCATGTCTTCCTCAAGCCCGCAGAACCGAAACAATATGCTTCTCGTAAGTCTTTGAGATCTAAAATGGTGAATGCTTGAGGCTAATTCAGTAAAACAGCTCGTCAGAGACAACTTTTCCATAACGACATGGCTAGCGATCGGAGCTTTGGTTCAGTCCGCCGCATTCTCTTTACTCGGTCGAATGGCCTTCCTTCCGGCTGTCTGTTTGTTGCTGTATCGCGTGGCAGACGCATATGCCATCAAGACTGGCCTCAAGCACAACCATTACCTGGACGGTGTGATTCCAGAGCACTACTCCGCTCAGCTCCCTAGCGAGGCGGATGGTGGTGTAGAGTCTCCTGCAGAGTCGGATGTCTGTGTCTTCCTCATCGGATCAAAAGTCAACCAGTATGTCGAGATTACCTTCGCTCTAGCTTATGATGCTGATCACGCTTCCAGCCCCTTTGGACTTTTCGCACCAGGCTACAAGGAGATGGGCTCACAATTCGCATCCATGGTCAAAGAGATCGAANCGTAAGCATGTCCATATCTATTGAGTAGCTCGATACTTACCAATATACCAGAGGACAGAGAAAAGCACGGTTTCCTGGGATCAAGAAGTCTCGTTGGAGCCGAGTCGGCCACAAACAACGAAACAATGACGATCATGTACTTCAAGACATCCGAGCACATCCAGGCATACGCAACAGGACCAACCCATCGCAAGTCATTGACGTGGTGGGCCAAACACGCAGCCCAGTACCCTCACCTGGGTATCTTCCACGAGACGTATCAAGTCCGGGCCAAGAACTACGAGACAGTGTATGCGCATACCAAGCCAATGTTGCTGGGAGCTACTCAGCACAAGGTGCAGGAGTCGTTCTCGGAGAAGGAAGGCGAGGAAGCGGTCTACAAGAACTCGCTGGTATACGCCAAGGGTGTTCTCAAGACAAGTCTGGGTCGCATGGGTAGATTGCCTGGCACCTTTGACCGAAGCCTACTAGAGGTAAAGGAGGCTGGAAAAGCGGGACCTTTGNATGGTATGATGGTCTTATCCCTGATTGTGATCATGAAAAAGCAGATATAACTTAATATTAATGACAACTTGACAATAACGAGGATTTTCGTGAAGATTGAGAAGTGCTGGACAGGTAGACATGAGAAGAGGGAAGGAGCAAGAGCCACGCAGACGTCAATGGACTTGGCGTGTTTCTGGGGCTCTCGGATTCAAGAAGTTTCGACTTGGATAGCGACAAACGCGACAGCTCAAAAACACTTTGTTCCCCATCTTTCGGTCTTCTCAGCTGTCTAGAAAGGGTCGCGTCTGCACACAGAATGAGATAATAGCGACAAAAATGGCCGACACACAAGGAACCAGCCGCCCGACCGTCGACGACCTGACTGGCGACAACCACTATGCCCAATTGGCGCGCAAGCACTGGCTTAATAAGACCAAGCAACCAAAGGTCCAGCGCGATGTGGTTGAGAAAGAGCTTTGGACACAACTAGAACAGGAGGACTTTGGCTCGTTGCTGTTGCTGGAACAATTGCAGCTGTTGGACTTGTACCTCTGGCCTGGATACACCGACGATGCTTCCAACCACCACGTCCTGCTGCTGGCCATGCTAGTCAACGTGAAGCGCCGCGAAGGCCTTGCTGTATGGGACTGCTTCCATCAACATTCGGAGAACTTCTCGTCCTTGTTTCGCCGCGTACTGTCCATGACCATCGACACAACCATCGCAACCACCCTCCGGACACACCTCCTCACCTTCATCATCATCGCATACCAATCGCTCGATAGTGGCATTGTCAGGAAGGAGTGCGCTCCACTGGTCAACATTGCCGTCTGGCACAACCTACACAGCGAACAAGCAAGAGATGGACATTTGGAAAAGGCTGTACAACTGCAAAAGGCTTGGAGAGCGGCAAACAAGAGATATGATGGCTCAGATGCCCCTACACAGGCCCGATTTCGCTTCGAGAGGTCATGGCTGTACTCATTGACCCTCGACTTTTTCGACCGTCTGTACGACACGACTCCCAAATCTCGCTCGGACAACGTCCTCTACTGCGAACGCTTCGTCGAATTGCTGTCAGATCTGCAGAGCCAGTTGCCTACCAGACGCTTTGTCAACACTCTGCTACAGGACCTCAACACCCTGTCCGTCATCAAGCTATCGCCCATGTACGCTGATGAGGACAATGCTCTCNTGCGCGATCTTTACAATCTTCTTCAACACTACACTACCTTCCCTATCGAGGACCACAGCGGCAGACAGTACACCTCGCTCGAATTTGACCAACAACATCACGCCGCTCTGACGAAATTGCAGAGAGTCTCTTTCAAGCACTTCCAGGACAAGCTGAAGATTCTGGTTCTGGCCAACTTTGCCTCATTAGCCACCCGAGAGGATCTACAGAGCCATTTGACTTCTCTGTCAGACGATGAGGTTGTTGAGCTTTGCGGTCTGCTCGGCTTCCGGACCGACTATCCTAGCTCGACTCTCGTCACGCGCGACCGCACCTTCTACATGGAAATCCTCCTTTCAGCACACGAGAGTGTCCCTATGTATCAGCAGACCATGCAAAACATGGCTGTCGTGCCGACTGAGAGCACAATCTACGATTCTGCCTTTGTTCGCAACGAGAGCTATAATGGAACTAGACCCCTGGCTATCCCAAAGCTGAATCTTCAATATCTGACCATGGGAGATTTCCTATGGAGGTCATTTGTGTTGTACAGAGCGGAAGCCTTTTATCAGATCCGTAAAGACATTGAGGATACTGTCAAAAGGTTGCAACCGAGAAAGGCTGGACCTGCTACAAAGTTTGACGGCTTCTCCAAGATGGCTATTCCCATTACCAAACCTGCTCTCATCGATGTCGCACCTGCCAAAGTCTCGGAGCTTCACCCTTCCAAGGTAGAGGTTGAGGTGACGCTTGATGTAGGCCGCTTGGGTCCCAACATCCGCAAGGAGTGGGAGACACTACGATCGGGTGACGTCGTGTTTCTGGTGTCTGTCCAGGTGGGAGACACGACATCGGTTTTCAGCAACGGTGGGTCTGAATCGGCCGATGTAGCAGACAGACATGGTGTCAAGCATGTGCGCTCTGCCGAAGTAATCAATGTGCTTGACGAAAATGGTCGTATGCTGCGTGACCAGTCTCAAGCTCAGAGCAATGGTGCAGCTTCAAAAGGCGGTCGTCAACGTAGACTTCTAGTCCGACTCGACCCTGTTGCATACCAACAAGACAAGGAACGCACAGACAAGGGTAAGCCGGATGTTCTTGAAAGCATCAACCTTCTTGTGAGACGTCAAGGTCGTGAGAACAACTTCAAGTCCATCTTAGACTCCATTAAGCATCTGGCGCTCTCTGATGTGCCTGCTCCTCAATGGCTGCAGGAAGTGTTCCTTGGTTACAGTGATCCTGCTGCTGCAACTTACCAGCGCTTGCCAAACAGACTGAACTCGATTGATTATCGGGATACATTCCTTGACTGGCAGCACTTGGTCGAGTCTTTGCCCGGAAAGACTGTAGAGCCGGATGCACAACAGAACTCGAGCTTCCCTCCGCCATATGTGCTTGAGACTACAGCAGCACCGCCACCAGAGGCTAGACCTACTAAGAGACGCAAGCGTGAGCAGGTGGAAGCCGCACCGGCCCCTGCTGTAGAAGCTGTCAAGGTCGGAACTTACAAGCCAGCCAATCCTGGTCCATACCCTGTAGATGCCCCCAAGCTCAACAGTGTACGCTTCACACCCACACAGATCGAGGCAATCACATCAGGAACCCAACCAGGTCTGACTGTGATTGTCGGTCCTCCCGGAACTGGCAAGACTGATGTCGCAACACAAATCATCAACAACATCTACCACAACTTCCCAGAACAACGCACGTTACTTGTTGCTCACAGTAATCAAGCACTCAACCAGCTCTTCCAGAAGATTACAGCTCTAGACATTGATGAGCGTCATCTTCTCAGACTTGGTCATGGTGAAGAAGAGCTCGAGACCGAGGCAAGCTATAGTAAGCATGGTCGTGTCGAGTCCTTCATGGAAAACGCCGCTGTACATCTATATGAAGTCAGTCGATTGGCTGCTAGTATCGGCGCCCCTGGCGCTCATGGCAGCAGTTGTGAGACTGCCGACTACTTCAATCAAGTATACGTCAAGCCCGCTTGGACGAAATACTGGGATGCTGTAAATGCAGGTGCGGAACCTCAACAGATGATCGACTCCTTCCCTTTCCACGCCTACTTCGCCAACGCCCCGCAACCGCTCTTCCCTGCGACTGCCTCTCGTGAAGCGTTGGTCGATGTTGCCTTGGGCTGCAACAACCATCTCGACCATATCTTCGCATCTCTCGCCGACACTCGCCCCTTTGAAATCCTCCGCACAGCCCGCGACAAGGCCAACTACCTCCTCATCAAGGAAGCTCGCATTATTGCTATGACTTCTACCCACGCCGCCATGCGCCGTCAAGAAATTGCCGACCTAGGCTTCCGCTACGACAACATCATCATGGAAGAGGCAGCACAAGTCACCGAGATCGAGAACTTCATCCCACTCGCATTGCAGAAGCCTCGCGGCGGTGAGATGAAGCTGCAACGTGTAGTCTTGGTTGGCGATCACCTTCAGAACAGCCCCATTGTGCAAAACTTGGCATTCCGTCAGTATGCAAACTTGGAACAGAGCTTGTTCTTGAGATTGGTGAGACTGGGTGTACCGACCATTACATTGGACCAGCAAGGTCGTGCAAGACCTTCTCTTGCCGAGCTGTACAAATGGCGATACACTACTCTGGGCAACCTGCCGCTTGTAACGTCCTCACCACAATTCTTGCAAGCGAATGCCGGATTTGCCTATGACTACCAGTTCATCGATGTGCCTGACTACAAGGGCAAGGGTGAAACCGAGCCGTCACCACATTTCATTCAAAACCTGGGAGAAGCCGAGTATGCCGTTGCCATCTACATGTACATGCGACTACTTGGTTATCCAGCTGAGAAGATCAGCATCTTGACTACATACGCCGGTCAACGCGCACTAGTCAGAGATGTACTCAAGCATCGTTGCCAAAACAACCGTATGTTTGGTCTTCCAGGCAAGGTCAGCACGGTAGACAAGTACCAAGGCGAGCAAAACGACNTGTAAGCAATTTCTTCTCTGTTCCTTGCTTGATGCTGGAAAGCATGCTAACATATATCCACAGACATCATCCTCTCCCTCACACGAACATCACGACCCGGCTACCTCCGCGATATCCGCCGTCTAACCGTCGCACTTTCTCGCCCCCGTCTAGGTCTCTACATCCTCGGCCGCCGCGAAGTCTTTACCTCGACTCCCGACCTCGCCACTGCATTCTCTTCCTTGCTTGCACGTCCTGCTACCCTCACGCTCTCGACCGGAGAAATGTTCCCAACGCAAAGAAGTGTAGAGGAACAAGGCAACACGGCAGAAATGGAGGGTGTGGAACATTTGGGACAGTATGTGTTTGAGATGACAAAGGCAAAGGTGGAGGCGATCAAGAAGGGAGAAGGTGTGCTGCCGCCGGTTAGTGTAGCGCAGGATGAGGAGATGGAAGATGAAGAGGTTTATCTCGAGGATGAGGGCATGGCTGAGGAGGAGGATGTGGAGATGATGTAGTAGTCTGGAGGTTGATACTACTTGGAGATTAGCAAGCATTTTGTATAGCTGTGGGAAAGTACAGTTCTTCATGTCACTTATTCTGTGCTTAGATTGACGATCTGTGAAGACCGCTCTCTGCATTGCCGTTCTGATCTGAGGATGCAGCATCCCCAACGGATCGAAAGATCTTGCAGCACTTGTATCATGATGGAAAATTACTCTAACCAAGCCAGTCTTCAAGGGTATTTGTTGGGGTGGATATCTCTTGTATTTGTGCGCTACAGCAGTGCTTGATAAAGTGCCCAAAAGGGTGGTGAGTGGAGCTTAAGCGAACAGCAACTAGTATACACGATTGTGCTTATGTTGGGAAGCCATGTCGATATCTTCTCCTCGAGCAAGTCATTGGTCTCACCAATTTTTCCTCAGTAACATCATAGAAGAGCAAATACTAAGACGTCTTCTTGTATCCTCAATGACTGTAGCGATTCCGTGTAACGAAACTTTCCGTCGTGCGATGTTGACGCTGATGTGTTGGCGAAGTAAGTTGTTTCAGCCGTGTTCACGCGATGTGATCTGAAAGAGCGAAGTTTCATGAATCAACATGGCTGCAGTTGTCAATATAAGATGACCAAAGATCGCTGATGATTGACTTACCGAACTCCCACTGATGTTGGAGGAAACGTCGGCGATTCCAGATTTGTAGACCAAACCTCTTAAGTCCTTGTATCTTTCGACAAGATCGCCCAAACCCACCCATGTAGGATGTACGAACTCTGAGGATTTTCTGGGACCATCTCGGTACCTCAAGAACCACGCGACAGTAACGTGCTTAGGAGTCTGTATGAGCATTTGTACGAGATATCCGGTCAGCAACGGTATCTCTTTGGTCATGGCTGCCATTTGATCTTCAGGCTGAGCTTGGTCGATATGCCCGAGTTCAAAACATACAAATACTCTGATGAGAGATTTGAACACAGCCAATATTTGCAGGTCGATCAAGCCAAATACCGAATACGGTTTGCGGGCGATGTCGACATTCAGATGAAGCGCGGTCACATTTGCCAACGCTTCAGTGTTCAGACGAGAGACCGCGTAAGAAAGGTCAATGGAGGGACCATCTACACGATCTGAAGGAAACGGGAAGCTGATGTACCAAGTCTTGATCCAAATTCGATCGTAAAGTTCCTGGCGGACCTGTTTGCAGGATTGCAACAAGTTAATTCCCATTACCTTGGCTTTAGGTTGGCCAGGCAAAGGGAAAGCCCATCTCTGTTGTTTGAGTATGCTCAAGTCGTAGACCATCGTGCGTAGTTCGAGCGGCAGGTCGAGGAAGCAAGTACCACCAATGAAGGATCCATTAACATGAATGATCGTGCGAGCAGAAGAAGAGCGAGGAATAGACATGTCGGCGTAGGTACAGCACTGCTGTGACGAATAGAGGTTTCGGCGTTCTGTGAACGAGAGGTGGCAGAGAGTGGAGTTGGGGCAGATCTGGTAGAGGCCGTAATGTATGATGGTGACCGATGAGAGCAGACGAAGAGAGAATACGCGAGCAGCCACAATCCAGAAAGACGTTTGCGAGTCCGGACAGGCAGATGTCGAGGAGAAAGCCCAAGAGGAGGATGGCAAAAGGCAAGACAAAGAGGTTCAGAGTTGGAGGTGTGCAGAAGATGAGCTGAGGCAGACAATGTTGTGTTGTGTGAAGCAAAGGTTGGGGTTGGGAAAGTTCGTTGTTAGAGGAAGGAAGTACTGGAGCGGGATTTGCATGTGATGCAAGATTGGCGGCGAGGAGTGCTTTCGAGGCTGTAGTCACTCTCTGCTCCTACCTGCTCCGTATTTGACGCCAGGTCTCTAGTCACGAATCAGCATCAACATCATGAGTTTCCCGGTGAATGTGTCGAAAGCACTTTCTCTCCATTTTAATGAAATCCTTGTCGACTCCCAATCAATCTCACAACAGCACGACAGACACATATGCATGTAGAAATCTAAGAACAAGATCAATTAATGTCGATCGTATGTAGACAATTCGTCGTCCATATTTTCCGCCTGCAAAAAAAAGCAATCGCTGCCTCGTTGAAGATGCCATAAAGTTCGTTATAACAGAAAAGGAAAACACCATCCAGATGCAATGTGAGTTAGACTGCCTCGACTGTGTGTAGTCAGGCATAGGAGGTCGTTGAAGACCTGTCGCTGGAAATGAAGCAAAGAATTAAAGTCACAGAAGAAGATCAAGTAGGCATGGGTGCAGCGGCACCAGTCATGTCTTCAAAGGTCTCTGCGGGCGCGCAGGTGCAGAAGAGGTTCATGTCTCCGTATGCTGGTTGTTGTTAGTCACGTTTGAAATCAAGATCATTGAAGTTCAACTTACCATCATCGAGTCTGGTCACAGTGGGCCAGAACTTCTTCTCCTTCAGATAGGACAAAGGATAAGCTGCCGTCTCACGAGTGTATGGTCTCGACTCCCAGTCTGATGTGATGATATCCTTGACAGTGTGAGGCGCCATCTTCAGCACGTTGCCATCCTTAGGCTGCTTGCCCTCTTCCACCAATGTGATTTCCTTCCGGATAGAGATCAGTGCGTCACAGAAACGGTCAAGCTCTTCCTTGCTCTCAGACTCAGTAGGCTCGATCATCAGAGTGTTTGCAACAGGCCAGCTCATCGTCGGTGCGTGGAAGCCATAATCTTGAAGACGCTTGGCGACATCAATTGCTTCAATACCAGCAGACTCCTTGAATTTGCGAATGTCCAAGATGAACTCGTGAGCGCAGCGGCCATTGTCATTGGTGTAAAGAATAGGATAGTGAGGGCGTAGGCGAGACAGAATGTAGTTGGCGTTGAGCAGTGTGATCTTTGTGGCGTGTGTAAGTCCGCGAGCACCCATCATCTTAACGTAGGCCCAACTGATGGGCAAGATACTGGCGCTACCCCAAGGTGCACCACTGATGGGTGCAATGGCTTGAGAGCCACCGGTCTTCACCAGCGGATGGCCAGGCAAGAAGGGAGCGAGATGCTCTGCAACACCGATAGGACCGACTCCAGGGCCACCACCACCGTGAGGAATGCAGAACGTCTTGTGAAGGTTCAAGTGGCAGACATCGGCGCCAATCTCTCCAGGTGAGCAGAGGCCGATCTGTGCGTTCATGTTTGCACCGTCCATGTAAACTTGACCACCGTGCTGGTGAACCAGATCGCAGGCTTCCTTGACCTTGGGCTCGAAGACACCAAAAGTGCTGGGGTATGTGATCATGATGGCACCAAGTTCTTCTTTGTGCTTCTCGCACTTGGCCTTCAGGTCTGCCATGTCAAGATTGCCAGTGCCGCTCTCACATTTGATGGTGACAACACGCATACCAGCCATAGCCGCACTAGCAGGGTTGGTACCATGAGCAGAGACCGGAATCAGACAGATGTCGCGCTTCTTTCCAGGCTGTTGCTCGAGATATTTGCGAATAACACGCAGACCGGTGAACTCGCCCTGAGCACCTGAGTTGGGTTGTAAGGACACTGAGTGGAACCCAGTGATCTCCGCAAGATCGGCTTCGAGCTCGTTGATCAGAGTTTCGTAGCCCTTGGCTTGCTCAGGAGGAGCAAAGGGGTGGATGTTCGAGAACTCGGGCCAAGTGATGGGGATCATCTCGGTTGTGGCGTTGAGCTTCATGGTACAAGATCCGAGAGGGATCATAGAGTGGACAAGAGAGAGATCCTTTGACTGCAAATGGTGGATATAGCGGAGGATGTTGGTCTCGGAGTGATGTGTGTTGAAGACGGGGTGTGTCAAGAATGCGCTCTTTCTGCGGAGCTCGGCAGGAACATGGGACACGGCACCGTCTGCTGAGAGGCCAATGTCCTTGACAAGGCTGTCTACGGTAAGCTTGGATGATGATTTTGCGGCACCAACGAGCAAGTCGATGATAGCTTGGAGGTCTTCCTTCTCCACAGTCTCGTCCAAGGTGATACCAATGCGGTTCTCATCGACGACTCTCAAGTTTGTCTTGTACTCTTGCTCAGCAAGCTTGGCGAAGTCACCAGCCTTTCCGGAGATAGGACCTCCAGAGAGGACGACGGTGTCAAACAGAGGGCCAGTGGTTTCGATCGTGTAGCCGGACTTCGAAGCAGCCTCGGCAACCACACGAGTAGAGTTGATAACTCTGTGAGCAATGGCCTTCAAGCCCTCGGGTCCGTGATAGACAGCGTACATGGCACTCATGTTAGCCAACAAGGCTTGGGCTGTGCAGATGTTGCTGGTAGCCTTCTCGCGACGGATGTGCTGTTCACGGGTCTGGAGAGCCAAACGAGCTGCCTTGTCCCCCAGTCTGTCTTTGGAGAGACCAATCAGACGACCAGGGATCTTGCGCTTATGCTGTTCGCTGCAAGCAAAGAAGGCCGCGTGAGGACCACCAAAGCCGAATGGTACACCAAATCTCTGAGCATTTCCGAAAGCCACATCTGCACCGAACTCTCCTGGTGGGGTAAGAACAGTCAGGGCCAGGAGGTCAGTTGCCACGCTGAAAGTTGCCTTGAGCTTGTGCACCTTCTCGGAGAGGTTCTTAAAGTCCTGGACACCACCAAGAGTGTCGGGGTATTGTCCTAGAACACCAACCAGATCTTCGCCTATCTCTTCCACTCTCTTGCTTCCGTCCTTGAGGATGTCATCCACCTCGATCTTGACACCGAAGCCCTCTGCGCGAGAGGCCAGGACAGCGATGGTCTGAGGATGACACAGGTGCGAGACAAGAAAGACCTTGTTGGAGCGCTTCTGGCGTGCGGATGGAAGGGCGTTGATAGAAAGAGTCATGGCTTCAGCAGCGGCTGTCGGCTCATCAAGGACGGATGCGTTGGAGATTGGCAGACCAGTGAGATCAGAGACCATGGTCTGGAAGTTGAGCAGGGACTCCAGTCTTCCCTGACTGATCTCGGGTTGGTATGGAGTGTAACTCGTGTACCAGGCAGGGTTCTCGAGGACATTTCTCTTGATGACCTCTGGCACACGGGTGCCTGCGTAGCCGCATCCAATGTAACTTTTGACAACCTTGTTTCTCTCGGCAATCTCTCTCAGTCTGTCAATCAACTGACTCTCCGAGAATCCTTCGGTACTCGTCTCTTGAGGTTGGCCCTTGGTATATTTGGTGGGCCCTTCAATCTTGAGGTCGCGAGATGACAGAATATCTCCAGGCAGGACTTGGGTGACAAACTCGTCGAGGGACTTTACTGGAGGATCCAAGACTTTGAGCATCTCGATAGTGTCGTCAGGCGAGGGACCGATGTGCCTACGGGCAAATGTGTCTAGAGGCGCGAAGAGAGAGGACTGAGCATTGCCCTCGCTGTCGAGTCGAGTCTCGGCTGCAGTGCTCGAATAGAAGGGTCTGAACTGTGCAGGGCGTACATGCTTGCTGGGCTGGAGTAATTGTCTTCTAGCAGACAAGTTGAGGCATCGCCTGCTCGTTAGGNNGGAGGAGACAGGGCCTCGGCATAGTGAAGCAGAACGAAGCCTCGCGGCTGCAACCAGTGATTGTTGCATGATGAGGACTAGACTCAGTCAGGCTGATGTTCCTGTTGGAGGAACGTACAGAGGTTACTGCGTCTCTCACCTCTGCGACAGAAGAAACAAACACGCAATCGTGTTCAAAGGAACGACTGTATGACGCGAGCTCTCGGCTTAAGCTTGCTTCACCCGAGTGGTTTTGCCCGCAACAGATGAACTGAACAATAACAGCGAAAGTGATGCAGAAGAAACAGAACAAGGAGTCACTGATCTCGACAAGCCAACTTTTTTTACGACTTTCGCCAAACGGCACCACATGCAGCCAATTGAGCCACCTTACTTTCTTGGTGCTCCTTCAGATAAGAACTTTAATGGCTGGATGTGTAGGGCGTTCGCCGGCATACGGCCCGAAAGAAGGGTTTCCCGCCCCACGCCCGCGGTTAGCCGTCGCGATAAGGAGGGGTCCGGGGAGCATTTACTCGATCGTTTTACCCTTAGAAGGAAGCTCGGCGCGAGCATGTGAATAAAAAATGAATTGATCGAATTGCGCTGAGATGGGTATTTGAGGAGTACAGAGAACAAACAGAATCCAATATCTACGAAGAAGCCATGTAGTTGCCAATTAAAGGGATATGGCTGTACAGCTGGTCGTACTCTCTGCCGACCCATCCGCCAACTGCTCCGCCGCGGCCGACGATGCCCATACCGCCGGCAAGCCAGAGAGCACTGACGACAGCACTGATGGCGTTGACCACATACCACCTTCTTTTCCTAAGGAGCTGACCCTCTGGTCCTCCCTGCGTGACCTGGGATGGGGTAAAGTTGAGCCATTTGGCCCAGCCCCAAACCGAGTGCCACACTCCAACAGTGATGAGAGCGCTGAAGCCAACGAAAGATACAGCAGGGTGCTTGGCAAAGCCGTGCGAGACGTAGCCCAGATTGATGCTGCTAGAACCACCCTCGTACCAAAGCGGGATAATCCTGTTGACAAAGGCGTGGCCAAAGACCAGTGGTACCAATGCGTAACCCAGTGCGCTTGTGCCTGACAACTTTGGCCATGCGACCATACGTCTGTCTGTCCTGTTCTCTGCACCATATCTCTTGAGGTTCTGCTTGCGACGGTAAAGACGGAGAGCGACACCACTGCCAATGTGGGCAATCAGAGGCAAGACGACAACGAAGGGCTCGGCAATTGGCGATTGGTAGTATGGGCGAGTAAGCAGGAGGTAGGGTTCCGAACTGGACACGGAGCGCGTGGCAAGCGGGATGAGAGCGGTATTGGCGACGTGGAAGGCAGTGAAGACGGAGAAGGCGTAACTCGAGTATTTGTGGATACGAGTGAGGTACCAGACAGGCGAGTGTGCATCCAGACCTAGGGTAGAGGTCCGTTGGACAGGCTTGATCGCTTCATCATCGTAGGGAGCCTTGTCCGAGGCTGCAGGAAAGTACGAGTCCGAGGGAAACTCTTCTTCGATAGGCGAAGGCTCGAGTTCTTGCAGGGAGAGCTCCCGCTCGAGGTCGTTGGCGTGGGTGTTCATCAGTGTGTAATCGCCTAGTGCCGAGCAAGAAACAACATGGTCCACGAATCAGCGTCGCACATGTGATTGCTTACCAAGTCTACATCTTATCTCTGCCTGCATCGGCGGATCTACCCAGACCTCGGCTTTTGTGTCGAGCTTTGGCTCTTGCTGGACAATCCTCCGCTCTCATCTTTCCACTCGACAAGACACACCGACCATCCGTCATGGGCCCAGTAAGTTGCATGTCCGTCGCATACTGCACGAAGAAGCTGACACACTCGCAGCGATCAACCGCCCTCCCCAGCGCACAGGTACACGATCTCGTCCATCTTGTGTCCACCCACCCTGACCCATTTCTCAGACCGAAAGCGCTCGCGAATTGCGCCGCAACTTCTACTGCGAGCTATGCAGTAAAGGCTATGCCCGAATCACAGAACTCGAAGCCCACGAGAACAGCTATGACCACCAGCACCGCAAGCGCATGAAGGAGATGAAGCAAATCACCAGAAACCCCACAGCTGCCGTCCGCAACTCACGCACCGAAAAGAAGAGAACGGAGAACTCGGAGATGATCAGTCTGAATCTGAACAAAGGCAAGACGGAGGGTGTCAAGAGAGGTTTCAAGGACATCGGGCGCGACGCAAGTCAGGACGTACGCCCAACAGCAACAGCAGCTGTGCCCGATGTTGTCATGAAAGAGGCGCCCGTCAAAGAGCAAGCCGAGGTTGAGAGGCCACTCAGATGGGATGACCTCACACAACTATCATCTATACTGGATCCGTCAGCCCTGCCTGCTGAGTGGCAGCAGNCAAACCCCAGCGCTACACAAACATACTTCGCCAGCATGACTGACGCCGACAAGAGAAGGGCATACTTTGATGATGACGAGGACATACTGGATGAGATGGGCATCGCAGACGACGAATGGCATGCCGATGAAGAACAGTACCCGGATGAGATTGACATTGACCAAGATTGGGAGGACTTTATGCAATCAGATGATTGGAAGAAGCAAAAGAACTCGGCTGAACAGACCCGCAAAGAGAAGCTCAACCAAGCCTGGAAACAGCGACGAGCCGTGCAGCGTTCACTCTGATTTACTGATGATAAGCAAAAGGCTTGGTCTGCTTGCATTAGCGTTGGCGTTGGGTTTGGAAAGGTCTTTGATTCAGCATCTGGTCGATGTCTAGCGATTCGTGATTACTCATTTTGAGTGTACTGGAATTACAAGCTGTTCTCACAGCGGTTTACCGGTGCGGTCTTTGTATTCGTTCACCGTGTGTGTTTCCTTCAGACCAAATTGATCACGGCACATCAAGACAGCCATTGCTGTCTCATCATCGGCGAGTAACGACTACTACTACTAATGAACTCGAATCAAGGCATCACTCTCGACATCCAGTTAAAAGCTTTCACAACTTTGCTCAACGATCTCGCCCTTGACCAGGCTCGGATTAGTATCACGCAGGGAGTCCTCGGCACCAAGCCGCATGTGGGAAGGCTGACTTCGTTATGTAGATGTATGACTGTGAAACACGAACATGCCACCAAAATAGAGGGTGTTATAAATGTGAGCTCTAAAAGGGACAAAAACAAACGCAGCGAGTGAGATTCGAACTCACGCCCCTACAAGTCCAGTGCTAGATCCTCAGCGAATGATCGCCAGAGGAATAGGGGGGCGCACCTATGCTTGTGTTTGCAAGACATATTTGTGTAGCGTCTTGACCACTAGACCATCGCTGCTAATTCTGAATTATTAGAATTTGAGATGGTTATAAAGTGTTTTCTGGAAGTGAGGGCTGCTGAAGGAAGTCACAACTAGTGTGGCTGACATGTGACAGGCAGACCTGCCGTCCGTTGCAAACCAGAGCACGACTGTTCATCAGACCGATTGTTCGCAAGACGGCTTGAATCGAAAAACTATAAATGTATTATTGTTTCGCTAAGTGGTGGAAATAACGGAAAGAGAGAATGGGCGCAGCTAATGACATCTTTTTGGTTCTAGGTGTTACAAAGGACTATCACTCTATAAACTCTCGGTGGTAGGATCAAGCGCAGTTTGGTGATCTGTACGCATGGTGATTTCATCCGAGTTGGGGTCTCTGACGTTGACGTGTAGGACGTCGACGTGCTCAACGCGGCCTTCCTCGATAAGTCCGGGTATCTTACGCTTGGGGCGAAGGTTGGTTCGTTGTTTTACAGGGTAGAAGTAGGCACCCTTTTCGAGACGGTCGCCAGAGTCATGCAGCGCAAGAGCGACGGTGTCGCCATACGAATTGTCGGCATCGCCGGCCTGTTGATATGTCTCGTACTCGCGAATACGCTGGAACTGGAAGAAGCTCTCGCCGTCTGCCTCAGTGTCGTAGAGTGACGGGTCGTCGTTCTGAGCGTCGTTCGGATCAAACTTGCGCTTGATACCACGAACAGAGCTTTCGTGCTCGGCCAGGAACAAATCGTAGTCCCATTCAGGCAGTGGCTTAGGAATGGTAGGGTCGGCTTTATGGGCGGCCATACGCTCTTCCATTAAGTTGAGGTCTGCGCCGAGTGGTCGCAGTAGTGCTGTATCGAGGCGATGGTCGTAGGAGTCTGATTGGGCGACGGGGTTGGTACTGAATTTGACGATCTGATAGTCGCCAATCAACGGTATGGCGTCCAGGTCAGGAAGAAGAGGGTACGAGTCCAAAAGGGTCAGGTTGGGGTTGGTAGGGTGTTTCGGCTTCTTCCAAGCATTTCTGTCGGCTTCAGTGATAGGAGCGCCGCGGATGTTTGTCTCAGAATCGGGGCCAGTGTAGGCATCTTCAGGATAGGCAAGGTCAAAGCCCTTGACGAGGGATCTGATGATGTTGATGGGGTCATCGCGGTTGACTGTTGGTGGAGGCTTGCGGCGCTTGGGGTCATTGCGCACACGCAACAGATCTTTTGAGGTACTCGACTCGAAGCGTTGGACGGCGGCGGCGTTGGACGAGATGTATTCTGTTCTGCGGAGGAAACTGACACCAGAGTTCATTGCTGTCGGCTTGCCCAGCGCTGATAGCGGCTTGAGCAGTGCTCGGTCTTTGGGATGGAGCGGCGGTGGAGGGTCCTGGGCCATGATGGCTNNGTCGTTTGTTAGTATGAAGGCAGTGCTAGAGAGAGTGATGATGGACATACCGCTCTCGTCTCCGTCAAAGACACCTGGCAGACCGACCAGGTCGATGGGCATGCCGAGCTCAGCATCGGCCTCAATGTTGAGAGGCTGCTCTCGTGCAAGCTTGAGGGCATATGAAGCTGATGTGTAGTTGTTCGAGGCGATGCCGGTTCCAGGGATGTCGAGAAGCTTTGGCGGGTTTGGAGGAGGTGGTAATGTGTTGGAGTATCTGATGCGCGCGATGTAGTCTTGGTGGTAGACGCGTTCTGAGCGTCCAGAGGCCATCTTGACTGTTGTGGCCTTGCTTTGCGCTTGGAGTGGTGGATGTTCGAGGTGGATGTCGACGTCTCTCAAGCAATGTCGCAATCAACTTCACTTCGTTGCGACTGTCATAAACTCGCGATGCGCCGGCGTCTGAAGGAGTAGTCACTATTGAACGTAGACCAGAACTTATCCGACGCCAGCATATTTAAAGTCATGTATAAAGATGCACAGTATCAACTCAATTCCATCATCCTATAAGAGCCATGCAGTTGCCAATGTGCTTCTTGATAGGATCACAAGACTTCTTCAGTACTGTGCTATACGGCAGATCATCTTTGCATAAGACGTGCAAAAGGTAACCGACCCTTGCAAAATCCGTCTGCCAATCGCGCAGGCGCCAAGACAACGTGTTTAGTACTGAGCAACCTGGGCCAACTCCTGTTTCTCTACAACCACCATTCTGAAAAGTTTCCGTTTGTTCTTTCGAAGTGCAACCCGTCATGCCTTGAGTGTCGCTGTCACGAGTATTGAGAGCAACAACCTGCTCTGACCGTACATTAATCACAGCAAGCCTCTCATTATCAACAATTAGACCAAATGGCTTCTGAAATGGCCTCGAATGCCTCGAGTACCTTGCGGGAGGTCATACAGAATACCACTGTACCTGTCGTACCATCTTTATCTCCCGGTACCGAGCCATCCTCTATTGGTTCGGCAGCAGGCTTGGTCTTGGCCATCTTCACCATGTTGCCTAGCCTTCTCCTGTGGTTCATCGCTTTCTTAACCATTACTTTACCGACATGGTTGTTCNACCTTTTGTCGACGAGTCTGACGTTGACGGTCAACATGACTACCGTTGTGCTGATCCTTATATTCTTCGTCTCAACTGCCAGTTGGGTGGTCCGCTATCGCTTTCTGAACATGTACTCACGTCTACCTCCGGAGCCCCAACGCAAAGAGCCTCAGGTCGAAGTCTTCCCAGATACTCAAGAGACGGACTCCAAGCAGGGTCTGGCAAACTATCTTGATGAGTTTTTGAGTGCCATCAAGGTTTTTGGTTATCTCGAACGTCCCGTCTTCCACGAGCTCACCCGGACTATGCAAACAAGGAAGCTCATTGCTGGTGAGACCATCTTACTGGAAGAGGAGAAAGGCTTTTGTCTGGTGGTGGATGGCTTGGTCCAGATTTTTGTCAAGTCGAACAAGGACAGAGAAGAGGATCCATCGACTGGCAGGACCACTCCCGACGAGACTGGAGTTGACGATGAAGGACGCATACATGGCAACCAAGGATATCAGTTGTTGACTGNNGAAGTAAAGAATGGTGCTCCCATGTCTTCTTTATTCTCCATTCTGTCTCTCTTCACGGAGGATGTCAAGCTGCGTCACGATGAGAAGGATGTCGATCCAGGCTCGACCGTCCGAGATAGCGCCCAGCCCCAAACACCACTCTCAAGTCGTTTTCCTCGCAGCGGTGCTGCCACTCCTTTATCGCCTATCGTGAGCCCCAACCTTACTGCTACTGGAGCAGAGTCTCATACCGTCCTACATGGTCTCGATGCTGCGTCCTTTGCCCAAAGCGCAGTACCTGCATTCTCTCTAAACGATCCGAATGAGGCAGGCCCTGACCCCAGGTCGAGACAAGGTAGCAGGCATGATGCTCGCAGACAATCTACCAAGCACATCTCCGCCCATCCGGATATCGTTGCAAGGGCTTCTGTCGACACCACAATCGCCATCATTCCAGCAACTGCTTTCCGACGACTTACCCGTGTCTATCCCAAAGCAACTTCACACATCGTCCAAGTCATCCTCACTCGGCTCCAGCGTGTGACGATGGCGACAGGCCACCAGTATCTCGGCCTCACTGGGGAGGTCCTGCGTACCGAAAGACTTATGGATGGTTACACCGCATACGACCTTCCTGACTTCCTGAAAGGAGACGCCATGGAGAGACTGAAGGGCAAATTCACGAAGGAAAAGGAGCGCACTGGCCCAGAGGAGATTGCTAAGGGCATTGCTCTTCACAATCCACGTGCTGGCCAAAGGAAGAAGACAGCAACTGGTTTACGGAAAGAAGCCGTTCTTCATGCACAAGCTACGCCCAGCAGTCGTCGTGGTGGAGGAGGAAGGAGCGAGTCCATTCACACGCCAATCCGTAACAGCAGGCTTAGTCAAGAGCGAGGTCCCCTATCGCCTGACCCTGAGAAAGACAGATCTGGTGTCAGTGCTGGAGATTTACTGACCAACAACAACAACGTAGCAAGACAAGGTGGTCGTAAGAACCTGGCACCATATTCGTTGCCCTTCCAGACTCCCAGGCCTCTCACAAGGGACGGCATGAGCCCCTTAGCCAGCAAGAATTTCAATCCTTTCGATGCCTCCATCAAGACTCTGCGCCGTCAGGACTCGGTAGACGAGGACATGATCTTCAGAGAATCCATCCTAGATTGCATGTTCAAGGCTATTGGACTGACCAACACGAAAGACGGACTATCAAGGACGGACTCCCTACCACAGTCGCCCAAACTTGTCTCTTATGATTCAAAACGGCAAAAAGCTGTCTTCAACAATGCATTTGGCTTCATCGACCCTTTCGATCCTAATGACGGCGAGACCGAGTCCATTGCCTCGACAGCTTTCAGCGCGACTGGCAACATGAACGTCTTGGAAGACATGAAGGAGGAAGTTGAAATTGTCTTCTTCCCAAAGGGCTCTGTCCTTGTCGAACAAGGAGAGCGTAACCCTGGACTCTACTATGTCATTGATGGCTTCCTTGATGTCAGTGTGCCTCTCGAGGAATCTGAGGCAGCAGAATCGAACATCTTTGGTACCTCGGCTGGTGTCGATTTGGATGACACGCCCCAGACGATCAGATCATCTGGAGGCAGAAACATGGGCAGTGTTCGAAGACCCAGCTCACTCTCGCTCAACCCAAAGCTCCCAAACAAGCCACGCAACAGGAGACAAAAGAGCCTCTTTTTGACCAAGCCTGGTGGATTGGCTGGTTATCTTGGAACAGTCTCTTCGTATCGTTCTTTCATCGATGTCACCGCCAAGACTGATGTCTACGTAGGTTTCCTACCACGAGCAGCTGTAGAGAAAATCGTGGAGAGGTTCCCAATCGTGCTACTTACCATAGCCAAGCGTCTTACCACTCTGCTCCCAAAACTCATCCTGCACATTGACTTCGCCCTTGAGTGGGTACAGGTCAATGCTGGTCAAGTTATCTACAACCAGAGTGAGGAGAGCGATGCAATATATATCGTGCTCAACGGTAGATTGAGAGCAATCCAAGAAGGACCAGACGACAAGATGAGAGTTATTGGCGAGTACGGTCAAGGCGACAGTGTCGGAGAACTTGAAGTTCTAACCGAGTCCACCCGACCGGGTACGCTGCTGGCCATTCGTGACACAGAGCTGGCAAAATTCCCCAAGTCGCTTTTCAACAGTCTTGCTCACGAACACCCTGGCATCACGATGAAGATCTCCAAAATCATTGCCTCTCGCATGCGCGCACTGATTGAGGATCCCACTTCCGAACACGGCAAAGACACAAGCAGGATTGCAACTCGTAGCAAAGCTTCTTCAACTACTAATCTGCGCACTGTCGCGATTCTGCCTGTCACAGCAGGCGTTCCTGTAGTTGAGTTTGGTCATCGCTTGCTCAATGCTCTGAATCAGATTGGTGCTACACCACAAAGAACCACTTCGCTCAACCAAGCAGCCATTCTGAACCACCTTGGCAGACACGCATTCACCAAGATGGGCAAGCTCAAGCTATCTCAGTACTTGGCTGATCTTGAAGAGAAGTTTGCGCTGGTTTTATATGTCGCTGACACAAACGTCAAGTCACCATGGACGCAGACTTGCATCAACCAGGCAGATTGCATTCTGCTTGTGGGTCTAGCAGAGGGCTCGCCTGCCATTGGCGAGTATGAGCGCTTCCTTCTCACGACAAAGACCACGGCGAGAAAGGAACTCGTCTTGCTACACGCCGAGAGATATTGCCATCCTGGACTCACGCGCAAGTGGCTTAGAGACCGTTCTTGGATCAATGGAAGCCATCACCATATCCACATGTCTTTCCGCGACAACGTTGAGCCTGTTCATCCCCAGATCAGCAGAAGGTTTAGTACAGCCATCAAGCAGCGTGTCCAAGTCATTCAGGCCGAGATTCAGAAATATACTTCCAGAAAGGTGCGACAGACGCCGTTGTATTCAGCCGAGACTCCTTTCAAGGGTGACTTCCATCGCCTGGCTCGCCGTCTCCTCGGCAAGTCTGTTGGCCTTGTGCTTGGTGGAGGTGGCGCTCGAGGTATTGCTCACGTGGGTATCATCAAAGCCATGGAAGAGGCTGGCATCCCTATCGATATTGTTGGAGGCACATCGATCGGCTCCTTTATTGGTGCACTCTATGCATGGGACGCCGATGTGGTCCCTATGTATGGTCGAGCCAAGAAGTTCTCAGGAAGAATGGGCAGTATGTGGCGATTTGCTCTGGACCTGACCTACCCCTCGTAAGTCTACCTACCTCCGAGATAGTGAAGAATTCTGACTGATTGGCCACAGGNNGCGTCTTACACAACTGGCCATGAGTTCAACCGCGGTATCTTCAAGACCTTCGGCGACTCCCAAATCGAGGACTTCTGGCTCGAGTACTACTGCAACACCACAAACATCAGCAAGTCGCGATCTGAAATTCATACGAGTGGCTACGCTTGGCGCTATGTTCGTGCGTCCATGTCGCTCGCTGGTCTCTTACCTCCACTTTGCGACGAAGGCAACATGCTTCTTGATGGTGGCTACGTTGACAACTTGACCGTCGCCCACATGAAGTCGCTTGGTGCAGATGTCATATTTGCTGTTGATGTCGGTTCTATCGACGACGATAATCCGCAAGCCTACGGAGATTCACTGTCCGGATTTTGGGCCTCCTTCAATCGCTGGAACCCCTTCTCTGCATTCCCCAATCCACCAACACTCTCTGAGATCCAGGGCCGTCTGGCATATGTGTCTAGTATCGATGCTCTCGAGCGTGCTAAGACCACTCCTGGATGTCTGTATCTTCGTCCACCAATTGACGGATATGGTACACTCGAGTTTGCGAAGTTCGACGAGATCTACCAAGTTGGCTACAGGTATGGTCAAGAGTTCTTGGCCAAGTTGAGAGACGAGGGTGTGTTGCCTGTAATGGAGGAGACAGAGGAGAGGAAGAACTTGAGAAGGACCATGGCGCCCAGACGTGCGAGTATCTAGGCTCGGTATTCTGGTAGATTTGCTGAAGAATACGAACTCAAGAACACGCTCAGAATCACGTTTCGTTGACAAGTCATATTCAATCAACCAAGCAAGTGCAGAAGAAATCGTATCGTGTTTAGAATGTCTCGAATAACGACCGCATATCTCTCTTGTCCCACCCCACCTCCACTACCAGGGAAGGCACGTCCAAGGTAGTCCAATCTCTGATGTCTCCCCTTCTGCAAAGTTCCTGTGACTCCAACCATAGCGCTTAGTATCCTTCCTCATTTAATTCGTGCTTTATTCTCGATCGTTTCTGGTTCTTAGTACAAATGAGGGTTCTTCGGTAAAAGTCCCTGCCATCTCTTCGCCCATTATCTCGTGATAAGCGACTGCTTCGTAAGAATGGCGCAATTGACGACCGAACAGGCCAGCAGATACACTCATGTCGGGTACGTGTTCGCCTCGCATCAATCGAACAATTGTGTCGACCATGATAGGACCAGAATCGATTTCGTTGGCTTGCCGAGTCGTTTGCTGCATACTGCATCCGTTGGTGGGCAGAGTTGACGACCATGCTGGGTGACGGTTGTCACCTCTGCTGATTCCCACAGCAGGTGACAGGGCCAGGAATTCAGCGAGCTTGGGAAGATATGCATTCAAGCTGGCAAGTTTTTGAGGATCATGGCTAGAGCCGTAGATGTAGATCGAGAATCCTGTGTCAGAGGAGTAATCGCTGGGAAACTCGATCGAAGCGTCATTTGAGCTGTCGTCGATAAGGCTATGACCATTTGGAGACTTGGTGGCTGGTAGAGTGGGTGAGTCGGGCGGTACAAGATTGCGTGGAGATGGGTATTGATAGTTGTCCTAATCGATACTACTGTCGTCTGAGCTGTCATTGCCTTGGGAATCTGTCTTTGCAGGAGGACTCTCTGCAGGCCAAGGTAGTACAAGGTCTGAACGGCCGAAGAGGTTGAAGATAGCCAATCGCTTGGCTGAAGTGCTAGGTGAGGAGCTATGAGAGCGCTTCATGTTTGATTTCAGTCCCCAAGTAGAACAAAAAAGAGGTAGATAAGTGTGCTGGAACTAGAGAATAGAACCTTCCCAGTGAAGTTGAGATCAGAGAAAGCAGCTCACCAGGTGAAACAAGAGCTACCCTTCGCCGTCACTTTGGTCAGGAGCCCTACAATCAGGGTCTCTCCGTATTTTCGCCTTCTCTAGGATGCATTGTGCAGTTCTCCGGCTATACCACCTCACTAGCACATGGGAAGTGAGAGCGGTGAATGTCTGCTGACTTTCTTCAAGATGAATGAGACGAGAGAGAACAGGACCGGTTCAGACTATGATCGCACAGAGAAGATCCTGGTGGCCGCTTCCTTTGTTGAGAACTATGCTGATCTACCACTTCTTCCATGACCTACCTTTGTCTGAGCATTCAGGAGCTGCGGGCACCTCTCGAGCCGTACGATCACAGTTCTTCTGGCCAGCCACGAGACAGGATATATCGTGGTATGTCGGCGACTGTCACACCAGCCGTTCCAAGCCGGGCCAGTGATCCTGAATAGAGAGAAGTCATTGGAAGTGCCATTAGATCCAGGGGTTATCTATGCATTACCCTACGAGTATCTACAATCGGCAAGAAGAAGGCATTGAGTGGCACGTGTTGTCCGTGTGCCAGAGGTTGTCAAATACTATCTGGTCCTAGTCAGAAGCACCTCGCTCCTCAGCAGCTTCACAAGATGAGCTGGTACTGTCGGCAACACGTAGACCAAGCCACAAGGGACGTGAGATGAGAAGAAAGAGCCCAGAGCCCAGAACACTGCTTGATAAGGGTTGTTGTTGGCGTGCGGCTGTGATTCCAATAGCTTGACCGAACGGCGAAGTCAATTCGGATCAGATAGCAAGCATAACTTGCATAAGTTCAACATAAGACATCCGGCTAATATGGTCTCCTGGGTGATACAGCATGTACAGCCGTATGTGAAACAGGCACAAGCAGAACAAAAACACGCAAGTTGAAAGGGGCTGGCAGTTTGAGGAATGCATAGCTGAAGATACGTCACCTTCGAGTTCGCAGCCACAGCCACCCTTCGCCCTGCCAACGGGTGCTTCTGAGAGGGGCTCTCGCTGCCAAGACCATGCTCATTCTGCTCTTCGATGGCCATACAAGGTCACAAATACTATTGTGATTCGATTGATACGTGCAAGTACATGTTGCAATGTCTCAAATTCAGATATCGTCGTCTTGTAGAAATGTGTTTGTCATGGAAAAGGCGTGTCAATTCGTTGTATCAGAGTTTCATTATTCACGATCGGCTGTAAAAGCGCCCCGAGCTTGGACCCTTGCCGTCTGAGGGGTGGGAGTCTCTTCTCATGCCCACCTAAGAGTCTCTCGCTCTGTCTCTTCTGCTTTCTCATACAAAAATCGTCCATACAAATTGTAAGTGTCGTCCGTCGCGTCTTCCCGGGATTCGAGCTGTATAGCTTCACAACAGCTTTACCAACACATTCAACAACCACCTTCACTTCTTTGACAAAACAAGAAAGAGCGATCCGATGGCACCTTCCGTCACTCGTTTCGTTCTATTCTTTCCTTCACGCGCTCTCGACTTCATCCATCGCGCCGTCTTCTATCACACCAAAGACTAACACAATCGCTTTAGTTGTTTCTACACAACTACAACACATCTACCTCTTTTAATCACTTCGGTATGTCAATCATCCTATCAATCGACGCGTCGCTATCCTCAATTGCGCCCGTAAGACGCGTCTTTGAGGTTGCGGTGTTTCCATCCAGCTGCTCACCAAGCGCGTCCCTTCATCACTACATCAACCATCGCATCACCTCACACTTGTCGCGTTGCTTCAATTCAAAGGCCAATCTGCTAACCTCGACTCCGCGACTCAGATTAAATCAAATCAACATGCCTAAGGAAAGAGCCACTACCCGCAAGGCCGCCAAGAAGGACGGCGGTAAGAAGAAGAAGGGTATGTTCTATTCCACTCACTTGACGACTTCATTGCGCATCATGACTGACTTTGTCGCCAGACCCCAACGCCCCCAAGCGTGGTCTTTCCGCCTACATGTTCTTCGCCAACGAGCAGCGCGACAAGGTTCGCGAGGACAACCCCGGCATCAAGTTCGGTAAGTCATCACTTTCTCACGTTCAACTTCAAACACTAACAAGATTAATAGGTGATGTTGGCAAGATCCTCGGTGAGAAGTGGAAGAGCCTCAACGAGAAGCAAAAGACTCCCTACGAGGCCAAGGCTGCCGCCGACAAGAAGCGTTACGAAGAGGAGAAGGCTGCCTACACTGCTGTAAGTTTCTCCCAAGCATTTCATCCATCTTTGACAATCAAACTGACTTGACAACAGGGCGGCGATGCTGACGAGGAGGAGGAGGAGGAGTAAATCACTCCCTTCCCACCATCCAACGACATGATCAAAGTCATCAACCGTCACGCCTAATCTTCTCATTCATGGCCTTGTCTTACTGTTTATCACATGGAATTGCTTCTCGAGTTTTTACTATTTTTTTCTATCGCATGTCTTCTACACACGGATACGAATCGGAGGGGCAAAGGGTTGGGGAGGAGCGGAGCAAACAATGAGCGATTTCACTGGCTAATCCGGAATGGGGATTGTGGTGTGTTTTCTCTGTGGCTTATACCCAACGTTCATCATGTTAGCTACTGCAATATGCCTCGCACTCATCAGACAGACCACGAGGCCGCGGCAATCCGAAGCTCGATGTTTTCATGATTGACATGTCATTTCTCTTGCTCGTATTGTGACAATTGTTAAACCTACTCAACACCCTGCCCTCGCGATCAATCATCCTTGTCCCTGTCCTGCTCGCCTTCAGAGGCTGGTGATCTGGCCGTTCGTTGTGTATCCATGCCACGAGTCACTTGTGCAACCGAGAAGTAGGCGTTACACACATGGTGTATAAGTGGAATGGGTATTAACATACGATGCAGCAGCTCTTTGCCTGCTTGGAAAGGCACTTTCCACTATTCCACTGCTCTTAACACAGATCCCTTGAACCCCAAAACTCCTTTGACAAATGCACAACACGCTCGCTTCTTGCTTTTACTCTCGTCTCATTCCCTCTGGAAGACGACCGTCAAGCCCATAAAGGCCAGCATCACAGTCTTGAGCCAAGGGTACTCGGCCAGGAGAATGGTAACGTAGCCCACGAAAGGAACGTAGCCAACCACACTGCCGATAACGTCTGTCTTGCGGGTCAAAAAGTCCTGGCCTCTGGCGTAGAGTTCGGTGTCATCGGCTGCGTTGTTGTCGCCCTTTGTGAGGAGTTGGAGGGGAGGTGCGTTGAGTCTGTTTTCACACATCTTGATTAGCATCTGCTCCACCATACCCAAAGGTAGAGAAGGAAGAGGGAAAAAGAACTTACCCNNAACACCACCACCAAACCTCCTGACAACCCTATGCACGATGGGGATATCCTTGCCCCTCACATTATACACCACGACCTCTCCCACTTTGGTATCCAGCCCTCTGTTCCACAAGAACAGCAGGTCTCCGCGTTGGAAAGCGGGTTCCATGGATCCGGAGAGTACAACGACGATGGGAGAGGACGAGTCCGTTGCGACCGAGAGGCCCTTCCAGAGCATGAATGCTGTGCTGAGGACGAGGGCAAAGTTTAGGACTTGGGTCGCTAGTTGGCGGGGTTGCATGTTGGAGAGGGAGCCGAGCATTTTGACGGTTTGTTGGGGGTTGGGTTTTGGGAGCGTAGAGAGAGGGTTTGGTTCTGGAGATTTGGGGGGGGTGCTGGGTGTTGATGGAAGCGTAGAGTCGAGTTGTCGCAGTCGGGGTGTTGAGGGGCGTAGAGTTGATGGATGAGGGGTTGTCTTGTCAAGGCTGGGTATCTGCCTCTTCCTCTTGCGTGTTCCGCGTCGCGATGTGTCAAGAATGCAATTGCGGTTGTTTAAATCATTTTGAAAGTCAAGCTGTCCAAAGCTTCGACTGCGATTCGGGGAAACTGCGGGGTCGTGTCCGAGTGTTTATGTCTTTCTTGACTGGAGCACGACCCTGGCCTTGTCTTGTCGTGATGTTAATTCCTCCATATCTTCTCCGATTTTACATCATATACTGGCTTTCTTCTTCTTACGTCCAGATAGAACTTCTAAATGTCCTGTTGGCTGAAAAAGTCCATCTGTGGTTGTCTTGCTTGGATGCTTACAAATGGTCGGTTTCAAAGGCGAGCTTCACCCTCAATCCTGCGAACTTGTCCGTACAATTCAGGTCTCGTCAACAGTGTGTCCGAAACTCCTTGCACTAGGCAAAAATTTACAATATGATCTGAATTGGATAAGAAGACTATGCCGCTTCTCAGAAGATACGATGGGCGAGTTGACATCAGAAAACCACAAGTCGAAGCGAGGATTAACAGCACCCGAAGACGCAGGTGTGAGAATATCGAAGTCGTATATATGAGAGATTGGCCAAACAATGCAATCGGATACACTTGAGTCACAAGTAATGGATGTCCATGGATATTTCACAATCACGATCAGATCAGGTCAAAGAAGATATGGTTGATAATAATACATCAATTCATAAAGGGAAATTATCTAATAATACATGACTACTCCATCTCTACTCGTACACATCAAAGTCGAGGCAAGGGTATAGTGACTTTGAATTGTTTACTGGGCAATGGCAGAGGTACCGTTGTCCGGGCCGGGAAGACCNCTGTCATAATTGTCAGTGACCAGATCTTCATGCTGATGAACATCAAGAAAACTCACCTCCTCATCGCCAGGCTCCTGGTAAGAGCCCTTGGGCTTAGCGGCACCACGAGTGCGGTCATCGATGATGTTATCCTCGTTCATGGCAGCCTTCTCGTCTTGCTCNTGGAGGGATGTTAACTTTGTGTTGTATAAAGAGAATGAGAGGGAAGAGCGCATACCAAGAACCTTGTCGGAGTCGGCAGTGTCAGGGTCAATGGGGTCCTCAATGCCAGCCTCGTCCTTCTGGACGGGAATCTCGCTCTGGCCAGTACGGCTGGCGTAGTCATTGTCGGCGGCAACGCCAGTGGAGGTCTCGGGGGTGTACTCGGCAGACATGTTGATAATGTGTTTGGGTAAAAGGGAAGAGGGTTTGTTGTTGTAGTGTTTATGATATGAGATGGAAATTGGAATGATGAGAAGAGAAAAGCAGCAAGCAGAACAGGATACTTATACCCACTTCTTGATGTCCTGTCAAAAGCACCCACCATGCATACAAGCAATGACAGACACTACCTCATCGTCGTTTGTTATGACAGTCAATTAACGATCAACGACACAACAGGCACGTCACACCCGTCATCTTCGCGTTTGGCAAGACGTGTCCAGGGCCATCAAAGATACTGACATCAATGAAGTATCCAAAACGGGCAAGTGTATGTTGGAGAATGGACCCTCGGTGACGACAAGGGCAGATTGGATCTTTGGCTCTTTGGATCGTTCCATGCAGATTCGATCGAAGGGCAATTGACTTTCACCCATGTTTCTGTCGCCGACAGCAACCATCGTGATGGACACGCGATCGCTTCGTGCTGGAAGCGTGAAAGAGGCTGGAAGTGCATGCAAAGAAGACGTCAAGCTGAGATCTCATCGTCATTTTCCAATACTTGTCCCCGATCGGGTAAAGCGTCAGATCTGGTGCACCTTGCATCGGGCAGATCTACCAGATCTTCTCCACAGATGATGTTGTTCCTCCAGCTACACGCGCAAACGACATCGCTTTGTTCAAAATTACGGTGGAGTTTTGGTTGTGGTTGTTGTGGTGATGTTGCAAAAGCAAAGTCGATAGCTGAACCTCTTGACGTCAGCGTATCTGCGTCGCTCTAACGGCATTAGGACATGCTCTAATACACTGCATTGATGATAAGAGAAATTGCAAGCGATATGGAAAAGAAAATCGTTCATGTCGCGACGCTAATCAACAGTAACCTATAACGCCCTCCTTTGCATCGCTAAACCGAGACCCGAAGAAACATCATGACAAGACTTAAAAAGGGAAGGGTATAGAACGTGCCAGTATAAAACATGTGAACGACTGCAATGCGTGTGCCGACGGCGTGTTGTGGAGAAGAGTTCGAATGAAGAGAAGCGTCAAGTGGACTCGAGATCAACGGGCCTATGCCTTCTTCTTGAAACGCGCTTCTTCTTGGGAGCAGGCTTGACCTCCTCCTCAACAGCTGCTTCGGGTTCTTCAGCGGCTTCCTCAACAGGCTCAGAGGCGGGCTCAGCAGGCTCCTGAGCATCATCTGCCTCGTCCTCGGACTTGACGACATCCTTGGACTTGGCCGTCTTGCGAGGTTTGGCGGCAGTCTTCTTCTTTTGAGGAGCAGGCTCGGTATCGGACGACGAATCGGCGTCGGGGTTGGCGACTGGGACTGGCTTCTTTGCTCTGGAAGATTTTCTGGTGGGCTCCTTGAGGACGTCAGCCTCCTCGGACTTGACTGCCTTCTTGCCCTTGGCAGCCTTCTTTAGAGCAGGTGCGGGTGCTTCGGGCTCGTCGACATCAGACAATTGCTCGACCTTGACCTTTCTGCCCTTTGCGGTCAGTCTTCTGGGTGCCATGGTGTCGTCGACGTCGGAAGTCTCCTCTGCCTTGACTGCCTTCTTGCTTTTGGCAGTCTTTTTCTGAGGAGCAGGCTTGACGTCGGCCTCTTCGTTATCGACATGATCGTCGGCAACCTCGGCCTTGACTGCCTTCTTTCCTCTGGCCTTCTTAGGTGGGGGAGCCTCAGCTTCTTCATCGTCGGCATCGGCCTTCTTGCGACCGCGCTTCTTGGGAGCCGGCTCGGGGGCAGAGGAACTAGGAGGGTTTTCGCCTGCAGCTTCGGCAGCGGCAGCAGCCTGAGTGGGTGGTCAGCAGGGAGACGGAAAGAGATTGGAGGACTGATGATATTACCTCTTCTTCCTTCTTCTTCTTGGTCTTTCTGGGACCAGTACCGCTCTTTCCAGGGACATTGTACTCGGGATCACCCTTCCAGTCTTCCATGTCGACGTGACCTTGGTCCAGAGCGCGGTAGACCTTTTCCTGGAGTTCATGGGGTAGCTCTTCGTAGCCATCGACGTAGTCCATGTCCATGCCGCACTCGGCCTTCATGTTTTCGAGTTGCTTCGGGGTGACGCAGCCCCTGGAGGGTGTAAGCGAGGAAATCAGCAGAAAACAGGCACTGACTTACCAGTGGCGGTAGGCCCAGCTCTGATGCTCGTGGATTGTGACTTGAGTAGCTTGGCGAAACTCGCCCTTCATGATCTTGACGCCCTTGTCCTTGCAAGTTGTGGCCTTGCAGGCGGCGCGGTTGTTGGGACTGAGCTCTGTGGATGTGTTAGTATTGCATGTGTTTCTACGTATGACGTGAGAAAACATACCAAGACGATAAGGCATTGTGATGGTGGTTGATGTGATCAGAAGGAGAGTGAGGGAAAAGGATTGTGTTTGCGCAAATCAAAAAGCCAGGAGACCGAGAATGGCAGGCAATTTATCAACAAGTCGAAGAGAATGAGCAGAGTGCGTGAGATAGACTTGTCGTGTCGCAGACAGCTGAAAAAACAAATGTCTTTGTTCAGGCAGAGACGCTGGCGCAGCGTCGAAACGCGAGAGACGCGTTGAGCTCGCTGGTGACGTGCGCCCAGACGGCGGCCGCAATGCAGCGTCGGCGAGTCGGAGCTTGTGGATTTAGGATTGACCCTCAAAAATGTACGACATCAAGACTCGATACGGCAAGAGGCAAAGACATTGTTAAGTGTTCAGACACAGGCCCTGATTTCTCCCGTCAGCATAGAATGCTCGGAGCAAACCAATGCAAAGATGCTGCGCCCGGATAGCAGGTCTGAGGACATTTGCCTGCCGCAGCAAAAACCCGANNCCACGACTGCACTTGACACACCAACGATACGCACAACATAGCGCCTTCCCTATTATTCAAGACACTTACAGCGCCGCCCTTTCTGTCGCTCCTTCCTCACGAGATACCCAACACAGCGCCGCCCCTGCCTCGTCCACCGTCCAAGACCAGGACTACGAAAGTCTCGTCGGCGCCGACAATGACACGTTCGAAAAACTCGCCAGCGGGCTGAAAGGCTCGTCGCGGCGTGCTGCCATCCGACACCGCCGGGCATTGCACAAAGGTGGCTTTGCTTACATCGACCTGTCCAAACTTCCTGCCCGCGATGCTTCCCGTACCGCCGAGGCGTGGATGCCCACCATCGAAGCTGCTCTGCCTCCTCGTTTGCGCACTCCCGGCGCTTTCAAAATCACAGACGACCCATTCTCGGCTCAAGACATTAGTCGAATCATCCACATCTCGTCTTACACGTACGAGTTGGATCTATTGTCCTTCTTGGCTGTCAAGCAGAATCGTCCCAAGGCTGCTGTCTGGTTGGCTTCAATGGTCATCTCGCACGATTTCAAACCTGACCCGACGCCCCCAAAGGACACCAATGTCTGGAACACCTGTCTGCCACCCCATTTTTCCTTATCTGAATATACTCGCCACACTCGCAATGGGGATGCCGACTTATTGAATCTGCCTGCGCACAACCCTACCAAGGACTTACACCCGCCTCATTCGCTGGACCGCCTCACCGCAGAATTGCATCCTCTCGAGGAACCGCTTCCTTCCATTTTGCGCCATGAGACTCTCGGTCAAATCTGGTACAGTCTGGCGAGAATGATCATTGTAGACGCAGGTCGCGCCAACAAGGACAAAGCCAATCAAGCCATCAAGCCCGAAATCCTCGAGATTATCGCAACGTTGCACCACTCCGGTGCTATGCCCTCTTCCATCTACTCATACCAGCCACCTACCGATCCCATGTCATTGTGTCAGCCTCCTACTTTGCATCTACTATCCAACCAAATTATTACCTCCCTGACTGACGCCGCCTGGAGGGCCCACGAGACCAACGTTGTTGAAGAGGCCAAAGAAAGAGGCGGTGTTTATAAATCCTTGAGGCCTGAGATACCCGGTTCCATGTACAAAGTTCATGTTACTGGACTCGGCCACGAAATCTGGCTCGAGTTGGTTCTATGGGCAATGTTATACGGTCGCTATTACAAACAAGGTGTCAAAATCCTCAGACATATGCACGCAAGGTTGGAAGGTGACAAAGCCTGGTCTGTTTTGTCCTGGAGAGAGCTGGCCAATCCCATCGTTCAGTCTGGACAAGAAAAATCTATCAATTGGGACGAGGTCAAGTATATATTCAACACCGGCATCTCGGACACCGATCAGACCATCAACAAGAAGAAGGTTCGCAGAACTATAAGTGCAGAAGTTATTGCTTCTTTCATCGACGCCGCCGTATCGCACGTCAGCGCCGGTGTCGGCTCGCGAGGTATGTCTCCTGAGGATCCAGCTCGATTTCTGAAAGCAATGAGGGGCTTCTTCAGCGCCAACAACATGAGTTTGGGGTACACCTCGTGGGACGCCATAGTCCTACGCTTCTTCGAGTCAAGAGGTGTCGATTTCGAGAAGGACCCGCAGTTAGCCGGCCAGATCAGCTCAGTAGCCTCCTTGTTCGGCGATGATATTTCTGCTGTCAATACTCCTACCCGTGACCAGCTATGGCAACCTACACCAGCATATGTCTTGGATGGCTCTGCAGCTAGTATTGGTTACCACCACCGTCTTCTCAGAGCTCACATCAAACTTGGCAGTTTGTCTGGTGCTATGGACGTGGTTCGGAGTCTGCAACACCTTACAGATATCAACAAGCAGAGATCGATACAGGAGTTCTTTACAAAGCAACAAGATGCCACGATGCAGGATGAAGAAGAAGACACATCGGAGTTCGGATTCCAGGGCCGCTATGGTGGTATCCATTATCCCAGTTTCTTCCCTCAAATACCTGTTCCTATTCTGGCTGATCTTGTCACCCTGGTTGTCGACTCTCAAGCTCTCGAGCTAGGTTCATGGCTGCTATATTCCGAGGACCTGGATGGTCCAATTATTCACAAGGATCTGTACAGTGATCGCATCATGGGTCCACCTCTGATTAGACTTGCCGCCAGCCTTGATGACGAGGTTCTCATGCGCAAAGTTCTGCAATTTCAAAAGGATTCATCGGGAACAAAACCTCCTGAAGAAGTGTTGAACGAGCTCTTGGATCAGCAAATAGAAGCAGGAAACTGGCCTTTCGTTGACAAAGCTCTGGAGAGTTTTGCCAAGGGTCCAATTCACGGCTACAGTATCAGTACAAACACTGCTGCGAGTATGGTTCGGGTGATCTTACGCGAGGCAAAATCTTGCCTTGGCGATCTTTCGCGCCTCGAGACTTCTGTGTCTGCAAAGGCCTTCCAGAAAATGTTAAGCTTCCGAGCGAAAGGCGAAACTCGACGTGCCAAACGCGGTTCCAAGAGACAAGATACTCTGGAACTTGGCAGCCGTGTTTGGCGCTTGCTTGCGCTCATCAACGATGACTGGAGACAGTATGCTTGGAAGGTTTACCCAAACATGGCTGGTTACAATTATGTTAATTTTACGCCTAGAGCATTCAATAGGATTCTCAGTGGTGTTGTCGACACTTACGGCTCTACTGCAGGCAAGCAGTATCTTGGCAAATTCTGGCCGGAATCGCTCGAGGATGAGCCTCCGCAGGCCTCGAGAAACGATGACATTCCAGGTGGTGTACCCCGAATGGCTGCATACCGTCAGGAAACAAAGATCTTGACCTCTCCTTACACCCAGCGACCCGAGCACCGGATTCATATTGCTGGGCCTGATAAGAAGAAGGCATCGATCAACGTCCCTGATCAACCTGGTATGAACCTTGCGACGATTCATATCATTCTGAAGCAGGCTTTGACCGAGGCTGGTGGTCAATACACACTTGTACGTCAGGAAGCCGAGTGGGCATGGAGAACAATGAAGAAGTTTGGATTGCCCAATCGACACGTCCGGGACGAGCTTAGAGATGTGCCTGAGTTTGCAGACTACCCTGAGCTCACCCATCTCGACAAGGAATCTCGGCGTACAGAGGTTGAGACCGATCTCGAGGATTCTCCTGACGATGTTCTCAACAATGCTCTGAAAAACAAGGCACAGGAAATGGCACAGGAAATGGAAGACGAATACTAAAGGTTTTACGACGAGGAACATAGACTTGTACATACCGATACCCACAGCAGGTTCTTGGATGATGGCGTATAAAAGGTGTTTATTGCAAGGGATTGTAAATACTGGAGGGTTGTTCATACATTGCATAGCGGGCTTTCAACATTGTACCATATCATACACTTTTTGTTCATACCACAAGAGATGGTCCTGTCGAGGCGTATATTCTCGTCGTTCCTTCTGCATGTACTGCCAATAATTCACAGCCTTGAACGGAAAGCAACGAGTAAATGACCACGTTTTGACGCTTGAGGATCGTCCATTCCCATTCTCTTCTTTCTTTGCGTACATTCCAGTATTCTACTGTCCATTGATGTGACTTGGACGGTTACCACCCTGTTCAGCAAATATACATTGGTCAGAAATCCTCTCAAGCTGGATCGGCGCAGAGTTTCGAGGGCAGACGAGATATTAGAAGTATTGTGATACTCCTTGCTATGGATTTCGTCATGGCAGATTCATTATCTTCACTTTGCTGTTGTTGTTGCCGTTGCTTTTAGCTAAGGTTTGTACTTTGTTTGCTTTCCACTTTCTCTTCTCTTGCCTAAGTGTGTGTGCTTCTTTGTCAGTCACAGTGGATATTGGTATACTCAATATAACTCAAACACCAGTCCATGTCAAGGGAAAGTCGTCTTTGAAGTAACAGTCAGTGTTACCAGAGCAGAGAGATCAAGTAAATAAGGGATATTGTCGTTACTTGCGTATGCAGCTACTCAAAAATTGCATGTAATGAGCACAACCCTGTCAACATCGATGTTGAAAACCACTACTTGAACAATGTCAAGTTATCGTATAAACACAGACTGAACCGGCCAACAGATAAGAAGAACGGCGGGTCAACTGATTTAGTGATATCCACAAAAAGACAAAAAGAAACGAGTATAGATAACGCTCACCATGTGACCAGTCACAAAAAGCAGACCAGTACAAAAAAAAACAAGCCAAAAAACAGAACAAGAAAGAAAACAACAAGTCAAATAGCAAGGAAAGAAGCAACAACCCAAATAGACTGAGCAAGGAAGCCATGTAGCGAGCAAGTAAATAAGGAGATACTGCAAAAGTTCATCAGAAGAAAGGGCGATCGTGCAATCCGACCAGGAAAAGAAGGTCAAGACAAGTCATCAAACATGAGATAATCGTGTCGCACAATCAACAAGATTGATTGACTAGTATAGAAAAGAATAACGACATGGCTACTTCCAAGAAGAGACAGGGAAAGGAAAGATTAATCAAAGATCTAAAAGTGGAAGGGGCAATCAAGAAATGAGAAGGGAAAGAAGTGAGATATGAAGAGGAAAGAACGATCAGTAAGTGATTGGAGGCAAAAGGAAAGAGCGGAGAACGTGTAGAAATGGAGAGAGCAATGAAGGTATAAGAAAGGAAGTAGTGATAGAAGTATGTGAAGAAGAAGTAGCGATAACGGTACAGAGAAGGAAGGAGCGATGGAGGTACGAAGAAGATAAGAGCGATGAAGATACAAAGAAGGGAGGAGCCAGCATGTGCTAGTTAGAGAGAAGACATCGACGCAACAATGTGAGAGAGATCAGAGCAGCACACACATGGCAATGAGAAGAAGGTGACACTGTAAAGGAATATGTATTGCTGGAAGATGGTGTAATCGTCTGGCTTCAAGCGAGTGTCTGTTCGATTTCGAACTTGAGAGGGAAGACTGAGGACTACCCTATACAGTGGCACTGTGAGCAAGTCCGTCCTGGTCTGCGATTCTATGCATGTTGCCTCGACAGTCTGACAAAAGTCAACAGATCAATGTGATCGAGTATTTCGAGCCCTACCCATAAGATACCACAACTCGCAACTTGTGTGCCTTACACCGTCTAGGCTCCCAATAGAAGACCCAACAGAACCACGGCTGGTCGTCTGATACATTACCAAACTTGAGTCAAAAGTGTCAAACCAGCCGGCCCGTCAAACTTCTTTTCGGTCCCAGACACGGCATCTTGCGAGCCGGCCACGAAAGCGTTATGACCGAGACCCGCGGGCAGAAGACAATAATGATCCGGAAAAAATATTTGCTCTCAGACTTCAGTCAATCCAATATTGAGCTAACCATTACCAGCTGTTGACAAGATCAGTCGTAGGTGGCTGGACACTTCTTGGATGTTGAGTAAAATAATAGCGGATGAAATATCTCGATTGCTCTGCAGTGCGTGGTTACCGGAAGCGAACGGATGGTGACATGTTTTTGTGCCAGGTTTTCTCTCTCGTTGCTCCGCTATATCTCCACTCTAGAAGATATCTGGGGAAGCGGTACTTGTTGATTGTTTGGTCAGCATGAGTGGCTGTCAAAGCGGATGTGCAGGTGTGGACTGTGGAGCCATATGGAGACTCGCATGCGTTGACAAAGCAGCATATTATTACATGGCAGTACTCGATTATATGTGATTGAAGACTATTGTTTTTCATGGATCTGGAAGTCAAGATGCAGTGCAAGTGACTGCCCTAGAACAAGAAGGAGGCACAAGTCATGTCTTGCCTCTCAAGTGCATCGCATTGCACAGGAGTCGTACNNACAGATGCCGCGCTTGCGTGTTCGTTGAGAGATGGAGATGCCGAGCATGGTCAAGATCTTGGACATGGCAACGCAATGATGAGATGCATTCGCAATCNNCCAAACTTGTACCGATCCAGCGCATCGGAAATCGATCTTGATATTAGGCATGGTCCGTGTATACTGTTGAATTCTGTGCTCTTTTTGCCATTCTGGAGAGATGGTTTTTCTGCCAAGCTTGCGCGACACACCATGTTCATGCGAGACTTTTCGTTGCGGAACTTGGTGTACTGTAAGCGCAACGAGCTTCCAGATCACATCAAATCCTTGCNNACATCCGTGAAGCGAGGTGAAAGTTGCAAAAAGTCTCATAGGTCAGAAATACGAANNAAGACGGCCGTTTCTGTCTCGGAGGGCGCAGCACGTTGCCAACGGCTTTTTCGAGAGACGNTTGGGAGCGAAAACGCGCTCCCGCGACAGATCGACAAGAATAAACCCGCGCTTTCCAGTTGTGGCGGGCGTGGACNNCGTTACCCCTGTTTTTGGCTGGCAACAACGACACGCAGCCATGGCNATACAAATCGACGTAGGGGGTTAGGGGGCATGAGCTGCCAGCCACTACAGGCTGAACAATGTCTAGATCGCGTTATGCATCAGCCGTTTCTTCTACATCTGCCTCCTGAAGCAGGGTATCGAACGACTGCAGAAGACTGCAACGCCTCACAGTGTAAGTCANCAAGACACAAGCCAAAGGCTCTAGACAGTCGAAGATCTTGAAAATCATGGTATTGAACAGACAATGATGACGATAGGGTGTGGTCGGACTCGACTGTCCTCAAGCCAGATTGAGACACCATCTTTGCCTGCTCGTATGCCTTGATCTCTTGTCATCAAGCCATAATGATAAGAATAGTTGTTCTCCATCCGGGGTATCGAACACATAGAGTGGAGGAACAGCTGCGGTACATGAGGTCCTGAATTAACAATCTCTATTCCTAGAAGAGCTCACGAGTGCGTCGTCCACTATAAAGGCACCAGTCGCACTACAGATCCATGTCAGTAAAGCTTCTGATGACTGGGACATCGGAATGAGAGACCGTCGTGGCTGAATTTGGTTCGTTATGCTGCAAACAGTATTCGTTTCCGCAATCTCTGCATCGGCGAATATACTTTGCTTTGCATTCTTCGCATGTGCGTTTGCAGGCGATGCAGTCTTGGTGTACGCCCTATAACATGTCAGATCTGTGGTAGTCGAGTGCTTGCTTTAAACATGACGCGACGCGAGAGTATGCAGGACTCCACCAAGACCGAGCTCCCAACTCTGTCGAAGATGTGGACAAAGCCATCAAACAGCACGATGCTTACACTCTGGAGATCTCTCACCAGAAGTTGCAACAAGCATTTCTAGTAGACAAAGCTCTGCCTCATGTAAACACTGCGCAACACAATTCTATCCTCTGGGTAACCCGGTCTCGGTGGGATGTCTTTCGAGAAGCGTACACACTGTGTATCATCCCCACATGCCATCGGCTACAGGCAACATCTCGCCTACGAGGCAGGTCTCGACGCAAAGATTGGAATATACCTTTACTGCAGCATTTGCGCTCAAAGCTTCCAGAGCCCAACCACCATCGTTCTGTAAGCCATCCTCAGGCGAATTAGGATGCTGTCTCTTTGCTCGTGAGACAGGCTCTCGGTAACAGTCCTCGCACCACCACTTGTTGCATCTTTCGCACCACCGCTCGCGAAGACACTCTAAGCATCGTAGAATCAATGGCGGCACGTCGGCGTCCTGTACAATGGGTCTCTGTGCAGATCTCACCGTGCTGGCATGCAGCGGAGGAGGAGCCAGCAACGGGAAGTTGAAATCCGCGTCTCGGTCGAAGACCGCGGGCTGTTCGGGGCAGGAACCGCATGATTCGCAACCTCTTGAACCGAGTGCGATGTTCGCGATGGCAGGCCGTAGTAGCCGGTCCGATGTTGTTCTAGAGGGATCATGCCTCGGACCGCGACAGAGCACTGCATCAAAGGCTATGATGCCTTGACATGCGAGCAATATATCGGCCCAATCTGGTGCAGGAGTATGTTTGGTGCTGCCTTCGGTGTCCCAAACGTTACCTCTGGTCTTCCACCAGTCGTCTAAGGGCTGATTGTGATTGAGTGACGCAGAGAGCGCCACCTCAGATCTTGAGTTCCACGCAGCACCGATCTGAGCACCCTCCGATGACATGACACCCGTAGATACACGGCTTGAAGGTACGGTTTGAGCTCTATGTGAGAGTGCTTCCGGGGCGTCCTTACGACCAAACAGATAAAGGCCCTTCAATTTAGGTGACCTTGAAGCGGAGGGCCTTACAATGTAACGGATTACTGACTGCAAGCCTCTTTGATTCATGTTGGTGACGTCTCGGATGCTGAGAATCTTGACATTGAAGCGGTCTTCCAGAACAATCTCCCGGACGAGCTCCGCTGGTACGCTGAGGCCGTCCAGGATCAGTGTTTTGACATTCTGAAGCAAGTGTTGACGCTCGAGCTTCGAGAAGACACCTCGCAACGGGCCGGAGAAGAATTCATCTTCTGTTAGGGATTCGTCCATGCGCTCAGCACGCCATGATTTGCCTTGCGACGTGTCAGCTTATGGTGTAGCAAACCATGTGGGCAAGTGGTCGCCCGATGACGCTATCTTGTTCGTTCTCCGACACGAATCAAGGTGACAACCGTAGCACTGCACAAATCTGAGCCAAGCAGGTATTTGGTCTATTGACAGCTCGTCTGATGAGTAGAACGGCATGGGCATCAATGGATACTCCTGTGCTTGAAAGAGTTTCGTGCGTTGCAGTGGTTCATTTCTTCAAGTGAAACATCGTTAGACAAGAGGGAATAGGAGTGCAACGGGAAAGTGATATCTCGGGTTCTCAATGAGATTTGTTCAAGACATGCCACCAGCGAATGATTATGAATAGAAAAATTACTATCGACTTACCACCACTATCAATAGGGCTGGTGTCAAGAAGAGTAGCGGATTTGACCAAGGTGAGATTTAGATGTCGGAACGTCTCTGGCGACTCGCAAATGGTATGTCGAAGAGCCCGTGCTGTGGCAGACAATGCCAAAACACTTCCGGCCGGAAGGTAAGGAGCCGTCTCGCGCCAGATGAGGGTGTTGTTCAAGAGATCCACTAACGTTACTGGTGATGATTCAACAAGTGCCTCTGCGTCCATCGCAATGTCGTCGTTTGCTAGACTGTCTTGGGGCGTTTCTAGGGATTAGGAGACCTGTTGCCCTTTACGAAGAGAGTTCCTTGGTAACAATTTCAGTGTGTTTCAAGCCGAGCTGGGTGGTATTTGACGGTCACGAGTTGGGATGGAATAGGTGATGCCGGGCTATTTCCAGAGGCGGTCAAGGTCTCGAGATACGACTCAGCATGGTCAAAGCGGTGCACGCGACCGTCGATCCCGAGGATCATCCACCATCTTCGAAGCCTTCTAGTCCCGCGGGGCCATTTTCCGATTATTTGCCTCTTCTGCCATCCATTCCAAATTGGTGGATCATCATCGAGGTGAAGAGAGTTGGGTTGTCCTACGCAGTCTAGATTGACCGGATTGAGTGAAGGATATATTGGTGTGCTATGTCATGATTAAAAGAATTTTCACAGTCTTCAAAGCAGATCATTGATTTGGTCTTTATGCACGAGAGTTGAGAGCTCAAGCAAGATCCTGCGATTGGCTGGCCGCCAATCAATTTCAGATCGGCCTAGCCGTTGAGGGGCTACGCCGACTCCGCATTGTTTTGATGAAGTATACGAGACGATTGTATAGGCAAATGAGGTGTCCACTACTCGCGTACTGTACACAAGACATGCTAAGGAAAAGACACACGAAAGACAAGTGCTGATACAGGTTGTGGTAATTCTGTTGGCAATCTATTAAACATTGCCCCTCTTCCAGACGCCCGCTATTCGAGCTGAAGCCGTGGCCAAATTGTCCTAGTTTTCCGTCATACAAGCCGTGAACCTAGATATGCACAAAGAAAGGGAGTGATCGTGAACGTCAAGATGTAAAAAAGATATGGTAAAAGGGCCGTGAACGAGTGCAAAGAAGCTGGAAAAAATGTGCCAAGAAGTGAAGAGAAGCGAAGTAAAGCGAGCGAAATGACGAGTATTAGGAAATTAGAGGAGGACAGCAGCGGCGAGACCCATGGCAGCTGCGGGAAGAGCGAATCCGGTCGGTGCGACGTGGAATGCAGCACCCTTGGAAGCACCAGCGGTGGCGGGAGGAGATCCCTTGGTGGTTGTAGGCTTTTGCTTGACAACAGAGAAGTCCATCTGAGCCTTCTGCATCTCGAAGGTGACGTTTTGAGTGGCGTGGACGGTCTCGGTACCGAACTGGATCAGGCCGATGTACATGTCGGAGGTGAGGTTGCCAGCGTTGACAAGGTAGGTGACAAGCTCCCAGAGATCGGCCTCGATACCATTCTGGTTCTCGGCGGGGACCCAGGAGAAGACGGCTTGCTTCTGACCCTGCTGGTTGAAGCCAGAGTACAGCGAGTATTCGACTCCGTTGAGAGTGTACTTGGGCGACTCGGCGTTGAAGGTCTGGTATCCGATGGGAGCGACACCGCCCCAGACAGACGACCACACCATGACTTCAAAGGCGGCGGCCGAGGCGTTCGTCGAGGTCACGTTGTTGCTGTCGATGAACATGTCGAGCGCAATGTCGGCCTTGCAGCCGATGTCGATGAGGGCTTGGGTCTTGTTGGCAGCATTGGGCTGAGCCGAGGGGAACATGTCCCATGCGGCGCTGACGTTGAAAGACTTGACGTTGTCCAGTCTGCTAGGCAGCTGCACAGATTGGAGACCGACATTGGGATACGAGTGCACNCTGGTCGCGAGTCAGCAAGCTGGATGTAAACAAGAGGCAGTGGGAGATGCGCATACCCAGACATCGCGCTCCGTCCAGGACCACGTTACGTTGAACGAAGCAGCATCATCCGAGTCGTCCAGTCCNAGCCTGTCACACAATCGTGGTCAGTTTCGACTCTGGTGTCACACGAGCAGATCATGCCATCGACTTACGGTCATACACTGGGCACCACTGTCATCCCAGCCCCACTGGTTAGAGCCGTAGAGGTATTTGCCAGAGTCGGACACTGCGCCGGCGAACTGGTCTGCAGTAGAGGCGCCGTAGGCGGCGCACATGGTCTTGTACTCATTCTTGGACGAGGCGGCGGCGACTGACAGAGGAGAGAGGACGGCGAGCAAAGATAAACCTTGCCCCAGAATACGGAGGGCCCTGCAGGAAGACATCTGGAGTAAACGAGTGGAGAATAGTTGTCTGTTCCTTGATTTTGTTTTTGTTGAACGAGGGGACGGCAAGAGAGCTATTGTCGCATGTATGTCACAAGTATGCCGAAGGGCGCGAAGGAGAAATGGAAAGGTGAGGCACTGTATCTAACATGAATCCCAAAGCCAAATTGCAGCATAGCCGCATTTGCCGCCACGCAATTGCCAATTGGTTGACAGGGGCGAGTAGGGGCCAGAGTCCAACGTCCATCAACAAAATCGCCTTTTGGCTCAGCTCTTAAGATTGCACCAATACGAACCTTTCATTGCAAGACCTCCTAAGACACTCCTGGCCAACCGTATTTCTTATTAGGGACGATGGGCGTCCATCTCGGCATCTCGTCAGGATGAAACTGTCGTCCTGGGAGTGCCTTGGCCCTTGGCCCGCGGATCTCGAGGCCGCCCGGGTAGACGGCGGGGCTCGCGCAAGCCAGTGCAGCAGGCGGGCAGGCAGTCAGCAAAACAGACCAAAAACAACACGGACGAGGGCCAGGAAAATCAAAGGGAGATCGGCCCTCAAATCATCCCAGCTCCCACTTCCCAGCGCCGCACAACCAGCCCTTCTTTTTCCTCAACCAAGGCCACCGTGCACGGCGCTGCTGCATGATGCAGTGCTCCTTGGCGCCGGGACCCCTGATCCGAAAGATCACATCGCCCGAATCACATCGGCCAACCTTGTATTTCAACACTCTATGCTGTGTGCGTGGGTGTGCGCTCCCGGGCCGGGTCAGGCCGGTTCACGGGTTTGTTGTGTCTGTGGGCGAAACAGCAACGTCAACTTACCGTGCGGCGTGTTTTGCATGCGACACTGAGACTTGCCCCTCGTGCTAACACCCAGTTGGCAGAGCTAGTCGGAGCCGTAGCTCCTTTTGGCCTGGTGCGTGGTTCGAAACGCGTGCAGCGACGGTAGAAAAGCTGCCGAGCCATCACGACTCGCACCGTGGCCGTTTTTCCGAACTTTGGGCGATGATGAAAGAGGAGCAGCGGGCCGCTGACTTCGCTGAGGAAAAAACTTTGGTCTACACGAGAGCTTGTATTATTTTGATCCATGGCTTTGAGACCACCGCCCATCTGCAAATCCAGGCACCAAAGCCAACCGCCATGAGGGCTTCCGTCTCGAAATAGAAACACTTTCTTCTATTCGAAGGCGAAGCACGCCTGATCGCCCAGAGATTGACTGATGCTCTCGGCAGCAATCTGCCTGCTGTCGCGAACTCTTGCACTGACCCCCTCACCATTGGTCGCCGGTCGTTGGTTGGCGCTCGCTGTTGTGCGCACCGCCTCCCTAAGCTTTTGTTCCTGCAGGGGCTCCACTCTTTCTTCCATCATCGGCCCTTCACGCTTGCGAAAGCCTTTCAAACCATGCCCTTTCCCCTGCGGTCAGTTTTCTCCGGAACGTTAGCAACGCGTGAACAAGTACTTCGTTGGCAGTTGAGCAGGAGGCTGTCGAACTCCTATTCAGTCTTCGTGAATCGAACAAACGGGCCCCTGCCATGTGTGTAGCCTTCTCCAATCGAGGCGCGTGTCTGCAGCAGGGACCAATGCCGTCGTATCGAACCCCCGGCCATAACATTTACACGACCTTACACGGTTCAGGCCAAGACAGTCCCAATCAATTTCCAACTTGTTCTACCTTATCACGCTTGACCGTGCCCGGTCCGCCCCATGTCCCATCGCCTGGCTGTCAAATCTAAACTGGCCGCTACTGCAAGCCTGCAGATAACGAGACCGGTCGATATGTACCCAAAGATAGTTTGTGCTTTTTCCCCCAATGGAATCGACGTAGGTTGTGGAGCCTCTTCGCTGCGTATCACGGGATTTCTTCTTGTTTCCAATAACAGCATCGATTTTGCCCGTTGTTCTTATTCGTCTCGTGTTCCCCTAGACATCTTCTCCTGCATTTTTCTACAACCTACCCCTGACGCCTCATCCGGCTCCTGCTCTCGTCTCGAAGTATTCAGTCGTTACCCCAGTCATCCCAGCAACTCGAGCAACCTGATCTTCCCTACAACACATCAAGGGGCCTGGGCATACGCTCCCAGCATTCATCACCATGGCTCACCAGCAAGGTAGCTACGACTATGAGTCCGTCAATCCCACAAGCCCATACGGCACGCCATTCGACGGCACCACACCGTCGATGAGCAGGAGGCCATCATACGACTACCAACCCTCTCCTGCTGCTAGTACTACTCGCCTGGTTGGAGGTCGTCCTGACAGCCAGACCGCTGGAGGACTCCAACGCCTACGACCAACACTGGACAAGAACCACTCTACATACTTCAATGGCTCGTCAACAAACCTGGCATCTGAGAACGACTATATGATTCCTGAAAGAGACTCTTATGAAGATGACAAGTCACCCTACAACGTGGACGAGGAGGACGCTTCGACCGTTACCGGCTCGACCCCTGAGACAAAGTCTGGATTCGACAACAGATTCTCGACCACAAGTTCTTTCAGTCGCGAATACACCGATGCCGATTACGTTGTTCGCGAAATTGCAAAGCACGATGATATCGCCTTGATGAAGCCTTGGAAGAGAAAGTTGCACTACCTGGCTCCTCTTTTCACCATTGCTGCAATGGGTGGTTACTTCACATACTACGCTTTCCGTATCTACTACACTGTCGACGCACAAAGGACAAACGGCACTGTCTACGCCATGGCCTGGTTCTTCATCGCTGCCGAATTCTTGGTCGCTCGTAAGTCCAATCTGCTTGAAAACCAACTTTTTCCAATTCTCACAAAAATTCAGNTTCCCTCGTTCTTCCATCAAATGTACTCCATGCTCGCGTTCAAGGGCCGCAAGCGACCCCAACTCAGACTTGTCGGAGAGGCCGTCCCCACCGTTGATGCTTTCATCACTTGCTGCAAGGAAGACGTTGATGTTGTTATTGACACTGCCCGCGCTGCCTGCGACGTCGACTACCCTCAAGACCGTTTCCGCGTTGTCGTCCTCGACGACGGTGCTGACCCGGAGCTGAAGAAGGCCATGGAAGATTTGAGCTACCAATACCCCAACGCATACTACTTCGCTCGTGTCAAGGTCAAGGGCCAGCCTCATCACGCCAAGGCCGGTAACCTGATCGGTGGTACTGATTTCGTTACCAAGCTTCCCGGTGGCCCTGGCGAATACATTGCTGCTCTCGATGCTGACATGATTCCCGAGAGGGAGTGGCTTCGTGCCCTTCTCCCCCACTGTATCCGCGATCCCAAGACTGCTCTTGCCTGCCCTCCCCAGCTTTTCTACAACGTTCCCGACAACGACATGCTCGTTCAATCGCTCGATCCTTTCGTCCACGTCATGGAGCCCATCAAGGACTCTCTGGGTGTTGCCTGGTGCACTGGTTCTGGTTACGTCATTCGTCGTTCTGCTCTCGAATTCATTGGTGGCTGGCCTACCGGTACTCTCGCTGAGGACACTTTCACCAGTTCCAAGCTTCTCGGTAGAGGTTTCCGCACTGCCTACGTTCACGAGGGTCTTCAATTCGGTACTGTTCCTGATTCCTACACTGGTCACTTGAAGCAACGTACTCGCTGGACTCTTGGTACGCTTCAATCTGCTTTCCAACAGCGTTTCTGTCTCTACGGTGATATCTGCAGAGACATGACCTTCTACCAACGTCTCTCCGGTTTCGTCTTCACTGTCGACGCTTTCTTCAAGATTTTCCTCATCATCTCCATTCTCGCCATCCCGATCGTTTTGGTTTCTGGTGGCAGATTGGTCGCCTACTCGAACAACGATCAGCTCCGTTGGCAGGTTCGCCTTGCCTTCATCTCTTTCTTCTTGATGCGCCTCCAGGAATACGTCAACTTCTTGCCCTCTGGATACAGACTGGCTCTTCGTGACGGTGGCTCCATGCTTTGGATGGCCCCCTACCACGCAAAGACCGTCCTTGTCTCGTTCCTCCTTCCCAGCTGGCTCGGTGGTAAGCCCATGGCTTTCACCACTTCCGGTTCCATCAAGGGCGACATTATGGAGCGCGACGGCGCACACCGTGCCCACGTTTTCCGTCGCCTGAAGGTAATTCTCTGGGACTGCTCCGCTTACCAGCATCTTTTGTACATCCTGTTCGTCATCGCTGCCGTTACTCTCAGCACTGTCCGCGCTTTCATGGACAACGACACCGCTCAGGACAAGCTCATCTACCTGTTGACTCACGCCATGTTCCCTCCCATGCTCTGGCTGATTTGCTGCACTGCTTTCGCCATCCCGCTCCGCTACGCTCTCCACCCTCCCACCATGCCCGATCGCGAGGAGCTCCTCGATAGAGACCCGAAGACTGGTGTCGCTCACCCCAAGGAGTACTGGAAGAGCCAGCGCTGGGGCAAGAGCCACTTCTGGCACGAGTTCGAGGTCCTCTTCCTCGTCGCCTACGCCATTTTCATTTTCGTCATCACCTTCATCATCAAGGACTCCCAACTCGAGGAGTAAACGCATTTCCTACAACCTCACGCATTTGCACTCGATTTTGCTTTTCTTGACTCACTTCTTTCTGGAGCGCTTCGCATCTTTTTGCATATCTTTGATAACCTTCGAAGTTTTTGGGGGTTTTTTTTCTCTTAAGGAACGGCCTTTACTACATAATGCTGTCTAGAAGGAGAGGGAATTTTTCGGAGTTTGGATATGGTATCCCTCTCGCAAGCATGTATGCAAACACATGACAATTATTCTATCTGTACATAGCCGTGTGGTCTTTATCTCTTTTTACTTCTCATTTTGTATGGACAACCTCAAAAGTGTACATTTACATCACTCTTACTTGCCTCTTTATTTTTGCCATGATTCTGCGACTTGGATTGTTGGGACGGGACCGATAAAAATTCTGCTGTGCTTCCTTCCGATTGCGTCGTGAAGATCTGCGAGAATTTTTGTTGCAGTGGTGTCTCCAAAGCAGCCCTGCCGCCCGCGGCATGCTCGCATGCAGGCACACATCCATGAGTAACAAGATGCAGGAAAAGAACTGAGGTGGAAGTTGGCTTTTTGGCGTGCTCTGTCTCACCCAAGCAACCGTCTGAAGGTTGGTTGCCCTCCAAGGGCTTGCAACCCTAGGAACGCATGATGAAGAGAGCCTGTCAACGCAAGCTCCATCCAGGCCATCCCGGTCGGCTCGGAGGTGGCTAGGATGTTCGGTGAATCAACAACGCACGTAACGTCCACAGCACCAACCTGGACCATGGATCATGGGCAGTGTCAAGCTGACTGCATATCTTTCTGCAGTAGTAGTTGAACAGCCATGCATATCTGTACATGCGATGCTGTAGATCTCGCATAATGCTACTTGATTATCGTGTGGCGTAGTAACATGGAGCGAAGTGGCTGTTCAGCTGTTCACCCCGCCAGCATGCATGCCCTTTGCCCATGACTTTCCATCGAGGAAGAGATGTTGTTGATTCGTCGCGTTCAAATAATCACACCCTCTTGCTTGCCAAGCTCTATAGAGCACTCCCACGTGATAATATAACGGTATATGCAGCAACAACAGGATCTGTTAGAGACGATGCGAGATAAGGCATGTTCTTGCACTGCCTGGGCATGGCTTGTCTGCTTGCTACGCGAGAAAGCTCGATACCACCCAACACTGCCCCTCCATTTACCAACATTTTCCTGCACGATACGAACACAACAGCGGTATATGCACCTCTGGGCGACCCGTAAGCATACATGAGGTGTTCTATCAGATGCGGATATCTAAGCAGCCGAAGATGCCGAGAGTGCTGTGTGGAGTCCGTCTCTGCTCGGCATGGGCTGAGGTCGTCGCGTTCGACTCGCACGGTTGTCGCTGGGACGACTTGTCGCTACTCAAGGTCCGCGAGTCATCAAGGTCTACCATAGCCTCTTACCCCTTCTTGTTTTCATCAGGCGGCAGAGTGCAGACGACACCTGTCCATTGATCGATATCCATCCCGCCTGTCTCCTCAACAGTTTCTAGAAGTCGTCAGTGCTGCGGTAGTTGTGTCGCAAAGACTTGAGCAATCGTACATTTTAGTCATAGTTTTCGTTATAGCACATGCTCAGCCTCGCTGTACGGACCATGACTTTGAAACACATGTTTTGCCGACTTCAAGCCACAGAAAGGTGACATTCAACCGCGGGTGCGCGTCTATCTTGTCCACTATCAGCCAAGCATCTTCATCATCATGCACATGTTGTTATGTTGACAGTAAGCATTGGCAAGCCATGCCGATGGCTTCGAAGACCAACACAGATCATCTGCTGCGTACTCGGTTTGGATCGATTCCCATCTGACGTGCAGGGCGCTCAGGTGAACCAATAACATTCTGTTAAAACTCCTTTCTTCTTTTTGTTTTGCTTTGGATCTTGGCTCTGTCGTACGCAAGCCAGAGCAAGCTGCAAAAAGCCATGTGACAGAAAAAAACCTTTGCAATGTAGAATCACTAGCACTGGCAACGGAAGTGACCAAGGGATTGAGTATAAAACTACATGCAGACGAAGAGAAATGTACCAGGAAAAGGAGCCATGTCATATTTGGAAAGAGCAAAGAAGCTCAAATGGGCGAGGATGTCATTGCAGTATCATGAATGGCGAAGAAAACAACGAGATAAGAATGCAAACAAGCATACAAAGAGTGAAGCAAAAAGCTCTTTCTGTCTAAGGGCTCGACATCTGGTGACACTCCACTACTCATAGGACAATGGACTCTGTGTGGCTCTCCAAGATTTCCATACATTATGATCCCATTCAAGCTTAAGATATCAACAGTTAACTACACTGAGATTAGATCTCCTCTCTCAACACCATCCAATCATTAACATGGATCATTACCAGAAAGTGACGAGAAATCAATGCTCCATCTTCTCGATCATAGAAGCGTCTACATCGAGTGTGTTGAGCACCGTAGCAGCTCCTCTCTTTTCTAGACTCTTCTTGACAGGGTTCTTGGCCTCGAACACTTCCGAGAGTTCTTCCAAGGTACGCTCCTTTGTCTCAGGCCAAAAGAAGTAGATGACACCAAACTCGATCAGATCCCAAAACACAAACACGAGATAGAAGTAAGCACCGATGTTGGCAAATGCAGGACCAGAACCGTATTGGATAACGGCCGAGCTGATATTGGAGGCGAGATTGCCAACGGCAGTACCCTTTGCTCGTGTGGAGGTGGCCAGCGTCTCGGCGATATACATGCTTTGCAGAGGTCTGGCGGAGAGGGTTAGCACGTCCTGAAAACAGAGGCTAACAACAATATAGATTACTTACGTCCAGCCGAAGGAGAAGATGATTCCGAAGAGGTAGATGAAAGCAATGGTCGTGTTGGCTGCTGACTTGTTGTCGAGTTCCTGTTGTGCAAGCTTGCTTGTGCCACAGATGACAGCAAAACAGCCTGAACAGAAGACTATGGAATACAGCAACAATGGCCTGCGACCAACGACATCGGTCATACGGGCTCCAAGGATTGCCGCGAAGAAGCAGATCACAGGGTAAATGCCATTCAGCATAAGTTTCGTTCCCTGGGATGTGATTCCGGCGTTTTCGAGCATGACCGGAAGGTAATAGGACGTTACGCTGTTACCACTCAACTGGCCGAAACAGGCCATTCCTAGAACGCAAATAAGTCTTCGACGAGCAGAATGGGTGTTTACTAGCTCAGAGTAGTCCCATCCCTTCTTGTCGGACGCGTCTTGACGAATTTGGTTTTGCATCTCCTTGATCTGGAGAAGCACGATTGGGTGCGATTCATCACCTTCTCCGTGGTAACGACCTAGAACCTTGGTGGCTTCTTCCATACGGTCTTGAGCGCAAAGCCATCTGTAAGCAACCAGAATTAGTATCTGCAACAGAATCCGGATAGACAAAGCGGACCTTGGGCTTTCTGGTAGGAACCAGACACCGATAGCGACGACGACTGAAGAAACCAGCTGGCACCACAGCGGGATGCGCCAGCTGACATCAGATTTCACGCGTTCTGCGCATGCGTATATAACCCACGAAGCCACAATGGATCCGATATCTAATGGAATATGTTAGTAAAGCGAACTACATTGTCCAAATACACCGAACTTACACCACGTGCAGTTATACAGTCCAGTCAACGTGCCTCGCCAAGCAGGATGAGCCATNCTGCCAGTTTGTCAGCAACACAGCGGTGATGGACTATCGAAAGGAGCATAACAGACCTCTGAGACATAGCATGGCGCACTAACGCATGCGAAGGATACACCAAATCCAAGGATAAATCGACCAGCGAGGAACATTTCTCTATTGACAGCCGGGGCTTGGACACATGTGCCAATGACAACGATGATAGCGCCTGTGAACATGCCAGCGCCTAGAAGATTCAGTCAGCTACCAAAAGAAAGAAGAATTACGAGGGCAAAATTCTCACGTCTCCCATAGTAATCGTTCACAGGTCCGGTTAAGAAGACCGCTGGGATCGATCCAATGTTGTANTCTGTGAGGGAGATAAGTAAAGGTGAGATACTTTGGTCGACTACGATCACGACTTACATCGCAAATGTGATACCAGTACTACTGCCAGCAGATTTCCTACAGACATCAGCGTCGAGAACTTCGTCATTCACTTCCCAAGAAGCATGCTCANNCATGTGGAAGTAGGCAAGATATGTGTCCATGGCGTTCAAGCCTCCCATCAAGCTTCCATCATATCCATTCAAGCAGCCACAGAGATATGCAATAGCTAAACAACCATATAGCTTCAGCATGCTCGATGTCCAAGGACTTTGTTTGACGTGGACAGCCTCTTCTGACAGCTGAACAGCAACTTTCGCTTGATGAAACTCATTGTCCACGTCGTCAACGTGCGTGACACCATCCTTTTTGATGTCCATATTGAATTGAAGGGAGAAATTGAGATAATTGAGCAGACAAAGATGAGATGACAGTCTGACTGCCATACAGGCGCCCACCTACCTTAAATACGTTGCCATGGCGAGTACAAAGTACTCAGTATACTACCATATTCTCTCACCTTAGGACCCTCATCCGTTAACTGTCTGAGACCTGCTGATCCTCAAGTGATCCTTCTGCAGGATATCGTGGGGAGAGAAACCTGGAGATAGGTGATCTGCATTCCTGGGGCAAGTTTGGGGTATGGTTGCATCGCTATATTGATACGATACGAGACGGTAGCATGTGCCCCCGCCGGCGAGGTTATCAGTTGGTAGGAGATTGGAGAGGTCGCGAGTTGATAGACCGAAGTTCCATTGGTCTTCCTCGCTGAATTGGTTGTTGTACCCCGCGATGTATCCTTCATCTAACCGTGGCTTTTCCGATTGGCCAATGTGTCGGAGTGATTATACAGGTGGGTAAGGACAACCCTTGTTGGAAGTACGAGGACAATAGAAGAAGACAACCCATTTTGTAATGGCACATTTGTTTCGCGAGCGGGCGTCTGCTTGTATGAAGGAAAGCACCTTGTTCGAGTGCTGGAAGATGATACCGGGTGTCGATTTACCCGCGAGCATTGGCAGCATTGCGCCTTCCTTCCCCTCGCCTTGGCTGCTTCCTTCGCGGAATTCGACCTGACTTTCTTGGGTGGCTTGTCCGTACGGAATCCTTTCATTGGCGGCAAGAGTTCTGGGAGATGGGCTTGCCTATCATCATGACCGAGGTTGTCGCGCATTGCCTGGGTGTCGCGCCGAAGAGGGCTCAATCTACCGAGAGGGGTTTGACGATCGTGGACTGATGGACGGCCGCAGAACGTGTGAATGCCAGATCATCTGACCTGCCATACTCCTCGTGAAGCTTCACGACAATTATTATCAAGGTCTTCTCTACCTGAGGTCCGTCGAGAAGAAGAAAACCGTGAACAATCAATCAGTATGGCCCTGCCTGAAAGCTTGACGGCGGCTGCAGACCATCACTCAGGACAGTCGTCTGATCTCGACATCTGCAATCCCAAGATTGTTCACCGTAATCGTCTTCCAGCTCGTTCCTACTGGATCCCAGAGAAGTCCCTCCTTCTGAATGGTACATGGGGTTTCGTATACTCCCCGACACCTAAGCATGCGCCGCATCCCAGCTTGTACTCCGACGGTCTCAGCAGCCTTGTGGATGCTCTCACGGTTGACGGAAATGAGGGCCAGACTGCAGACATCAAATGGTCCTCAATCACTGTTCCAGGACATTGGCAGTTGCAGGTAAGACTTCTGGGATATATTAAATAAATGCGAGCAGCAAATTGATCTTCTTAGGGTTATGGCAAACCCCATTACACCAACACAGTCTATCCATTCCCAGTATGCCCACCATATGTACCCACGGAGAATCCCACGGGAACCTATCGTCGCAACTTCTTTGTTCCATCTTCTTGGTCCGAGGACTCTCAGATTCGGCTCCGATTTGATGGCGTTGACAGTGCTTATCATGTCTATCTCAACGGGCAGAAGGTCGGCTATTCTCAAGGCTCAAGGAACCCTGCAGAATTTGACATTACCAACTTCGTGAACCGTGGAGAAGATGTGAATCGTCTAATTGTCAATGTCTATCAATGGTGTGACGGTTCTTATATCGAGGTACTGCCAAACGTGCATACTTTCTTCAAGAAGATCTAAGCTAACATACACTTTAGGNACCAAGATCAATGGTGGCTTTCAGGAATCTTCCGCGATGTGCATCTGATATGCTTCCCAAGCAAGACCCGCATTGAGGACGTTTTCATCAAGACAGAGCTCGATGGAGGATACCGAGACGCGAAGTTGCACGTTGAGTTGGACCTCACAATACACGAGACAACAGAAGCAATGCTCTCTCTGCGAAGCCCCAACGGCTCTTCCATCATCAATGAGAAGATCCAGCTCTCCGCTGATGCTTCTCACAGCCCACACGTGTTTACTGTATCGAACCCTGTCAAGTGGACGGCAGAGGCACCGCATCTCTACAGTCTGGAGATAAATCTGCTAGAGCACAACTCTGACGCTCCCACTCAAACTGTCAAGCAACGAGTTGGATTCAGAAATGTTGAAATCATCAAAGGCAACATCAGCGTCAATGGCAAGCCACTTCTCCTGAGAGGCGTCAATCGTCATGACCATCACGCGTTGTTCGGTCGAGCCGTACCATTGGCCTATATGAGAAGAGATCTGATGATCATGAAGCAACATAATGTCAATGCTCTACGTACCTCTCATTATCCCGCAAACCCGAAGTTGTACGAGCTGTGCGACGAACTCGGTCTCTGGGTTATGGATGAAGCGGACCTCGAATGTCACGGGTTCTATGACGCTGTTGAACGACCTCTCAACTTACCTCCGGATATGGGCTACGAGGAACGCAAAGAGCACACCTTTGCCAAGGCAGCCAAGTTCACGAGTGACAACGAAGATTGGAAAACTGCTTATGTCGACCGCATGGTGCAGTTGGTGGAGAGAGACAAGAACCATCCATCTATCATCATGTGGTCTCTTGGCAACGAAGCCTTCTATGGTCAGAATCATGTCACCATGTATGAATGGGCCAAGTCCAGGGACCCAGAACGTCCGATTCACTATGAAGGAGATGTGAATGCAGCATCTGCCGACATGTTTTCCTACATGTACCCGCCAATCGAAAAACTGATTGGTCACGCGACAGAAGAAGGCGACGACTTCAAGAAGCCTATCGTACTCTGCGAATATGGTCATGCCATGGGCAATGGCCCAGGTTTACTTGAGGACTATCAAGAGGCTTTCCGCAAATATCGCAGACTTCAAGGTGGCTACATCTGGGAGTGGGCGAACCACGGTCTCCTCAAGACTGAAGGTGACAAGCAGTTTTACGCCTATGGTGGTGATTTCGGAGACGTGCCCAACGACGACACTTTTGTCATGGACGGGCTTCTGTTCAGCGACCATACACCAAGTCCAGGTCTGACTGAGCTGAAGAAGGTCATCGCTCCTGTTCGAGCTTGGATTGAGGGTAAAAAGTTGGTGATCAAAAACGAGTTCGAGTTCATCACTTTGGGCCATCTAATCGCTGACTACAAGGTCGAGGTCCTTGGTATCCGGTAAGACTTCTCTCGATGCTGATTTGCATATGAATCTTGGCTAACACCATATAGACCTGACCGTGTCCTGTCTGGTCCGATCCAGCTTCCTCACATTGATCCTGGTACTGAAGCCAAGATTGATTTGCCCGGCGAGATTTTCGACCTGCATCGACCCAATGGTACAGAGTTGTGGTTGACCGTTGACTTCCGTCTTGGTGTTGCGACCCCATGGGCAGAGGCTGGTCACAGCATCACATGGTATCAGACTCGGCTTTCTGCCAAAGACGACGATCACACCTACGGCATCGAAAGACCCATCATGTCAAGCGCCATCACTGCCCACGAAACGCAGCTGCACTACCGATTCATTGGTTGTGACTTTCACTTCAACTTTTCTCGAGCCAGAGGAACACTGGTCGAGTGGGTGTATGGAGGCAGATCTGTTCTCAAGAAGCGCGAGATTCCTGATGACCCACTGCTCGCTCTGGACTTCTGGCGTGCGCCAACCGACAATGATGCCGCCTCCATGAGCAAGGAGTGGAAGCGTTACGGTCTCGACTCCATGACACCCCAGCTCCGCAGCTTCGATCTCGAAGACGATGGCCCCGAAAAAGCTCGCCTGACCGCTGTATACTACTACAGCCCACCAGTTCTTGCCTGGGGCTTTACCGCCAAAGTGACCTATGAAATCTCCTCTGCAGGTCAGTTGTCCGTCAAAATTCACTTGACACCCCGAGGCAATGCCCCCAGCACACTCCCCAGAGTAGGTCTAAACCTCCAACTCGACTCCTCCTTCAAGCAAGCAACCTGGTACGGCAAAGGGCCCGGCGAATCCTACAGCGACAAGGCAACCTCGCAACAAATCGGCATCTGGAACTCTACAATTCGTAACCTGCAAACTCCCTACGAGGTACCCCAAGAGAACGGCAATCGCATCTCTACACGCTGGGTAAAAGTTTTAAATGAACAGGGCCTGGGCATTAAAGCCACGTATATCCCTGGACCACAAGAGAAAGAGTTCTTCCAGTGGGCGTGTTGCTTGCATGATGCAGAGGTGCTGGAGAAAGCCAGACATCCTTGCGATTTGGTGGAAAGAGTAAGTCCGCTTTGGAGGTTGGATGCTGATAATGCTGGTGTTGGCACTGCAGCTTGTGGACCTGGTGTCAAGAAGGAAGATCAGGTGGAGTGTAGAGAAAGGGAGTTTACGTTTGTGCTTGAGCCTGCTATAGACTTTTAGAGGTATGGTAGATTTAGTTAGTGCGTCGATTTTGTTGTGCTTCAGATCAATCTGCGTTCATGTGCATGTACTGACTGTCTATGTGCACTCTGCATGTTCCGATGCTAGACATATGCGGCAATAAGAGCGGACTCACACACGAATGTAACAATATGTTGATTATTCTGCAATGTGACTAGAAAGCCCTCCCAGAGCACCGACCATGCCGCAACGTGAGTACAAATGAGAAATGCACAATCAATGTGCTGATCAAATAAAGGCTGGAGGTGAATTTTTAACCATCTGTGTTTTTCTCGAGTTCAAAAACTCGTCCACCATCCGCTGTCCGGGCGAAGATCCTTTGCTCTTTGATGAGTCCTTGGTTGGTGTGTAGAATGGAGGGATTGTTATGCCATCAATCATACCAGAAGGTCTTGGTGGTGCGGTGTTCTCTTTGCTGTCAGCTGCGTAGGGACCCTCTGAGATTCGACGTAACGTATCGTCGAACGCCGTTGGTGCCACGGCTCTACGGCGAATGTTGATACTCGAAGCTTCCAGGTTGCGGTTGTTGCGATACATGACACGGAGGTCCAGTGATGACTTTGGAGCCTTGACAGGACTATCTCTGCCTGCAGATTCGATCTCGTTGGTTGAGGGACCGTATCCATGACGCGCAGCACGAGTGGCTAGGCTTGACTTTTTGCGGACAAGTGCGCTTGTCGACTGTCGTTCTCGGACGACTGATGAAGACATCATCGACTGATCTGCGTCGCCTCGTTGACTCGCTTTACTGGACGCCCGTTCAGCGACAGATGTTCCGGATCCTGAAGCAGACCTCTGTCCAGAAGATGTGCTAGAGGGATTGGTACGACGACCCGATGCCCTGCTCGATGGTCTCCCAGTATCGATCAANGGATATCGCTCGTTCATAATGCTGGATGAACGAGAACGTAACTGGGGTCGACTCTTTGAGGCTTGAAGCACTGGTGGATCCTCCTGCAGGCTCTCCTTTGAACTGTAAGGGTTGTCGTTACTCAGAGAGTAGTCAGGTCCAGCCAGAACAGTGTCTCTGATAGGTGCAGGTGTCATGCTAAAGTCTTCAATCTCTTTGCTGAACCAGGCTCTCCACTCATTACTTGGTTTTGGTGTGTAGGTGGCAGGTCCATTTACAGGCCGTGGGGGCGAGTCGAGAGGATAACGCTTCACCTCGCGCCCGGTGATTGTGATGAACGTGCCAACAGCATCAGGAGAGACGGACCTCGAGTATATACTGGGCGAAATGACCTGCTGTCGAAGGTCATGAAGATCTGCGCCGTTGTCAAACGTTGGTGCAGCAGCGTCGTGGGATTCGTGACGGACAGCAGCAGGCAAGCTGGAGTCGTTGACGTTCTCCAACGGTCGCAATTCATATGGATTATCACCTTTCATACAATAGTTGAGAGCGCGTGAAACAACGGGTGAGCCGTCCTCTAAGGCGGCCTGCCAACGATTCTCCGATCTCTCCACACGAGCAGCAATCTGCTCGTTTGATGGCGCAACTGGCTCTGCTGGACGGCGTTTCTTCGAACGTATGCTTGGCGCAATACTCCACCATGACGACTTTCGGGCCACTTGATGTGGTGGGCTGGGAGCCGGACGCGTAGGAGATTCCGGAATGGTAGGTTCTGGGGTGACCATCCGAATCGTCTCAGAGGCTGGTGATATCGGGGGAGAGTTATTGAACACGACAGCAGGTGGTTGAGATGCAACCTCCTCTACGACGATGGTCGGCACTTCAGGACCATTGATGCGTCTCTGTAGTGCATCATACAAGCGCTTGCTATCTTCTGACTTGCGTTGAAGGTTGGTCTGGCTGGGGCGGCAGAGTGGAAGTCGCAAAGCTCGACCGAGAAACGAACCGGTGGGTGCTTCCTCTGGAGTAGAAGCAAGAGCTGGGGGTGCTGAAGTCTCGTCTATCGAGGGCAGGCGTTTGCCGCGTGAATTTGTCGAGTTGGACCAACTCGTGATTCGTGATTGTGCACCCGAAGAAGCACCCAGAGAAGAGAAAGGTGACCTAGGAAGAGACACACCAAAGTCTGGACCACCCGAAAAGCTGTCGTCGTTCGTCTTGTAAACATCGAAGTGGAGGTTCCTCGCTTCTACGTGTTGGGCAGGGAAGTGTGATTGCACTCTCTTCGGCCTTGACAAAAGCCTTTTGAATCTGCCTTTGAGTGACTCGGAGACAGTCCACTGTTTCTTCAATTTGGCAGGAGCTTCGGGCTGGCCTTCGGGCTTGATCTCGATAGGCGGAGTAGTGGAGAAGACATCATTGGATTCTTCGACACAATTGTAGGGTGGTACTGACGTGTCATAGTGGATGGAGGGTGCCGGAGTCGGTGACTTTGAGAAACGTTTCCTCAGAGGAGCAGCGAAAGATTTTCTCTCGCGGACCTCCTTCTTGTGGAAACCCTGAAGGTAGGCATCCCAAGCAGCTGTCTTGATCTCATCATCCGTCTGCAGATCACGAGTTTGTCGTCTGGAGGCTGTGCTGAGTCGTGACTCTGACATATCCGTCATGGTGACTATAGGGTCATTGGAGGCTTCGAGAGCAAATCGATAGGGTGTATCTGGCAACAGCGACTGCCGAGTTAGTGGTCGCACTGGTATAGTTGCGGGAGCAGTTGCAGGTCCAGGCACCAGTGCAGGACGTTCAAAGCGCTCAGGCTTCTGCGTGGACTTGCGTCGGTTGTCATCGAAATGGCTGCCCTCGGAGCGTCGAGAGCGACGTCGTTGAGGGCGGTCTCCTTGGGAGTAACGGTATGCACGCGTGTAGGCCTCCACAGCGGCAGCCTCTGCATACTTGGGCTCGTTCAATATCGATGGCTCGAAGGGCCTGTGGCTGCTCGAGGATGACGACTTGGCTCGGCGTAGGCGTAGAGCAGCGTCGCTGTTGGCACGGGACAGCATTGAAGCTTCCTTCGGGGTTGTTCGCTGAGAATTGTTGATGATTACGAGAAAGCTAGGAAGACGTATGCGGCGATACCAATGCTTTGGTATGAGATGCATTTGTGTAAATTGGTCGAACATGAAGAAGGCAGAACCCACATGTGTTTGTTGGATGCCTGCATCTTGCAAGNNAAGCAAGAAGTCTACGGGATGCTCTTTCCCATCCAATGGTGAATTTTAGACATCCTAGCTCACATTCAATTCACCGATACGAACGCACACTTGACCAGTGATACCTGATAAGTCTGTCCACTATTGTAGCTAAGATACTCTCCGTGGATTGTGATATTCTCAAGATACGTGTCGCGACGCGAAGAACATCTTGCACTTTAGAGACGTGAAAGACTGTGTAAAGTGAGGGCCCTGATGTCGTCTCCGAACCAAGGTCGAGGCAGACTCATCTGCCATATCAAAAGCCGCAACGACTGCGATGATATACTCCTGGAGGNNCCAACGATTCGATAACATGAGCTCAGGAACATCACAGGACGTCAGGCTCTCAGAGTTCATNTGCCAAGATGCGTTGGTGACATCCAAGGACGGAGAGGTTTTGACCGAGATGACCGAAAATGACGCAAAGCACAGGCCAGCCATCACGACATTTCGAGCCGAGGCATGCGAAAGTGGCTCGAAATGGAAGGTGGCTGGTTTCGTGACGCGCGTGACACTTTGCAACCACGGCGTGTCACGGCAGCAGGGAAGCGCAAGACTCAGCAAGTTGTTGTATGGGAAAACCATCCATTCTGTATGGGATCTCCCACTTAAATGTATACATAATGAAATAATAAGGGATATGCATCTGATTATCCTCCGTAAACCGCAACAAAAGAAATGAGAGTATGCAAGACATCAGAATCGATATGTCAAGGCCTACTCCAATGCAATGTGGCTCCACCGTGGACGCCATACAAGCTCAATCCGATCATGCGTTGAACACTTACTCCGAAGATGCGAGGAACTCGTCAATCTCGGACTCGAGCTTGGCAGTAAGTCTGGCAATCTCCTTGCGAGCAGCCTCGAACGACTCTCTCATGTCCTCGCGGATGACCGATGCATCCATCTCCTGAACCTTCTTGTAAGCCTTGTGGGCAGAGTCGGTCTTGGTGATGGCCTTGAGCTCCTCAAGACCGTACTCGCGCTGCGAGTTCTTGACCTTGTAACCGCCAGCGGCAATGACCTCGGTGTAGTTGGCAGAACCGCCACCGTTCCAGGCAAGGATNCTGACTGACGTTAGTAAAGAGCATAAACACAGAAGTATACAGTTACTTACGTTGGCGGTGTCTGAGGGAACGTCCTCAAGAGCACCAACAGTGGCGATGGAGAGGAGGTCAGCCTTGAGCTTCTTGGGGGTAATCTCAGCGACAGCGTAGGCAGAGTTCTTGGAGGGCTGGAGGGAGAGGAGGTAGGCGAGGAGACCAGCGATGTGGGGAGAGGCCATCGAGGTACCGGAGATGACGTTGGTGGCAGTCTCGCTGCCGATCCAGGTGGAAAGGATGTTGAGGCCAGGAGCGAAGATGTCGTTGCACTTGCCGAAGTTGGAGAAGTAAGCACGCTCGTCAGCAAGAGTGGAGGCGCCGACGGTGACGGCCTTCTCAGCAGCGGCGGGGGAGTATCTGCAAGAGTCGGCGTTGTCGTTACCGGCGGCAACAGCGAAGTGGATGCCGGCGTCGACGGCGGCGTTGACAGCCTGGTCGAGGAGGGCAGACTTGCCACCACCCAGACTCATGTTGGCAGCGCTGCCCTTGAAGCCCTTTCTCTTGCCCTTCTTGGCCTTCTCGACCTGCTCGATGTGGGACTCGGCAGCGTACTCAACACCCTTGACGACGTCGGACATGGAACCTGAGCCGTTGGAGCGGAGAACCTTGACGGCCTTGACGTGGGCCTTCTTGGCAACACCGTACTTCTTACCAGCGACGGTACCAGAGCAGTGAGTGCCGTGGCCGTTGCCGTCCTTGTCCTCATCACCCTGAGGGATGGTCTTGCCCCAGGAGGCACGGCCCTCAAAGTCGACGTGGTCAACGTTGGTGCCAGTGTCGATAACGTAGACATCAACACCCTCACCACCGTCGGATGAGTAGAGGTACTTGTTGAATGTGCCGAAGGTCAAGCTGTCGCGGTGCGAGATACGAGCGAGACCCCAAGGAGCGCCCTTCTCGACGGCGGGGTCCTCGGACTTGGCGAGGGTGTGCATGACCTGGTCCTTCTCGACGAAGGCGACNCTGGGTGAGAGCAAGTCAGTAAAGGTCTCATAGGCTGAATGGATTGGGGCTTCGTAGGCAGCAGTTTAAAGATCGCCACAGAACAGAGGCAAACAGCCAGAAACGAGTTTTGGGCGTGTTTCCGAGCCGCTTCGTGCGGAGATGGGGCAGAACGAGGGAGAGATCGTGAGATCGTGTGTACTTACGTCGGGGTGCTTGCGAATGGCGTCAATGACGGACTCGTCGAAGTGGCCTGAGTAGCCCTTGAGGCCTGCCATGTTGTATGTGTGCTTGAGACCGTCAAAGACAGTCTCGAGGAAAGGAGCCTGCGATCTCTTGCGGAGCTCGAGCTTGGTGCCGAGTGTCTGCTCGTGGATGTCCTGCACCCAGTTGTGGTGAGCGGCGGCATCATGGTGGTCGACGTGATCCTTGAAAGCGATCAAGTAAGAGTCAGGGATGGTCTCAGCATCGACGGACGAGATGAGGGGAGCGGCATCGTTGTCGATGCTCTGGTGGCTCAAGGTGTCTGCCTTGATGACAGGCTTTGCAGCTGCCAGCAGCGGCAGGAGAGTAAGACCTGCGATGCCCTTCATGGTGAAGTGCTATGTGTATGTATATGTGTATGTGGTTGGGAAGTGGATGCAGAAGAGAGGATGGCAAAGAGGAGGTGGATGAAGGAGGGATGGAGTCGAGGATGAGTCGAGTTGATGAAGGACTTCACCCAAGTGGAAGCTTGCCAATCTGGGGTAGGTCGTTATCAGCGGCCCGTGCTCGATCAGGTCAAATGACGTTTTCGGCCGGTCACGTTAACCACGCCCTGCTTTCGCAGACCAGGCTCATTCGACCGTTCAGGAATGCATCAAGAGTTAACTGTGGACGTCGTGATGTTTCTAGACTATATACATCTTACCATATCATAGAACAAAGGCTCGAATGGGCAAACAACCGCGTAAAGACGACTCGAGATGTGCTCTCGGCGACTCGGGGGGCGTTGTTATCACACGTCTGTCGCCTTGGAAATGTGGAGCTATGGCGCTAGCGGTTCACAAACGCCGACTACGTTCATTCGCGTGCCCTCTTTCTCGAATCACTGTTTAAGGCACCCGGTGCTGCGAAACATCGAAACGCTCACGTGCGCCTCCATTGTGTCCGTTGCACCTTGCAACCCTACTGCTGCTATCTTCAGAGCCTTTGCAGCTTAGGTCTTCGGCCCATCCCCTTTGGTCCCTCCTTGGCTGGTGCATGCTTCGTCTTCGAAGTCGCAATCAAGCAGGCATTCTACTTTGCGGGGTTGTCACTTGACTGCTTGACTGAGCCCGGAGAGAACGCCCTCGGGTTGCGGATCATCTGCCCCCTTGCGCAATCACAGTCACTTCCGGAGCAATGACATCGTTAGCTGTTCAATCTGTATATATCGACCAGCGCCGTTGATGCCAAAATGGACAACCCGACCCCCGTCGGTACAGGTCGTCTACCAGCAACTCAAGTCCACCATTGCAAGTAAGGACAAGTGCACTTGGTTCACTCGTTCAGCGACTATCAAATTTTACAATCACCACTCCTGAATCATTACGGAGTATCCATGACGACCTCATCAGACTATCCATCTTCTTTGATGACAATGGCCAGGACGACATACAAGACCAATTCCGCCAAAGCCGAGGTTTTCAAGCAATCATCCATGCTCTGGAAGCAACAATTCGATTTGCGGAAGCACAAGGAGAACTGACGGATAGCTATTTCGAAGAAAACTTCATTCAGATCGCAATCGATGTGCTAAACATTTTGACCAAAGCATTGCGTCGGCACCATGGAAACTCGCGTTACTTTACCAAGCGAATCTCTGGCGGAGGATGGCAAGCTCTCCGTCACCTCATCCAACACGCTTCTTGCATCATTGCGAGCTCACCCTCTAGTGGGGCTCGGTTCAACAATCTATTGAGACTTTTCTGCGCCACTTTAGCATTGTCACTTGGGGACAACTCGTTCAGCAACGCTCTCAAGCCTCTCTGGTTCGAAGGTCCAGACAGTTCGCAGAGCGCAGTCAACGGAGATGCTTCTTCAGAGGCAAATTCTGATCATAAAACTGCGACAGAGACATCAACTGCTGAAAAGATGCAGATGTTGGTTCGTGAGTGTTTCGGCCGAGATGAGAGGATCCTCAACTCGGAGGCTGTGACTATCATGTCAGATTTCTACACGTCGTTCGGGTACGCCAGAGAGACCGCTGGTGATCATATGGCTGTTCTGCCAACCGCAATCTTGACCGTACTTGATTGCCTTGTTGATACATCAGCAAGCAACAGAATTGCAGTTCATGACGCTGGCACACTGTCAATTTTGTTGCCTCGCTTGGCCGACAAGCTCATGGACGAATGTGAGGCCACGCTATTACAAAAGCTCTGCAAATCGTTGCTTCCACTTGGGACACGTCGATTAGAAGAGACAGCTCAAATATTCAAACTGGCCTGCGAAGACGATTCCGCCAAAGAAATATTGTTGGAGGCTTTGCAGAAGTCCAAACAGCCTCCTGCTATTCAGTTCGACTTGTCACACTCCGGGCATTGCTCTATTGAGCTTGCGTCCTTGCCACGGCCCTTTCCGCCACCTACTGGCTACACTTTCTCGTCTTGGATCAAGATCGATCAGTTTGATTCAGACTGCCATACCACGATATTCGGAGCATTTGACGCCAGCCAAACATGTTTTGTTCTTGTGTACATCGAAAAGGACACTCATCAACTCATTCTGCAGACGTCAGTCACCGCGAAGAGACCCAGTGTACGATTCAAGAAGTTCAGATGTGGAGCTGGAGAGTGGTATCATATTGCTTTAGTGCATCGCCCTTCTAGAACAAGCGGTTCGAGTCCAGCCATACTCTATGTCAACGGACGCTGCATCGAAGAGCAGCACTGCCCGTATCCAGAGACGCCGCCACTTATCCCAGAACTCCGTGCTCCCGTTCCTTCTCAAGTTGTTAACACCACTCGACGACCAGTCCAGGCTTTCTTCGGCACCCCTCAGGATCTTGCTTCCCAAGCAGCCGATCGTGTCTTGAGGTTGAAGTGGTCTCTTGCAAGCGCCTATTTGATTGACGCATCTCTTTCTCCAGAGTTAGTCGCGGTTCACCAGAAGCTCGGTCCACGTTATTGTGGCAACTTTCAAGACTGTGTGGGACCTTTTCTGACATATCGCGCTTCTGCCGAGCTCAACCGATACAACGAGATGCTGCACGCGGACAAAGACGACAAATCCGAAATCGTCAAGGCTACACAGTCTCAGGGCAGTGAGCTCCTCCCAGAAGGCAAGCTCTTGATCAGCATGTCAGCTTCGACGATTGTCAACATGAACGGTGTTCTAGCAAATGGTGTCAACGTTGCAGGCATGCTGAATGAAAAAGCTGCGGCACATCTTCAATCTCTCACGCGTAACGGAAATCCACTGTTATTGAATGCGGCTCGACCTTCAATCAACGAAGCTATCACGAGATCCTATGGAGCAGCTGTGATCACCGGTGATCCTGTATTGACTCTCACTCGTGGATTGGATGATGGTAGTTGGCAGATTGGAGGCAGCTTACCCATCAGCATGAAGATAATCCAGAGCGCATCAACGGCCGATTCTCTTGTCACTTCAGTCGAGCTTCTTTTCCAATGCATACTGGACAATTGGCGAACCAGCGAAGTCATGGAGAAGGACAACGGGTTTGGCATTCTCGCAGTCCTGCTACGAGAAAAACTCGGAATATATACCAGCGGCCCTGGTGGCAATAGAACTGCCCCAGTAGCAAAGACCATGCAGCAGAGGGAAGAGCTAGCATTGAGACTTCTCAAAGTTGTATTGGCATTTGTTGGCTACGATACCAAGAGCCCCGAGAACTCTTTGCTCATCAATCCTATGGCTTACAGAGTTCTACTCGTAGATTTTGACACTTGGCGTACTATAAGTACCGAAACTCAGAGACTCTATTATCAGCAGATCGCTGGGTTTGTTTGGAAAAACAACAACCAGACTTTCAACATGAAACGTTACAACAAGATGAGGGTTGTTCGTAGATTTCTTGATGCTCTGAAAGTTGATCCCATCAGCCCTGAAGTCTTGCCAGAGATTTTGCATGCTTTGAGAGCTCTCAGCTTGTGCAAAACAGCACACCTCAATCATCGAGATATTGCTACATTCATTACATATGCGCTACATGACGACAGAGCTTTGCAGTCGACCAATCCGCTCCTGAGAACACCTCGGAACAGATCCGCATCAATCAAGCTGCCATCTCCTAGATTAATCGCACCCGAGACGTCCAGCCCATCATCAACTTCAGCGTCACTGAGTCCAGCCAGACTCAGTCAATCAAATCTTGGTGTCAGCATCGTTGAGACATACTCAGAGGTCCTTTGTGGTTTCGAACCCAACACGCATATCAAGCGCTTCGATCAGCAGGTACCTACGCGATGGATTCTTCATTTGTTGGCGGAGCCTGATTCACGTGTCGTTGGTTCTGCACTCTCGATCATATCAAGAGCAATCGTCGAGATACCGAGTTTCAAATCAAAGTTCACGGAGAAGAACAATGGCTTCACCACACTGCAAGCTAGACTGCGAAGCCACTGGACGTGTCCAAGAGTGTGGATTGGTTGCTTTGCCATCCTTTTTGGTCGTCCATTCGTTTGTCAAGAGGATGCTGACGAGCTTACCATTTTCCACCTTATGGAAGCATTTATGCAGCAAGGAGAGTCTGAGATACGACATCCCGAAATCTTCCCAGCAATATCGAGCATGTTAGAAGCAGGGCTCAGAACTGTCGTCAAAGATTCTTCGCATCAGAAGGACAACGAGGACGTGGCCGAGTTGAACAAAATCCCAAAGACGATCATTCAATTTCTTACGGATGTTCATGCTCGGAGTAGGTCGTTCCGAGACTTTGCGGTGGACTCCCACTATGTGCAGGAACTGCTTTTCGTGTTGTTCCCGCTCATCACGAGTGCCGATCGACTTAGCGCATCTGCCGAATTAGCATCCGAAAGCCCGCTGAATTTCCAGGGCCGCGAAGTTGTTCTGCGACCTCATTCCAATTCGCTGGGCGAACGACCGGCTGTACTTAGAAGTGGTTCCAGCAGAACGTTGCCTACTCAAAGCCGCCCGAACCAACTTCAGATCCCTCGCAGGACATCTTCTTTCGTTTTTGTCAATCCCACCGCATCCGAGGTCAAACAGTCTACTGTATCAACACGGTTCAACGCCATAATGTCTCCAAACACAAGCAGACCGGTCAAAATCAATGTCGGCAATGCGGTCGTCGAGTCCCTACTTGAACTTGTAGTCATGGTATACCTTGAACAAGTCTCTCAACGCAAAGACTTTGCAGGCTTTGGTCTATTTCTCAAAGTTCCGCCTGGCTTCCAGGAACATCAGGCATATTTTGAGTCATACGTTCTGCTTCATACCATGCATCAGCTATGGAACCATCTTCAGCTGAACCAGGAGTTGATGATAGAGCCCAGAACTTTAACGAACCTGGCTCGATACAGCTTACATATGGCTGAGGCTGTGTTCGAAGGCTGGTTTATTGATGGAGCCCAGCCACTACTCGATTTTACTGGCAAGGCACTGGAATACCTTCAACAACCAGCCGTGTCTGCGACAAAGGGCGTACGACTATGTTCACAAGCCGTGTCCACACTACGCTCGGTGTTCCTTCGTGTCACTCTCCTTCGCTTGTCAGAACTTGACGAAGTCGAAGATGATACAGAAGCACTGGACTTCCTAAGGAAGATGACCTACTGGCAAACCATCCTGTTCTCACCCCAAAATCAAGAGCTTCCCTTCATAAGGTTGATCTGCTATCTTCTATACATCAAGATGACCTCGCCATCATCTCCAGTGCGGCATGCTGCCGCCTCATTGTGGAGGATGTTGCTTGTACAGAAGCCAACAGAAGCAGCTACCATCCTCATACAGAACGCTGATCCAAATCAGCGCCACATCTCTACTGGCCTGATCAAGCTTGCTGCGCACGATGATGACGAGCTTCTACAATGGATTGATCAGAATCGAAAACCACTGGATGAGTTCTTCCATGAAACCATGTCGAGATTCTGGGATGAATTTGTCGGCTCCGAGAACCAGAAGACCGAAGAATCGGCCAGAAACCGTCTTGCTAAGCGCAAGGAGAAGCTGAAACAATGGAAAACGACCGAGACCGAGCTTGATAATGTTGCACATCGTTTTGAGGTATCCACTAGGCACTGGCGGTCGAATATTCATTCCCAAGAGCGACTGAAATACCAAGGCGCGCTACAGGACCAGCAAGAGAATCTGAATCATATACAAACTGTCATCGCCAGGCTGGAAACTCTGCTCAAGCAACCTTCAGGCCTCTTCCCTGAGAAAGAACCATTTAAATGGCAACTCGATCAGACAGAATCGCGCAACAGAATGCGTATACGAATAGTACCAGATTCACGACGAGATCAAGAGGCGTTCCAGCCGAAGCGCAAGGCCTCTGAGCGTGCGTCGCATACAAAGCTTAGAATCGACACGCAATCTCGTCCAGGCTTGTCAGACAACATAGTCTCGGCGGAACCTACACCGAGGACTCCTGCTAACCTCGGTATACGTCAGTTCGAAGACACTACATCAACATCAAGAGACGACTCTATCTCAGGCTCTGCGCTTCTTGACGGCGAATTTGAGATGGTGGATGACCCCAAAGACGGCGAGGAAGGATTTGAAGACAAGAACCGTAAAGTGTTGAAAAGTCTGCAGCGCGGCGATCGTGTACAGAACATCTGCAATGTTTCTCGTGTTGTGGGCTTGGAAGCTTTTGAAGGTCTGCTGATCATTGGCAAGAAATGCTTGTATCTTCAGGACGAAATGTTCCAAAGATCTGATGGCGAAATTGTCAGCGTTGTTCATGCTCCCGACGAAGAACGCGACCCTTACGTTCAGCTAATCTCAGGCAAAGAGGTTAAGACCAAGCGAAAGCAACGTGCGGAAAGAGAGCCTGCAAGACATTGGACTTGGCAGGAGCTATTGCATATCTCAAAACGCCGCTTCCTGTTCCGAGACGTCGCACTAGAAGTTTTCTTCACCGACGGTCGTAGCTACCTTCTGACGTTCATGACGCCAACAGCACGCAACGATGTTTATGCAAATCTCGCAGGGAAATCACCGTTGGTCTATGGTTCACTGTCGTCCTTACCTGCCGAGGACGCTTGGAGACTCGACTCGTTGAGGAATCCAGAGGAAACACCACAAAGCTTTGGCTATAAATTCGCAAATGTCTTCAACTCAACATCATCCAACGCAGCAACTCGACGATGGACCCGTGGCGAGATATCGAACTTCCAGTATCTCATGCTTGTCAATAATATGGCCGGCAGAACTTTCAACGACCTCACGCAGTATCCTGTATTCCCTTGGATTCTCGCAGACTATACTAGCGAAGAACTAGATCTGACCGACCCTCGAAGTTTCCGTGATCTCTCCAAGCCGATGGGCTGTCAACATCCTGCGCGCGAGTCCGAGTTCCGCGAACGTTACCGAGCGTTTGCCGAGATGGGTGATGAACATTCTCCACCTTTCCATTATGGTACTCATTACTCTTCAGCCATGATCGTCTCTTCATACCTCATTCGACTGCCGCCGTTCGTGCAGTCTTACTTGCTGCTTCAAGGTGGCAATTTTGACCACGCAGACAGATTGTTTGACTCAATCGAGAAGGCATGGTTGTCTGCGTCAAAGGAGAACATGACTGATGTTCGTGAATTGACACCGGAGTTCTTCTGCCTACCCGAGTTCTTGCAGAACATCAACGGCTACGACTTCGGCCAGAAGCAAGGCAGTGGCCAAACAATCAATGATGTTGTTCTGCCACCTTGGGCTAAGGGAGACCCACACATCTTCATTGCAAAGCACAGAGAAGCTCTCGAAAGCCCATTTGTCAGTCAGCATCTTCAAGAGTGGATTGATCTCATCTTTGGATACAAACAACGCGGCGAAGCAGCACTCGAAGCCACTAATGTGTTCCATCATCTTTCGTACCAAGGTGCCAAGGACCTGGACACCATGCAAGACGAAGTCGAAAAGCTCGCAACCATCGGTATCATTCACAATTTTGGACAAACACCTCACCAGGTCTTCCAGCGCGCGCATCCCAGAAGAGAGGAAGAGAAGCATAGAGTGGAAAGACTTGACACCATTGCAGAGTCCTTAATCAAGCTACCATTCCCCTTGCATGAGAGCCATGAGCGAGTCACAGCATTGACATACTCACCTAGCCAGGAGCGCTTGTTGTGCTCTCCTCCTTGCAAGCTCAATGTCCCACCAGCTTGCAAGAGTTATCTGCACTGGGGCTTCGCAGACAATAGTCTTCGCTTCTTTACTGCCGACAACAGAAGAATGCTCGGCTTATATGAGAATCTGCATATTGGACAAATCAGCACTGCTCTTTTTGCAGATTCCAAGACGCTCATTACCGGAGGTGCAGACAGCACGATTGGCGTGTGGACCATTGGCTTCAGCTCAGACTCTGCAGACATTCAGTCAAGAACCTATCTCTTCGGTCATCGCACACCGATCAGCGTTCTCGCCGCCTCACGCGCTTTCAGTACCCTGGTCTCTGCATCAGTTGATGGTCAAGTATTCCTTTGGGATCTCAACCGTTTCGACTGTGTTCGCGTCCTGCAAGAAGCAAACAACGGCAGCCGCACAATCCAGTGTGCTAAGGTCAACAATCTAACCGGACACATTGTCCTCTGCAGTGGAGCGTTCGTCAGAGTACTCACATTGAACGGACATCTACTCGTAGAACAAAAGGTCTGCGATGCAGAAGACGATGAGATTACCTGCTGTGCTTTCTACGAAGGTGCTGCCAACGAGTGGGTAGAACGAGTACTGCTCTTTACCGGCCACAAGCGTGGTATCGTAAACGTAAGTATCATAAAAGACCATCATCGGAGGAATGTCAAGCTAATGCATCGCAACAGATCTNGGTCACTGGTCACACTCCGCGATGGAGCATGGCATTTGCAACTCATCAAGCGGTTGATGCATGTCGAGCCAACGCGCGGAGAGCCGAACATCCAAGTCCCCACCATCACTTGTGTTCTTCCCATGTCTCAAGCTGTATATACTGGTGATGAAGATGGCAAAATTGTAAGTTTGAACGCATGTCTGACAACCCACTTTGCTCAGTCGCTGACTTTTTTTGGCTTTATAGNNTATGAGTGGAATTGTGTGCAGAGACATGGAGCTGGTTCTTTTGGCGGCTGGCGATGAGATAGAAGCATAAAGATGGGGTGCGAGCAATGAGCATTGGTGGGCTTATTGATTTCATTGGCAAAAAACGATGAGGAAGTTGGGCTATCACGTCTTTTTGGCACAGAAAAAGTACCCCAGGAACGGAGTTTTGCATTTTGTTGTTTTCCAACCGACCTGTGAAGCGAATTTATTATCTGACGTGATGGTGTTTATTGGTATCGCAAAGATCTGGATCGCCTCCTCTAGAAATCTTCTATGGCCAGTTCAAGATGGGATAACTTTCTCTGCTCTGCCACCCGTGGTCAAACGTACACCTGAGACCCGTGCCCTGTCTAGCGGCAATGATACCTCGAGCCACCGTTCTCGCCTCTGCTTCTCTTTCCAACCATCTGGCCATCAGACCCACAAACATATCTTGATAAGTGTTACAATTCCCACATTCTTGCCAACAGTCCCCCGAATCTGCAGTAGCGTGACAATCACCACAATGCTGAACTTGATATTCTCTCTTTTCCGGGTGAACAGAAATGTAATCGCGCAAGTCATCGATAATCTGTTGATGTTTGACGCCAATGCGGAAATAAGTCTTTGCCATTTTCTGGCGGAAGCCAGAGGTTTTGAGAAATGCGGTGTTGGTGGGGAACCATGCAGAAGAGTCTTGGGACAGATTTAGGTAGGTGAGATGGCGCCAGGCTCCGTTCCAATCTGGACCTTTGAGACGTTGGGATTGGAGTGACCAGTCGTTGTCGCTGTCGTCCGAGTCTGTGGGTTGGGGCAGGGCGTGGGAGCGGTGGGTTAGGGCTGGGAGCCAGGAGTGGCAGCCTTGGAGATCGAGCCAGCGGAGGCAGTAGGTGTTTTCGGCTAGCATGCGGAGAACTAGAGCTGGTTCTTCAAAGTCGCGGTCGAGAGAGGCGTAGGGNGAGGTTGAGTTTGGGGTTCGTGTTGGTAGTGGCCAGTGTGCTAGGCTGAGGTGGGTTATGGTGTGTAGGTCCTTGGAGAGAAGTAGGAGGTCTGTCCAGGAGGCTGTAGGAGGAGGATGGGCTAGGGAGAGTTTGGTCAGGTATTGGAGATTGTTGCTGAGAGATGTTGGAATAAAGAAGTCGCTGTCGTCTGAGGAGGTGTCTTGGTCCCACGAATCCGCAATGTCACTTCTTTCTTTCTTGGACTTTGCGGCCAGGTTTTTAGATTCCTCTGCCGACCTGTGCAACCATCTTCTGAGTTCTTTGAGCGTGAAGCTCCACCCCACTAGCCCTGATAGGTCCAGAGAGGTGGCTTCGGATGGATTGGGAAAGAGAGCTTGGAGGCCAGCCATGTCAACACCTTCTGGAGGTCCTAAAGTGGTCAAATAGCTGAGTAGGACAACACGTAAATGTGGTGGGATCACATCGAGCCATTCGCCACAGTCTTCTACGATGTCTGACCAGTTTCGGGCTGCCACCTTGAGCGACATGTCCAACAAGCTGCCAGGAATGACAGGATTGTCATTTGCCATATTCAAGAAGCGGGCCAGTCCATCCGGTAGATTCCTCGCCGGACCTCCGTTCTGGCCTAAGATCCTTGGCTGTCGTTTCGCTGGATAGTAGCGGCTCTCGAGTGCTTGTCTATGACTTGTTAGTCTCGACACCCAACTAGGCGGAGGGGCAGGGCCGGGCGTCCTCAGCCGCACTCTTGATCTCTGAGAAGCACTATTTCTCGGAGCGGGCGCAGCTACAGCAGTCTGACCCAAGATACCCTGTCCAAGGCTTGGAGGTAATGACCTTTGGTTTGAAAGTTCAGCGAGCTGACGCTTTCTTTCGACGGAAGCTGGGGATGACTGGGCGAGTCTCAGGTTGGTGAGACGTTCGTTGACGGATAACACAGGTTTTGCTTGAGCATTCTCGCCGGTACGAGAAGCACCTCCGAGGGAGGGGTGAACATAGTTCGAGCCTGGTTTGGGTTGGTATGTCTGTCTGTGCTTTTTGGGCATTACAGAGTAAAGAGAAGGAAAGAGCTGCCCGTGGATGCCTCCAGCGTCCGGTCAGAATATGTATGGCTTCCAGATTCCTTCCAGTATCCGAGCTCCTAGTCTTCTTCCAATGATATCCTTTGAAATGTTTTTGGAGTGATCCTTCTTATAGATTGTTACTCATAAGCAGTGGGAAATGCGGTGCTCTAATAGGCTGGTAAGGAAGTTGAGCAAGGACAAGCAGACGCCACCTGCACGTTTTCCCATCGCAGTTTCCCCACGTTCACTCACCCACGTCATCACCTTCCACCTGCCACGACAGCAACCAACGCCTTGGAACCTTGTGTACTCGGGACTCCTTTATAAACAATGTGCTGATCCTTCTACTTACTCCGATAGACTAAATAAACATGGCTTCCTTCCTCAAAGAAANNAAAATCACTGGAGCTCAATCCGACGTCGACAGTGGTAACGCTGACAAGTACTATATCCAAGTGGCCGCAGCAACTTCCTACGATGACTCCAAGGCCAAACAAGTCATCATCAATGGTGCTCCCACACAATTGAGCAAGAACGCAAAAGTCGCTGTCCGGATCAAGGAATATCAAGGTTTACCTGTGGGCTCTCCGGCAACTTCTTCATACTTCGAGGATCACGCACATTTACAGGATACATACAGTATAGCCGTCTCCTGGATCCCCGAAGAAGACATTGACGCTGATGACTTGGTCTGGGGTATTGAACTCATCAATCCAATCCGCGACCGTATACCTGGACGCTTCATCACCACCGCTTTCAACATTGTCAAAGGCTTTGTGGACTCGAGTTTGAGATGCGATCCCAATGCAGACCGACCCTGGTTGAATGGACCCGCGCTATGCTCTACAGCCATAACCTTCAGCATTGGTCCCAAAGGCACCTGCGAGCTGCCAGCCATACTAGCAGAAGGCGGCCTTGCTGATGACTCTGCCATACGCCAAAGTCACAGTATCCCCACGTCCGACTCACAACGCCGCAAACACTTTCTGGACGAGCAGAAACGCAAGGACTTTGTGTTTGAAAAGGGACGTTGCTATGCCTTTGACTTTCACAACGGCTACATCGACTGGAAAAACTACGCCCTGAAGCTCCCAGGTTTCTCCTTCGGAGTCTTGAAATACATCAACGACAGAACACACACAACAAGATTCGTGCTCAAGAGCCGCAAGACTGGAAATGTGTTTGTAGCGACAACATTCCGCTTACTCTACGGCGAAGAATTGGAAAAGGCAAAGAAGACGAGTGCCGCTGCTGCCGGAGCACAGACAGGTGAGAGTGCAGCGGGACAATCCCAGCATGTAAACACAGCTGAGGATCTCCAAAAGGAGCCAACGCCAAACGGAAGCCTCGAAAACTCGAACGGCGATCCGGAAACGCTGGGGCCGCTAAAGGGACCTGAGACGGAGAATGTCGACAAGGGGAAACTGGTACAACAACCGCTGCAGGGACCCGAGGAGCCTGATACGAAAAACTTGGAGGACGCTGGTGGATCCGAGAGTCTTGTAGATGGTGGCTCAGAGATGACATCTAAGCATGATGAGGAACATCCTGCAGGCAATGCAGCCGATCAGGTGATAGCAGAGTCTGAAGAAAGAAGGAAGAGTGGGCAGCACGAGAGGTCGGTCGGTGGGCATGCTTGACTGACGGCTATCATTCCGATGATTTATGCAAGGCTTGACGCGTAATGTGTAATGCAAGAATGCATCATGCGTACAGGTTATGAGGTTCATAAAGTGGTATATAGGATAGTTTTGCTCTTCTCCCAAGAGTATGATATCTACTGAAGATTATACACTTCGATAAGCTTAGAGCATGCCTCTTCTCCATGCACGAGTCGCAAGTTCCTTGATGGTCTTGACTTCGACGGGGCCCCTGAGCTCCTCGTCGGCCAAAGCCTCGACGACAGCTTCAGCGACCAGATCTGCCTTCAGAGGCTCGACACCACCAGCACCCATCAGACCAGTCAAACGACCACCAACCAGTGAGTTGGCCATGGCGCCCATGAATGTCAATCCAGCCAGAGGGACGGTGAATGTCCGTGACGAATCGTACAAGAAGCCAGGACGAATAAAGACACTCCTCATGGACGGGAAATTTGAGGTGATGGACTCCTCAGCTTCGCGCTTGGTCTTGATGTACCTCGCCGGCAAGATGGGCGCACCGCCGGCAGCAGAGATATACGCCATGGACGAAGCGCCAGCGGCTGAAGCCTCCTTGGCCAACAAGATGGCAGAGTCTCTGTTCATAACCTCGTACGTGATCTGACCGCCCTCATGCTGGGGCTCGACATCACTGCCCTCTTTTCTCTCCAACGGGTTCTGGGTTCCTTGCTTTGTGCTGCTGAAAGCCTTTTGCAAGCCGCCAATGATGGGTTCTTTGCCGGTCAAGACGCCTTTGTAGTCAGCTTCCAGCAAGATGCCCATGCTGTGGACGACGGAATCTGCGTTTTCGAGGTGTTGCTTGTAGGTCGAGGGTTGGAGGATGTTGGCGCTGACCCAATTGATGTCGGAAGACCAGGTCGGTGCCACGGGGGAGGAGGTGACGGAGGACCAGGTGGGTTCGCCGGAGCGCGAGATGGAGGTTACTTGCCAGCCTCGTGCGGCTGCTGCTTTGCAGATGCGACTTCCNTTGGGTGGAAATGTTAGCTTGAAGGTGGTCGACTGGGTATGGTGATGAATACCGAGGAAGCCATTGCCGCCGGCGACGACGATTTTCTTGGTGGCTGCTTTTGTCGACATGATTGATTGTGTATGTGTGTGAAACCAAAGGCCAGAGATGCAAAAGAGTGCAAGCGGTAGAAGCTCTCGTCTGCTGTTCACATGCAAAGAGATGGCACGATGCATGACGTGCACCGCGTCTTAGCGCCATCGCCGGCTCGACCTTGCGGGCAGGAACCGCCCCGATTGGCCACGCATCTGCCTTGTCCTCCGACCCTCTGACCCTGTCTCTTGCATCTCTGGACAATTCACCATCAGCAACCTCTCATCAACAAAACACCCTCTGGTCTTATCACACCGTACTAGCCACCCACCATGCCAGCTGCAGCAAGCAACAAACGCGTCAAAAACACGCGCATCTCACGCCCCTTCAGTAAANGCTCCCTCCTCTCTCGTCACCATCCCTCAATTCCACAGCTAACCCAAAGACAACCAGTAATCGGCTCTCAAGCCTGGAACCTCGACCCCACCACCCAAACCGGCCCAATCCCCGAAGGCCACACAAAAGGCTGGCGCGTCTACGTAAAAGCCCTCGACAGCGGCCCCGACCTCAGCACCTGGCTCAAANAAGTCCAATTCAAACTGCACATGACCTACGCTGACCCCTCCCGCACCGTCGAAGCCCCTCCCTTCCAAATCCAAGAAACCGGCTATGGAGAATTCGACATTGAGATGCGCTTATACTTTGACTCGAGTTCGNGGGAAAAGGCGCAATACAGAAGTCATAGGTTGAGGTTGGAGCCGTATGGCAGTGAAGAGCAGCAAAAGATGCAAAAGGAGGCGAATATGGTGACCAGCGAGACGTGTGAGATTGTCGAGTTCAACGAGCCTTCTCACGACTTTTTCGCAAAGATGACGGCCGAAGACCAATTCGCTCATTTGCAGAAAAAGGGCGGTGGTGCAAAGGGAGGTAGAGGTGCCAAAGGAAGAGGTGCGAGGATTGAGTACGAAGGTGGCAGGGAGCCGACTGCAAACTTGCCCGACAGAGGGTCGGACGCTTTACCTTGGAGCAGAGAGCTGGAGAAGAAGATGCTCGACATGCTGTCCACGGCGCAAAAGGACATGGATGCCGAGATTGACAAGGAAAAACAGAGGGCCGAGGATAGGCGCAAGAGGTTGCAGGAGATTGCCTGATTCTCGCACTCTTGCTTTTGACTTTTTCCCTTTCTTCGACGACTTTATGATACCCCTTTTCTTGCTGCAATACAGCATGTCCTTGTCACCTTCTTCACACACTTGCATTCTGCACATGACATTTGGTTGGTACACTCTTCATTTACAGCAACAGCGAAAAACAAAGCCATCATGTTCCTTCCACAAACTACAGAACCCACCCAAAACAAAGCAAATGTGGATAAGAAAAATAAAAATAAAAACGCCACGCTCATTTCCATCTCCCTCCACCTCTTACTTGCCACTAATCTGTCCCTCGACAAAGTCCAGCGCTTGTTCCTTGGACACGACATCAATACTACTCGTCTTGTTGATATAACTGACACCATAGCACTTTTCCGCCACGAGCAACATCTCGGGCCTGAACGTCGTGCAGATAAACTGTCCCTTTTCCGAGCTCTCGGACAGCATTTGGGCAACGGCGGTACGGTATTGTGCATCGAGGTTTGCGTCGATTTCGTCAAAGAGGTAAAAGGGTGCTGGGTCTGAGGCTTGGATTGCAAAGACGAGGGCGAGTGCGCACAAACCTGTGGATGGGTGGGTTAGTAGATGGTAATGGGGGAGACAATGGGATTCTCGAAACTTACTCTTTTGGCCACCGGAGAGTTGTTGGATACGTTGTTGTTCGTCGTGCTTGCTGTTGAAACTCACACTGATGCCCACACCAGTGTAGTTTTCCACGCCGTCTTTTCTGCCTTCACCATCCTCACTGTCTTCTTCGTCATTCTCGCCGCGTGCAATGCGGTCGGTACGGCGTTGAATCACCAAGCGACCTTTACCAGCAGGAACCAGTTTTTCAAAGATGCGTGCAAATTCTTTGCTGACTTGACGGAAAGTACGCTCGATGGCTTCATCTTTGCGTTGATCCAATACATCAATGAGTTCCTGAATACTCGACAGCGAGTTTTCGAGTTCCTTGCGTCGGGTTTCCAGGCTTTCACGTTGGCGTGTGAAGGAATTGTACTGTTCAAAAGCCTTCTTGTTGACATGGCCATAGCCCTTGAGAGCGTTTTTGACCTTGTTTAGCTTCTTGGCTGCCTTGTCCCAGTTCATGCTTGTGTATGGTTCTTGAAAGGCAGACTCAGGCAACACACCAAGGTTGCGGATGCTGATGCCTACGGCTTCTTCCTTTTCCTTGAGAGTGGCACGCTTGGCAGTGTTCTTCTCCATTGATCTCTTCTTCTTGGAGATGAAGCGAGCGAGCTCTTCTTGTTGGCGTTGCTTTTCTTCGCGTGATGTGTTTGCCTCTGAGAGTTGAGATTGTGCTTGTTCGAGTGATGCCTCTGCTTCTTCGAGCTTGTTCATGACGTTCGACAAAGCTTCGTCCGCGCGTTCGAGCTCTCTCTGTTTCTCGCCGAGGCGTGCATTGCCACCTGCAACACCGCCAGCACCAAGCTCGGCGTCTTGAGCTTGTAGCTGGTCGAGTCTGAGACGAAGGTTCTCACGAAGTTCCACCTCCAGACTAGCCTTACGACCTTCGAGCTCTGAACGAGTAGAGCTCAAGTCGGAGAATTGTTTCCGCAGGTTCTGCACAGTTGTGCTCAATGTCTCGAGTTGACGTTCCTCGTCTGCGGAAAGTGCTTTTCTGAACTCGGTGCTCAGTTCTGTCTCGTAAGCACTGCCTTGCTCTCCAAGTTGTCTTGCCGCCAGCTCAACATTATCACGAGAGCGCTGCTTCTTCTCAAGCTCTTCGTGCTTGGACTGCAAAGCATTTGTCTTGTTCCTGAGTTCTTGGCGGAGCGGACCGTAGCTGTTCTCCGCTTGTAGGCGCTTCTGGTCGATTTTCTGTAGATTGCTGACAGCTCTTGTGACCTGCTGGTCCAGCGCTTCGAGCTCACGGCGGATCTCGTCACCACGGTTACGGTGCTTCTCATACTCGACACGCCATGTCTGAACGTTTCGCACACCGTCAAGACGTGATGATCTAGGGTCGTGGAAACCACCAGTAAGAGCACCCTTCTTGTCTGCTCGATCACCCTCTGGCGTGATGGCAGAGACACCGTGACTGCGAGCGTATTGTGAAGCAGTTGCAAGGTTGGGGCAGACAATAGTCTTGCCGAATACCTGCTCAAACGCTTTTTCGTACTTTTGGTCGTATGTGATCTTGGTGAGAAGGTGTACCGCATCAGCAGCGTTGGGAATGTTGACAGGTCTTGGTCGGAGGCGGTTGAGTGGCATAAATGTTACACGTCCCGACTTCTCTCGTTGAAGAAGCTCCAGAACTCTTGTGGCGGTGTCGTCGGTGTCGACCACATAGTGGAAGAGACTGTTGCCGGCAGTAACCTCAATAGCAGTCTTGTATCGTTCTGATGAAGGTTCGAACAACTCAGCAAGCGTGCCGTATACACCAGGGATGTTGTGTTGGCGAGCGATACGGCGAACAGCAGCAATGCCTCGACTTGTGTTGTGGTCTGTCATGTGGGAAAGGAAACGTTCAGCCTTCTCGAGCTCTTGCTGTGCATTAGTGATGACCGAATCAAGCTTGGCTTCTTCACGCCACAGCTCCTTGCGCTGGTCCATCAGACGGTCTCGCTCGTCCTTGGCTTTTTGTACATCGGCAGACATAGTTTGTGTCTCGTCGCCGCGGTTGTCGATGCGGCTTCTCAGCTCTGCAATCTCGGATTCGAGAGTTGAGATCTCCTCCTCAAGTTCTGCAACATCGTCGGATGCTTGCATAGCAATTACCTTTCTCGTAGCCAGAGCAACATTGATTTCTGCAATTTCTTTACGCAACCAAGCGTCCCTGTCAC